ATTGTCACGAACTAACTTTGCCACTTTGTTTGTTTGTTTGTGTAGTTTGGACAGCTTTCTAACAGCTGCGCGTGTGTATGTGTACGTGTGCGTGCGCCCTAAAGAATTTTTTATCACGAAAAAATTCTGAGTAATTGCCTTAGGCACAGAGATTTTTTTTTTCTTATTTGCCACAATTGTTTAATACTCCAGGGCTATCATTTTGGTATTACAAAATCTAAAAGAGTATTTAAATTAACATATCTATTTCTACTTGAGTTCCTGTTAATGAAGGCCATCGTTAACAATTATTTAAGCTTACAAATTTTTAAAATTCATTTACAGTATTCGTTCATCTGCAATATACGGGGGGAGCGAAAGCAGGTTTACAGTTGTGAGTACGTGAAACACAGAGTTTATTCTTGTATCATTATTTAATTATTGTATTATGTTCCATATGAACAGCTGTAAACCTTTTGCCCACCCCTCTGTGTAATCATAGGAGAATCTGCCACGAACAAGGCAGGGCAAAGGAAATTAGGACCTCGTCCTGGGGCATGGAGACTTACAGAATGACAGAGGAAAGCAAGCCAGCCAGTTCTTGCCAGCCCTTCACTGGTGACCATGTCCTCGGGCGGGAGTGGCAGGCACTGAGCTCCTCAGGGAAACCAGGGCAGCCGGACCCCAGAGGACACCAGGCTTTCACCTGGAAGCTGAGTCGGGAAAGGCTGTTAGAGGGAGGAGGTAATGATTAAACAGAAGGAGTTCAAGTTAAACTGGTGAACGAGGGAAGCTGAAAAGGGAGAGTAGAAGATGTACGAGGGAAAGAAAACATGAACGAAAGTATCCAGGTGAGAACTAGTGGGACGTAAATGGCGAATGACCAGCAGTAGGAGACAGAAAAGGTCGAGTCATCAGGCTGCGCCGGGCCTCGCACCGAGGGGCCGTGGGAGGGAGCTTGGGCCAGATCCTCTAGGAGGCGGGGAAGCGGAGCAGGGCTTTCCGCGGCCGAGTGGCAGTCCGGGTGTGCGCTCCAGAAGGCCTTCTGCGGCCGCAGTGAGAAGGTGGATGCGCGCGGACCGCCTGGAGGCCGTACTTCTGAGCAGCTCTGGTGAGGGGCTGAATTAGGGGCGCGGAGGTGGCGAAGTCACAGAGGCAAGACTTGGTAGCTGGCACTGTTCCCATGTGGCCGGTGCACGGCGTCAGTTCATTTACTCAACAGGTTTTACTGAGTGTTGACCGTGTTCGGCAATGTACTGCCCAGGGCGCTCGCTGGGCTCTTATTTCCTGTCTTCATCGGCTCTGGATTCCTCCTCCAATAGGGACCCTTGATCGTGTGACGTTGTAAGTTAATGAATGGACACGTTCCGTTCCGTAGCCCCTTTCGTTCCCAGCGGACCCCAGGCCCGCCAGGCGAGCCGGCTCCGGAGGCCGCCGGTGGTCCGTCTCGCGCTCAGCCGGCAGGCGGCGCCCCTGGGTCTGCCGGGTGTGGCCGCCCCGACCGGGCCGAGCTTACGGGCGCCCTCGCTGGGCGGGCCTGTGCCGCTTATGAAAAGTATGTACGGTAGGTTCCAAAGCATTTTATCAGTACAATAACTTACTTTTATATTTTAGCTCTATTGAGGTGTAATTGGCAAATTAATTGTATACATGTAAGGTGTACAACTGGATGTTTTGATATACGTATATTCGCTGTGAAATGACCACCACAGTCGAGTTAATCAACATCCATCACCTCACACAGTTTACTCTTTTTTTCTAGAACACTTACGATCCGCGCTCCGAGCGCATTTCAAGGGCACAATTCAGCGTCGGTGGCTAAGCCCTCCGCGCAGCACACCAGCCCTCCAGAGCCTGCGCATCCTGCATCGCTGCATTCTGTGCCCCTGGGCCCACACCCTCCCCATTCCTCCCACCCCCACCCCCTGGCAGCCACCAGCCTGCCCTCTGCTCTGTGAGTTGCAGTGTTTTAGATTCAGTTTGGGTAAGCTGTATGTTTCTAGGAATTTATTGATTTTTTTTTTTTCTAGGTTGTCTAATTTGTTGGCATATCATTGTTTATCATAGTCCCTTCAAATTCTTTTTATTTCTGAGGCATTCATTGTAATGTTTCCTCTTTCATTTGTGATTTTTGTCATCTTTTTTTCTCTTAGCCAAAAGTTTAGCCAAAAGTTTGTTGATTATTTTTTCCCCAAAAATGAACTCTTATTTTTGTTGATTTTTTTTTCCCTGTTCCTTTCCTGTTCTGTCTGGTTTATGTCTACTCTCGTCTTTATTCTCTCCTCTCCTCCGCTAAATGAAAAAGTCACTTCTGTCTCCCTGAGAGTCTTTTTTCTTCTTCCAGCACAGACTCTGCTTTATTAAAGGTGCCTTTCGCTGTTCGCTTCAGTCTGTCTTTCATACAAAGAGCCTTTCCTCATTTTTAACTACAAGGCACCAAAATTTCTTAGAAGCTTTGCCGACGTGGAGAACGGTTTTCGACTCAGGTTTTCACTGTAGGTTGAGCTGGTTGAGGCGTTTTTCCGGGAACCCTCACCGCCTGTCTCCTTCAATCTTTTCTTTGGGGCTGGTTGGATGCCCCAGCGAATGTCCTTCCCACATCTGGAGAAAATCCTCTGAAGAGTTCTCAGCCCTCAGTGAGCCCTCCTTGGTCCCCGAGCTCCACCCCCCCCCCCCCCACCTCTGGTCGTCCAGGCTTCTGGAGCTGCTGCCAGTGTTGCCCTTCGGTCGTACAGTCAGGTCTTGCAGAGACCCCTCTGCTTTAGTCCCCGGGAGAAGCAGTCCCGGTCTTGCAGCAGGAGCCGGGGAGAGGATCAAGGGTTGTTTCCGCAGCAGCTTTCAGCCCCTGCTCCACCCGCCGGTGCCCCTCCTTTGTTCTGGTCCAGCCCCACCTTGAGACCCCTGCTCCTGTCTTTCCCCGCTGCCAGTGTGAGGTTCGGCCTGCTCCAGTCTGCTAACTCAGGGATCACGTGTCCACCCCTGGCCACTTACTTTGTCTCCTCTCTGGTTCTCTTTGTCCTGGTGAAATGATGCCTTAAACATGAAACAGAAGGTTTTGGGGAGGGAGCATTCTCCTGCCATCTTTAACGAGAAGTTTTTATGTACTTTTTAAGGAAAGTTGCAATGTCGTCTTTGATTCCTGATCACACAGCAGCGGTCTGAGTGCCAGGAGCAACCGCGTGCCTTGAGGCCCAGCCCTTTCCCGGAAGGCCCAGTGAGCTGGACGGCCTGCAAGCTGCAGGGCCGTGGCTGAGGCCGCCCTCGGGTCTGGGGGCCCGAGAGCCTGAGAGGGGAGCAGCAATTTTAAAAACTGGCTTTTTTTTTTCCCCTCTTTGTTATTGCCATTATTATTCACTGATTTTTAAAGAATTTGTTTTTGAGTGTACAGGTGAGCTGCCGCGCATCGCACTGGGCATGCCTCCTGTGCCTGACACGCGTTGTACTTCCAGATCTGTCCTTGGCCGAATCACTTTCATTCGGCCTGTGCTGTCACCGTGGAGATAAGCTGTCCCCCGCTGGGCGTGCTCCTCAGGACACGTGTACGTTCTCTTCACAACGTAATTTATTAGGACAGAAGATATGCCCTCGGCTCCCATTTTTGTGTCTGTTTATGTGGATCTAAACACACACACACACCACACACAAACACGTGCTTGGGTTTTTATCGTATTTGGTTTTGCAATTCCTGTTCTTGGATTTCTGCATGTTGATGGAGTCATCCATAAAACCTGACGGTCTTCATGCAAACCCTTTTCTCTTCCCCTGAGGCAGCTACAAGTTGACTCCATGCCACATTTGCCACATCAGTTATTCCTAACTATGTTCAGCCTTTATCTAAATTTTCAACTCACTCATCAGTCCCCATTGTTCTGCAGAAGTAACCTTACCTGTCACTTTTCTAAGGAAATCAAAACCATTCCCCCTGGGCTCTCTCGCCTTTCCTTCTGCTTTTCTACAATATTTCCTTTGTTTTCCCCCATTGTCCTTTTCTTCTCATGTTAGAGTGATTCTCCTCCCTTTGTAAGGCCAAGCCTCTATATTTATGTGGAACAGTCAAGGGAACAGCATGTACAAAAAGGGCTGGAACCCTGAGAAAGCAGAGTTGTTGGAAAAATACAGATTTTTCCTTCGGGGACACGTGAGCTTTGGCGTTCGATGGGCCTGGTTTGAATGCTAGTTCCGCTACTTTCCACCTAAATGACCTTGAGTTGACTTCCTTCCTTGTGCCTCATATTCCTTGCCTGTGAAGTGGATTCCAGGCACTGCCTACGGTTGGTGTGAGGTTAAGTAGCAGTGGTAAGCTGTCAGCACGTGGTCGCTGCTGTTGCTCTTGTGGCTGGAACACGGAGTGAATGGGACAGGTGTTCCTTTTAGAATGAGTACTTGCTTATGTTTCTGTCTCTTACACCCACTGCGACCTATGATCCCTGCGAGAGAAGGGACGCCGCCCTTCTCACCTCCCTGCTCGGAGCGCTTCCCCCCCAGCCAGCGCCCCGAAGATGCATGTGTAGTGTGTGTCGAATGAATGGTGAAGCTTCAGTTTATATTGATTGACTTGATAAGTAAATTCACCCACTTTTCAATGTCTTTGGACAGTGAAAACCTTCAGAGATTTTGAGATCCCGATGTTAGGAATTTGTTTCCTTCATATTTCACTGTTTCCAAGTACTGGCTCTTATTATTACTATTTTTAAAGATTTTATTTACCACATTTATTTTTAAAGAGAGGAGAAGGGAGGGAGAAAGAGAGGGAGAGAAACGTTAATGTACAAAAGATGCATTTAACCGGTTGCCGGGGACCGGGCCCCACAGCCCAGGTGTGTGCCCTGCCAAGGAATCGAACCAGCAACCTTCCAGCTTGCAGGCCAGCGCTCAGTCCACTGAGGCACACCGGCCAGGGCTAAATATTGGCTTTTACTATATCCCTCTTGCATTGTAGGTTTGGGTGAAAGTGTGCATGTGCTTTTTTTATCATGTCATCAATAATAGTTCATTAACTGGTTGTTTTTTCCCCCCCTCAGGGAGGTGGTGCAAGCAAACTGTGTTCACTGGAGGAAGAAGTTCTCATTTATGTGCAAAATGAGTGCAAGTGCCGCCACGGGCATCCTGGATCCTTGTGTCTACAGGGTGTCTGTGCGCAAGGTATAAAAATAGCCTGTCAGGAACCATAATTAGTCCCCTAGTCACGGACGCACTTTATTTAGCTCCGCTTCATCCTCAGAACTGTTGTTACATGCGATTCTGCTTCACACTCACAGCAAAAACTCAAATTCCTTTGACAAATACAGTGAAGAATCTGAAGTTATAAATTAAGATATTCAAGAACTTTATCTCGCTGTCATGATACATATAAGTGTTAACCTTCTTTGTATTATTTGGGGGGCTGTGTATGTCTGCATCCTGCTCGTCATTCACTTCCTCTTTGTGAGACACTATTTTAGGAACCTTGCATATTATTATGTCTAATCACCCAAGAGTAGGGGTTCTTTTTTTCCATTTTCAGGACAACTCAGGCTCAGAGAGGTTGTTACTTGCCACAGTTCACATAGCTAGTAAGTGGCAAAGTAGGGACTCAAGCTCAAATTTTTCTAATTCCAAGTCCATATTTTCTTTTAAATAAAAATTTTATTTACTTATATTTAGGGAAGGGAGGAAGAGAGGGAGAGAAACATCAGCATGTCGTTGCATCTCACACGCCCCCTACTGGGGGCCTGGCCCACCACGCAGGCATGTGCCCTGACTGGGAATCCAACCCACGACCCTTTGGTTTGCAGGCCAGCACTCAAACCACTGAGCCACACCAGCGAGGGCTCTTTTTTTATATATTTTCTTTCCACGTGTCCGGTTGAGTCATATTACCAATAATCTACAAAAATGGCAATCTCAAATAGTTCAACTAAATCATACATAAATATACAATCCTGCCATTTTTCTGTGTGAAAAAGAAGACTCCTCTCATTACCACTACTAGCGAATTAAACTATTGGCTTTAAAATGTCAAGTTAACACAAATTAACCATCACAGACCTGAAAGTTAAAACACCCTGCGTGAGTTTCCTAGAGCTGCTGTAAGAAAGCACCACAAACTGAGCGGTTTACAGCAACAAAATGCACACAGGACCATACACAGATGATGCACTGTAGAACTGTCCCCCTGCAACCTATATAACTTGATTAACCAGTGACACCCCAATAAATTCAATAAAAATTTAAAAATTAAAATTTAAAAAAATTAATAGAAACAAAAAACATAGAGCAACCAAAATACAGCGTTTTAGAGTCCTGGAGGCCAGGGGTCCACACCAAGGTGGCGGCAGGGCCGCGCTCCCGCCGAAGGCGCTCAGGGAGAAAGCGTTCCGTGCCTCTCCCCGGTCTTCGGCAGCCTCAGGCGTCTCTGGCCTGCAGACGCGTCACTGCAGTTACAGGGCTGTCTTCTGCCTTTGTGTCGTCACGCCATCTTCCCTCCGTATGTGGCTGTGACTACATTAAAATGTCTCCTTTTTTAATCAGGACACCAGTCATATTGCATTAGAACCTCATTCTAACTCGATTACTGTTGAAAGACTCTATTTCCAAATAAGGTCACATGCTGAGGCACTGGACGTTAGGACCTCAGTATATCTTTTGTGGGGGAGAGGCCTACAATTTAATTCATAAAAGGCCCTAAGACTATAATAAACCTGGGGACTTATACTTCTGAAATTAATGGACTCACTTGTTCCAGATCACCCCTCCCTCTGAGAACAACCAGAAAAACTAGACAGCATGTTAAAAATAGCTGCTTGAAGGCATCAGAAGCTGCCAAGGCACTAGGGACTTAGAATCATAGACAAAGGAAGCGTGAAGAGCTGAGCCTGACCTTCGGCATTGCCTTTACCCTCAAAGCATGTGCTGATTTGCAAGCAGCGGTTAAGAAGCTGGGCCAAAGGTGATGGCAGAGAAGTTAGGAAACCAAACTGAGGTTGAAGGCCTGATTTTACAGGTCTGAAGGGGCAAAACTGGAGTTCAGGGCCCAGCAGCCGAAGGGGCCTCGGTAGACACCCCAAGTCTTTCGGTGGGGCTCTCTGAGTGTCAGCCTCGGAGGAGGAGCGCAGTGGATGTAGACTGGCCCGGAGAGAGACCAACTCAGCTTTAGTCGGCTCAGTCCCTGCTTGGTAAAGGTGGTCTGCCCTCTTACTACTTACCAGAAGCAGGTGTATATATTTTTAAAAGATTTTATTTATTTATTTTTTAGAGAGAAGGGAGGGAGAGAAACATCGATTGGTTGCTCCTTGCACGCCCCCAACCAGGGACCTGGCCCCGCAACCGAGCCATGTGCCCAGACCAGGAATTGAACTGGCCACCTTTTGGTTTGCAGGACGACACCCAACCTACTGAGCCACACCAGTCAGGGTGCAAATGTATATTTTCTATGAAGGAAAATAACATTACTCTGAACCTCAAATTATTTCTTCAAGTTATCATGCACAAAAATTACCAAACATACCAAGAGGCATAGCTGCATGACCAAAAATCCAAAGAAAAAAATAGGGAGATCCTTTGGCTTTAACAAAAGGGAAGGCCATGGGCAATCTTAAGAGCTATTGCAGCAGGAAACTGAGGACAGAAGCCAGTTGGTTAGACTGAACAGAGACTGGGATACAACAAATTCAGTTAAGTCTTTGAAGAGTTTGGCTGCAGAGAGGAGCAAAGAAAAGAAGTAGCCAAAAGAGACAGGGATCCTCTGAAAAAAGTTTTGTAGGCTTTTTTTTTTTTTTGCTTTAATGCAGAATGTTATTAAGGGATATGACAATAACCTAAAAAAGAAGAAAAATGTGGTAATTCCTAAGAGGGGGTAGACATAGTGACATGGCCATGCCTTATACCAGTGGGACAGGAAGGGGAGGGGCAGCAGATATTTATAAATAATAGAATTTACTGCCCTGGTGGTGTGGCTCAGTGGATTGAGTACCAGCCTGCAAACCAACGGGTCGCTGGTTCGATTCCCAGTCGGGGCACATGCCTGGGTTGTGGGCCAGGTCCCCAGTAGGGGGTGTGCAAGAGGCAACTGCACATTGAAGTTTCCCTCTTTCTCTTTCCCTTCCCCCTCTCTAAAAATAAATAAATAAAATCTTTTAAAAGATAGAATTTACCATCGATTGCTTCAGAACTTATTTAAATTCACCACTTTAAATACGGAAATGGTAGATGATACATTATGTATCTGGTTGATGCAAGAAAGATAAAAGCCAACTCCATCCAGCAAACACATTTTTAAAAGTCGTGGGGTGGAGGAGGCTTTGACTCTAGTTAAACACATACAAACAGTGTTTATCTTGTGCTAGGCATAATTCTAAGCGTTAGACACTTATTTTCGCAGGTGTGTAGATCCTAAATCCAGAGATTTGTCAAATTAGTGCAGAGTTTCATATTTTAAATTCATCTTAGCTATATATTATTTTTATTATTTTTTCACTTTTGCCAGTCTTGTTCACAGTAGATAACAGGAGGCATTGCCATATATATATGGTAAGGAAGGTGGAACAGTAAGGTGTATATAGTATGGTATCATTTGAGTAAAAGGGGAACCTATCTGTCTGTGTATCTATGTGCATTAAGCATCGTTTGGACAGTTCCTAAAAACTGATAACAGTGGTTGTCTCCAGGGCGAGGGTTTTGACTCTTACTAAAATCTTTCTGTAGTGTGTTAATATGCTTAACTAAGTAATTTAACCTTTCTTTGGAGATTCAGTTGCTTGCAATGAGTCTAAAACCTTTTTTGGCAATTTCTTCAGCAAGTAGATCAAATATTAGCTTATTTTCTCACCATTTGTTGCTTTCAGCTTTAAGTTAAATTCTAAATAAAAATTCTGGGCATTTGGAGGAGCATCAAAATAGTTGGATTTAAGATCATCAGAATTATACTGTCTACATTTGCCAGTATGTAAATGCCTACTTAGAATTATTTGATATACATTTCATTTTAAATTCTTAATGGTGTGATAAGCTAATAGTGTTTTCTATCTTTGGCAGGAATTAAAAGGTGGAAAAGCTTATGCAAAGGTGAGTAAATAGTCTTTAACTCTTTTGGAATGTGTAATACCACTCATTGCTATTTTTAAACGTAACAATTAAGTAGTTTGCTCTTCTAATTGCTGTTCAAATAGCATGTTTTTAAATAAAGCAACTTGGAGATGGAACAGTTGGCTTCAACAACTAATTTGGCATATTCTCTGTAAATGCCGAGTATGGGATGTTCTTGAGTTTCAGTTTCCCACCTGGAGGAGCTGTTTTGCATTAAGCAATTGCATCTGTTGATTCATTCTCCCAGGAAGTACTTCCAATCCTACCTCCCCGGCTAGAATAGGACCCTTCCTCGCTGCCCTCGTACTCTCTGTATGTACATGATCTCTGCTGTGCTTTATACTTTCAGTACCTGTGTGGAATTACTAAAGAATGCATTCGCCGTTCTTGTGGAATGGAAGGAATTAGTAATACTACCAGAAACCCACATACTCCTCTTTTATTCCCAGTTTCTGCGATGGTATCTCCATCTATCGGTCACCTAAGCCAACGCCCAGGCACTAGTTCCAACCATCACATCTGCCTAACTCCCTAAGACCAGCTGGTTGCAGTGTCAGTTAGGATGCTTTTTGCTACAAGTAACAGAAAACCCTCCTCGCCCAGAGGATTGTTCATCTCACAGAACAAGCAGATGTGAGGTGGAGCTGCTCCGGATTGCTGAGCCCACCCACTGGAGAAGGTCATCAGGAACCGTGCCGCCTTCCTCTTAGGCTTTCACTCTCTCCGTGCTGCCTTTGTCCTTGGCCAGCTCTCCTCATGGTCACCAGGGGAGTGGCTGCTAAAGTTTTAGTCAACACATTCACTTAGGACAAAATCCAGCTGCTTCCCCATGCACTTCTTTGGAGTGAGAAAACTTTCCCTGAGTGACCCCAGAGGACTTCCCCGTACCTGCACTGGCCACCGCTGGATCGTATGTTCGCTCCTAAACCAGTCGTGGGCAGTAGGAGTGGGTTGGCGTGGTTCGCTTAGACTGAACACAATTTAACAAGGAGCTAGAGGCAGGGAAGCTTTCCTTGTGTGCATGGATGAGCTAAGAGTAGACATTGGCGTAAAATCAGGGCTCTGCTGGCGAGGGATGTCAGGGCATTGAATGGAGGGCGGGCAAACAACAGAGTTGCTGTGATTGACAGATCCTCTTGCTTTCTCCCTTCCAGAAGCTCTTAAAACCATCTCCGCTCTCCATTCCCAAGGGCGCTGCATCAGGTTCTGCCGTGTCTTTCTCATGTAAAACCTGCCTTGGCCTGTTTTGTGCTCTCTCGTGTTGTCGCCCTCCAGCCCTTCCTCAGTTTCGCCAGAGTGATCCTTCTCAAATTCAGACATGACCGTTATTGCTCCCTCACTTTTCATTTGTCAGCCGCTGTCTATTTCCCGTAAAGGAAAGTGAGGTGACGTCTCTAACCCAGCACATTAGACCCATCTTGGTTTTCAGATCATCTGCCTGCACATGCGTGTACACACACACTGGGGCATACACCCCCCCCCCGCATGCGCACGCATGACACACCAGGCAGGGACTCGCCCTGTGCTCGGAACTAGCCCTGTGCTTGGATGCTCTGCCTCCTGAACTCCCTGCAGTGCGCCTGCTCTTTTAACCTCTTCGTCTCGTGACTTGTTTTTCCTGCCGTCCCTGCGCTGCTCCCTTCTCTTGTCCTGCCAGCGCAGGTGTCACTGAACCCTCAGCTTACTCATCCCTCCCCGCTGCGAGATTTTCTTTTCCTCCCTCTTGCAGTTGCACCCTCTGCTGGCACAGCGCATAGATTTTTTTTTTATAGGAACTCCTCTGTCTTTCCTTATTAAAAACTGTGAGCTCCTTGAGACTAGGAATGATCTATATATATATATATATATTGCTAATGCCTAACATTCGCTGGAATGTAGATGCTCAAAATTCTTTTGGAAAATGAAATAATAGCGACCACAGATACCATTTTAATGAGACGGTTATCTCAGTGAAGCCAAAGAGAAAGTCAGGAGGAAATGCAGGCTGTCTGGTGCCTCGCCTGAACGTAAGCCCTTTGAAGACAGCCCTTATCTGCCCTGTTCATTGTTCTCCGGTGCCTAGAACAGGGCCGGGTGCACTAAAGGTGCAGACTGAATGTCGACCTTCAGCGGGAAACATACCCCACCTTGTGACGTGCTTCCTTAATGGGGACCGACCAGATTCTTTAACTTTCTTTATGCTTAATAACACCCTAATACCAGCATTCCAACAGTGGGTGGGAAGCCAGCGGGCTGTTTTTATTCTGTAAATATGTATTGACTGCGTACCATGGGCCAGACAGTGTTCCTGGCACCGTTCTAAGGACTGGAGACATAGCAGTAAGCAAAGCAGAGAAAGCTCCCTGCCTTTGCGGAGTTTACATTCTATTAGGGGGTTGGGGGAGGGGACAGACAGCAAACAAAATAAATAGGAAACGTGTATGTACGTGATGGGGTAAGTACTAAGGGGCAACATAAAGCAGATTGGGGTGAAAGGTGCCCACGGCAAAGGAGAGCGAGGTGCCCTTTAGAGTGGTCAGGGAGGGCCCCTTTAGAGCGATGACATTGGGACATAGGCCTGAATGGAGTGAGGAAGAAAGTGACAAGAAGATCCGAGGGGGACTCTGTCAGGCACAAGAGTAGATAAAGGCCTTGAGGTACCCCTGGCATTTTCAAGGAAAAGGACCTTGTGTCTACAGCAGGGAGATGAAACTGCTGGGGTGGCCAAGATCAGAGGCACCAGCGACCTGGGCGACTTTTTCAAGGAGCTTCGGAGGAAAGGGGGAAGCAGAAAATTAGTTCAGTAGACTGGAGAGAGATGCGGGGGGAGGTCCTGTTTACTTTTGTTCGTTAAGGTGGAGAAGATCCAGCATGTTTTCCTGCGGGCGGTAATGATCCACCAGGGAAGACACATTTCAGAACGCGAGAGGGGAGGCTCCCTGGAGCCACGTGGGCCAGAGGAGGGCAGCCGCCTACCTCGGAGCGGAGCCCAGCCGGCCCGCTTCCAGGACGGTCAGGCGATGTGTGGGCTCAGCGGGCAGGCGAGTGGATGTGGCCGGTGATAAGAGCTCAGGAAAGCTCGGTGCTCTGTTGATTGCTTTTATCTTCTGTGCAACGTAAGATGCAAGGCGTCAGCACAGAGTGCAGACGCGAAGGAGGGGGGCCAGGTTTAGAGAGAAAGGATAGTGTATGGAATAGGGCACGTGGGTGATGTGTGACCAGATGGCCACATGAGTCCTCATGTGCTCCCTTGGATGTGACTTTGACCTGGACGTACCCAGGCTCTGTGGCTGATCTGTTGAACCCCCTAAAAGAGAGGCAGTAAGACCGTAGTAACCAAGTGAAAATTAGGTAGACGTGGCCTGCGGCGTGATGGGTTCTCACGGCAGTTGGGGCTCGTGGCCCTTCAGCTGGGCTCTTGCGTTCTTATTCTTCATTCTTTTTGTACCAGTTAAAAGCTACTAAAATAATGCTCTAGTCTGCACTTAAAATCTTCATCTTGAATGTCATTCATATTTGCCAGTGTGTTGTTAAAATCTTAAAGTGAGCAACTTATAGCAGTGTTTGAAATGGTCAGTAGTCTTTATATGCATTCAGGGAAACGTGCTTAATAATTCTAGACTCAAAGCTTTTTTTTTGATAACAAAAAACTGTATCACTTGGTCATGTAGAATAGACTTAATTTGTTAAAAAAAAGAAAAAAGAAAAAAAGATATGATGAGGTTGACCACTTGGAAACAAAAACGAGGGTTGCCCCAAATCAGAGGAAAGACCGGAGGGCGATCTTTGGTAGCAGCGGAAAGTGGTGCCCAAGCCTTGGGGGGGGGGGGGGGGTTCAAGGGAGGAAGAGGTTGGAGCTGAACGTCTGTAGAGCAGCCCAGAGAGCTCAGCTTGGGGGAAGGGAGGAAGTCGGGTTTTTCAAGAAATATTCCGCTCGAGGGCAATCAGCAAGACAAGGTTATGGGATGTGCTGAAGGAGAAGGGGTTGGTGCCAAAGAAAGGGTGTGACATACACTTAAGTCATTCCAGTGCTTGTGTGGAGACAGTGGATTTAACAACCTGCAACTGCCCGCAGCCCCCTGTGGCTGCCCGAAAATAGAGGCAGGACCAGAGTAGGGAGAAGCCAGCCTGGTCCGCGTTCTGTGTGCATATGCAAATGATCCTGGTTGGCCTGCTAGTATTTCCTCTAGTTTAAGTTCCCCTGCTCCTTGCAGCAAGTTTAGTTGCTGAAAATGCATTATTTATTTTTACTACCACAGTTACATATTTTAATGTGCATATGAAAATATATTTTGGACATCACATCCGTGATTTCAAAGATTGCATTGCTTAAGATAAGAAAACAATATGTAATAAATGTTTTTTACCAAAAGTGAGCCAATTTAAAGACACATGTTAAGCAAATAATAGAACAGGTATTGTTAAGATGGCAAACATTGCCAAGTGACTGAAGATTGAGATATCTTGTCTAGAACATGGATTGAATGTTTATTTTAAGAAGAATATGATAGCAGCCTAGTAGATATTCTTATTAATATATTCTTTTTTCTTTTCATAGCTGGGCTTTGCAGATCTAAACCTGGCAGAGTTCGCCGGATCAGGAAATACCACTCGTCGCTGTTTACTGGAAGGCTATGATACCAAAAATACAAGACAGGATAATTCCATTCTTAAGGTAAACACGTTCAAGATTTACTTGTCACCAAAATGAGGTGCTCTGCCTTTAGATAAGCCTAGTTATCTGTATATTGGCAAGGGCAAGAAGGGCGTCAACACTGATACCATCAGCGGAGCACAGCACTGAAATACCCGCCACTTAGGGAAAAACTACCCCCGTCACAGATTCACAGATGCAGTGAAAAGTAACAGAAGTTCACCTTGGTGAGCCGTTTCTCTCTGGGGCTGCGACTGTTCAGGGATGGGCACACACAACCACTACGGCCTCAGGGCTCGTGCGCAGAGGGAGCGTGGTGCCCGAGCACCTAAAACTGCTCATAGTTCCCAAACGGTGATTTCCAGAGCAGCTGCAGCAGCCACGTGGACGCCACTGGGTCCTCTTCTCACCAGTGAATTCATAGTTGGAACTCACTTTGGGCGTCTGCCCGCCTGTTTCCAAGTCCCATTAGGAGCTAGACATTCTGGTGTCCCCAGGCAGCATATACTTATCCAATGAGACCGTGTGAGAAAACGTTTGTACAGGGCCTTGCACCTGGTAAGATTCACTGGGCAAACTTTTTGCTGTATTTCAGTTAGGTAACCCCAGGATGGTGTGTTACCTGATGATAAGAAATGGAAAGTGCCCCTCCGTGCTTTGCCCTCATCTCCCTCCATTGCTGTCCCCTGAGAAATGCCCAACCCTAATCAGACCCGGCTGTGCTCCGGGGGCCTGTGTCCCAGCTGTCGAACGTTGCGGAAGGAGTCACCGGTTCTAGCTGGAGTTACTAACACCGTGCTCACCGCCGTCCAGCGGCCTCGCTCTGCTTCCTTTGTAAGAAGCTTCCTTTCCCAGTTACCTACGTGTTCTTTTCCTTTTCTTCTTTAATCATTTTTGTCTTTCGGTTACAGTTGATATTCAATATATTCGTTTCAGCTGTACACCCAATGATTAGACATCATTATAAGTTACTAAGTGATCATCCCAATAAATTCATACCCATGGGACACCACGTGTAGTTATTAGAATATCATGGACCGTATTCCCTACGCTGCACATCCCCGTGACTGTTCTGCAACTACTAATTTGTACTACATGATCAATTCACCTTTTTCACCCATCCCTCCAGCCCTGGGGCCTTTTAAGCCACTTCCCTGGCTGGAGCTCTGAGAGAGTGAGACGGAGTTAAGTCCGTGTGCGGGCCCTTTAAGAGGAAGTGTCTGGGTCTCCAGAAGCTCTCCGTCCCCTCAGCCACAGCCCCCGTGGGTTTCTGCAGCCAGACCTAGATATTCTTTTTCATAGCTTTTCTCCTCTTATCTACACACAACACTCTTGCCCTCAGCTAATGGTTCAGTTTTATCCTTTATTGAGAAGACAGATGCCATTAAACTCAAATTCTCTCTCTCCCTTCCTATCACAGGATTTATGAGTCTTCCAGCCTCTCCAGCCCTGTTATCCTTTCTGCCTCCTCTTACGGTGAATGAAGTGTCCCTCTGCCCGTGAGAAGTCTGTCCTTCCTCCTAGGTTCTAGAGTCCAGAGCTGGCTGAGTTGGGAGCTATGCCCCTTGGAGGATCCCTTTGCCTGACCATCTCTCCCTGTAATGAGCCGTCCTCGTTAACATACAAAGCAGCAGCTCTGGCAGCTTCTCCTCTCCTCCAACCACTACCCCTACTCCATTCTACCTCCCAACAGCTTCTTGAAAGCGGTCCGTGCCTTCTCCATCTCTGTCTCCATCTCTGTCTCCAAAGTGCTGTTTTGATGGCGCTGGAGACCAGATCGTCGAGCTCTGTGTAAGGAGAGGCGATGAGGAAGCCAGCACAGCACACGTAGGTCGCACACTGGCTGAGCGTAGCCTTTAAGGAGAAAAAGCGTAGCAGCGGAGGCCCTGGGGCGAAGAAATAAGAATGAGAAGAGACTGAAGAAAAATACGTGTCAGCCATTAGTGGACAACATGCAGTCTTTATTAAGACCACGCGTTTTAGTAATAGGCAGTCCTGGGTTTAGACCCCTTCACTAGCTGCCTGATCTTGACAGTATCACCTAACCTCCTGGGCTTAAAATGGAAGTATTACTCTCTCAATAGAAGTATCTTCTTAGAAGAGAGTAATCTTCTTCATAGAAGTATTGAAGATTAGATGAAATAATGCACATAAAACCCTTATCTCATGGCTGGCATATAATAATTCTCCAATCGTGATCATTGTTAATGTTGTTACCATTGTCAGTCCCAGGAGAACATAAGATCCATGGCTGATTCTTAAAGGCAGTCAGCAACTGGTGAACAGCAGCATGTCAGGAAACATCCGCAGCACTTTAAAGTCTGATCCAAAGCTGGGGGAAGGGAGGGAGCATTCTGCTCTTGCCAGCCACCAGCAGGCACCCCCTGCAGTGACAGACAGCAGGCTGGAGGGGAACACCCGGGAGGCCGGAGACAAACTCGCTGCGCGGGGCTGTTGCTGCTGAAGCACTTGCTTTCTGTTACTGTCTTTTCCACCCTGGTATTTGCAATGACAAAGTTTTGAGTATTAGAAATGATTTTTAATCCATGCCTGTATAAAGCAGCAATTCAGTATTGGATGCAATCCGAGTCTGCAGTCATTTTATTCAGCCTTTCTAAATAGGACGTACCGGGCGGGCGGCTGCGGGGGCGGGGGCTGCTGCGGAGGCTGCTGCGGAGGCTGCGTGAATCAGCAGAGCCGGGTTTCTCCCATCAGGAAACTTCGCAGAATCACAATATCTTTTTCTTCACTTTTAGGTTCTAATCAGCATGCAGCTGATGTCTGGTGACCCATGTTTTAAAACGTAAGTCGATGCCCAGTAATTAAGTTGTTTATCTGAAAGTATAATAGTGATTTCCTTGTTTCAATTTTAACATTCCTATTTTGTAGTGTTCCCAAGCTAATGCCAGTGAAGGGACAGTTCCTCACCCTGGTGACTCACCTGACCCTCAGGGAAAGTACTCGTACCTGTTACCCAGGGAGCTCTGCACACCCTGAGTTATTTAACCTGTAGACTGTTTGTCATCTTCAGGTTTTGGGTGAAATTATACAAATTAAAATTTCTCATTTGACCTCTCTGGACTTGCTCATGTTTTCAGCAAATACCTAGGGCCTTACCATGTGCTAGGCCGTGTTCTAGACATGACAGAAAGCGCAGGAGAAAAACAGACCAGGCCCTTGGCATCTTGGAGCTTATACTCTGAAACAAACAACAGACTAACAAGTAAATTTGTAATCTAATGATGGCCATAAGAGTGCTTCAGAGAAAAGTAGCGCAGGGTAGGAGGACCGCAGTGGAGAGAAGTGTCACTGTTTTACATGGAGTGGCCACGGAAGTCCTCTCTGTGGTATTTGAGTGGAGACGTGGAGGTGGAAGCAGCCACGCACGTGTTTGGGGAAAGAGTGTTTGAGGCAGAGGTAAGAAAGGCAAAAGGCCTTCGGGGAGGAGTGGGCTTGGCATGTTCAAGTGACTGCCAGGAGACCCGTGTGTCAAGAACAGAGTGAATGCAGAGGAGGGTAATAGGAGATGAGACCAGATTATAGAGAGTTTTGTAGGCCATTATAATAAGTCTCCTAGGCGACTTACAATCTGAGTGTGATAAAAAGCTCCCGGAGGGTTAGAGCAGGGAGTAAGGTGACCTGGCGTCTGGCTGCGTCTGGCTGCCGGGCAGGGAGCAGTTTGTGAGGGCGTGAGGCGGCGGGGTCGGGGGCGGGGGGCCAGGGAGACGAGTTAGTCAGCTGTTTTCATCAATCCCAGGCTCGGGCCTGAGGAACTAGGAGAATGGTTTTTCCATGTATTGAAATGGGAGGGTCTACAAGAGGAACAGGTTGGGCGTTGGGTGTTGGACACGTTGAGTTTGAAATCCTTATTTAACATCCAGCCAGCATGTCAAGTAGGCAGTTGGATATATCGCTACAGAGTTTAGGGGGAAACCAGGTTGGAGATACAAGCTTGGAGATCATGGCATCGGCAGCACCTAGATAGATACCCCCTTGAAGCCATGAGATTTGATTAAATGACCCAGAGTAAGTGAGTATAAATGAAGACAGGGACAGCAGTGTGGGAAACTCCAGCATGTCAGAAGTTGGGGAGCCAGGGAAGAACCAGCAACGGAACAACCAGGGAGGTAGGAGGAAGGAGCCCAAGGGGAATCTGTCCTAAAACCAAGGGAAACGCCTGTTTCAAAAAGGAGGAAGTAATTGACTGAGTCACTTGCTATGGAAGCAGACCCCAGAAGTGGGAACTGAGGGTCGACCTTTGGCTTTTGCAACACAGGCGCTGTTGGTCACCTTGACAAGTATTTCTGTAGAATATCCTTAGACAACAGCCTTCTGGAAGGGAGTCAGGATTTTGGAAGAGAAAATTTGGAAACAGTGAGTACTTGCTCACTTGTCAGATCTCAGATCGACTCTTAATATCACAGTGCTTGTATACAGATAACCCTGATTGAATTGTTACAGTTCTATTTTATTATCGCTTATTGCTGTTAATCTCTCACAGTGCCTCATGTATACATTAAACTTTATCATAGGTATATATGTACAGGAAAGCAGTATATACAGGGTTCGGTGCTATGCGCAGTTAGAACGAGTCCCCCGTAGACGAGGGGGGACCACTGTGCTGGTTTACGCCTATGAATGGTCCAATCGAGAGGGAGAAGCGTGGTACAGAGGAGGAGAGGGAACGCAGCTGGAACGGTGCCTTGGCTTCCCGAGGGGACGAAGGCAGGGAATGTGGCTGCAGGTGCAGATGCACGAGAGGTGGAAGCACATAGAGGTTATTGTCAGATTGCTCCTGTTTCTTAGTGAAATAGGAAACCAGGTGACCGCTGAAGAGCAGGAAGGTGAAGTGTGGAGGGGGGTGTTGAGGAAAGAGGAAAGATGTGTACGAGGCTTCTCAGAGGGCGGGCGAGGGAACAGAATGGGAGCACGTAGGGGGGGCCTGACGGCCATCCTGAAGACGCTTAATAATTAAGCATGAAACTTAGATATTATTTAAATATCTGAGAAAAGTGTTAGAAAAGTAAACATGAATTATGTCCCTATGCATCAATTTCATGTTTTTAATAGCAGCATCTATATAGTTCTCATTACATACTGTTTCATAAGGATGAAAATATATTTTTTAATACATTTTCATTAAAACCATGCGTTTTCCTCTAACTTAGCCTTCCTGTGCCACCATCTTTCAAATCATAATTTCCTGGCTTTTTCTTAATTTCCCGTTCTCTTGGGACTAAACCATTTTTGCTATACTATTTTTGATCTTGAGTGACAATGTTTTCCTATGGAACTACTTTAGGATGAAATGAGAAAATGAGTAGCAAAACTTAGTGGGAGAAAGTCTTAATGGGAGAAAGTGAATTCATCATTTCTTCTCGTGGACTTTTCCTGAGTAGCCTCTTACGGGCCCTTTCTCTGCCATTTTCTCTCTCTGCTTGTGAAACTCAAATGCTGAAAAGCTCAAAAATAAATCGCCTTAGGTTCTGTATTAGCTCCATAAATGCAATTTGGACAGTCCAGAGTTTATATTTATCGAGACATTTATAATTTATTAGAATAAACAGGCATTACCTCCTCACAAGAGAAATAAAAATATTTCTTAGGAGAATCAAACCCCCAATATTTATTTTCCCTTTTCTCTGAATGTCTGCAATTGTGCAACTTAAGCGGAAAGGGGGCACCTCCCCACTTACATGCTGAGTAGGTATTGAACAGGAAAATGATTGAACAGATAGAAAAGGTAAATTTTTTATCAAGTTATATTTTAACATAGATCAAATCTGTAAAATCGCAGTACTACTTTAGGGCTGAAAAGAATGTTGGAAGTTATCTAGTTTGGTGATTTTTTCTTCCAGAATAGTTAGCCACAAATTTTTTTACTCAACTGTGTTGTGAATTCCTGTATGTAACATTTTTCTAATGAGGGGCAAAAGGCGTAATACCCTGCTGTGCCTTCATGAAGCCCGTTCAAAAGTGTTTGTGTAAGCCAAGTCCAAGGCGCAGAGCAGCTGAGCCACCTGACCGTCTATCTCTTGGACACATTTAAATAACTGCTGGAGAGGCTCATTCTATTCTTCTCTCCGCTTTTGTCTTTGAATTTTTCATGATATACAGTTTTTAAAATCTAGAAAAACAAGAGGAAAAAAAAGATTTAAAAATGCAAAAACAAAAAGAAAGGGAAAAAAATTCCAGGGGGAAAAAAACCCAACATCAACAACAGCCTAACAAGAGTAGAGCTGACCCTTCACATTCTCAGATTGAAATGCCATTTTGGATGTTTTATGAGCTGAGGATCTGTGACATAGATTGTGTCACTGTTCTGAAACAAATTTTGTACTATAAGGCCAATAAGTACGAAGAAGACAGCTGGGAAGTCAGCCTCTAACCGCCTGCCCTAAACTCCATTTTGTAGTTCTCTACAACTCATCAAATACCCACCAACTCTCATAAAAGACTGAAAGTTTTTGTTCTCCCAAAAAGAAAGCCAGCCGCTGGTGCTGATGGCAAAGGGAAGGGGCGTTTCGAGGGGACGGTTGTACACTCCCCTGGCATTCGACAACAGTGAAGCAGCCCTAGGGGCAACATGGCCCGCGTGAGTCTAGCACGCAGGAGCGTTCATGTTCTCGAAGGGAGGAAATCAACATGTGTCACAATGATTTCATGACTACTGCTGTCTCCCAGTTTAATCCTTAACTCTGATTTGAGCATTCGCCATGTTTTTAAGTGAGGATATTGAGTCTCAGGGTCCGGGGATGCACCCCTTCTTTCAATACATGTGCGTCCATTGCCTACCGCGTGCTGACATTTACCACACGGAGCTGAGACCGGCCACCGCTCTGGAGGACTCACTGTTTCTGTGGGAGTCGGACATGCAGCACATGGTGGTACTGAGGCATGGGGAACAGGGTGTCTGACGACGTTTCTGGGAGGACTTCACTGAGGGAGGGACACGGAGCGAAGTGTTAAAGGATGAAGAGGAGTTATGAAGTGAGGGAGGCGGGGAGAGACATTCCAGGGGGAGAGCGCCACCTGCCCAAGTTCGTGGCACCGTTACAGGGCACGGAGCGGTCACACAGTGCCACGTAGTAGGATTGTCATCACAGGAGGTCATTTTTCATATGCTCTTAACATGACTGTGACATTAAAACAAATAACCCCATTTCTTTTGTTCCATAATTGAGCTATATTAAATCCTGTCCGGTAAGGGATACGAAAACATTTTCAGAACCAAAGAGGGTGCTCAGTGGTGGCTGATTCAGCATGGTGAGCTCTCCAGGGAGCTGCTGGGGCCCTGCTAAGCAAGCTCTTAGGTCCTGCGTTTGCCTTCGCACTGGCCCTGTGTGATGGGCTCTCTCTGCCGTGCCTGGGGGCCCCAGTATTAGAGCCGTCAGTGCAGGGCTGAGATTATCAAGGGCTGGGTTCTCCAGGCATCCGAGGCCGCAGGCCACGGGGCGCCACGCTGAAGGTGTTGCTGGAAGTGTGGCGCTGTGAGGTCGGCCGGACAGGAAAGAGCGGATGGAGCCCGAGGGGGAGGGAGGGAGGGAAAAGGGGAAGGGGCCGGGGCAGGCGCCCCAGCACTGGGGGCAGGTCTCAGAGGTGGAGGGTGCAGGCACCCGTCTGTGGAAGGAAAACCGAAGGAGCTGGCCTTACGAAGATAAGAACTTAAAAAAATAAAAAAGAGTTTAGAGAGGCAGGCCTGGGCCACCATCAGTGATTAATGACTGACTGTAGATTCCCTTCTTCCCATTTTCTTTTACATTAGTTTTTCTTACAGAAAATTGAATGCAGGGTTTTTTTCACCAAGCTGTTTTACAGTACTTTGCAGCAGGTCCTCTAATAACATTGTTTTGTTATAACATTGATGAGATAATGTAGGAACTGAACCTTGTCTATATCAGTCGGCCCACTGTGAAATTGGTCTTGTTCCTCTTAAAGTGCAGAACCAATCAACGATGTTAAGTGAAGACTTACTGTATTAAAAGTACAGCTTTTGGTCATTGAAGAGGTAGGTCTGGACCAGGTTGCACAGGGCCTGTATTGCCATTCTATGGAGTTTGAGCTTTATCCCTGAGGGCCTTTTGAAGTGTTTTAAGTCAGAGAGTAACCTGTTCATGTGCCCATTTCAGAAAGAGCACAGTGGCAGTAGCAGGCACCGGGGCGGGCAGGCCAGCTAGGGGACGCGCGTCACCATCCAGGAAAAGGACAAAGGCAGACTAAAGTCCCTCGGGCAGGTGGCGAGGAGGTGATGAACAGGAAAACTACTACACGCCTATTGAGAGAGAACCTGAGAGTTGGACAGGGACTGGATATGGAGAAGCGTGAGGAGGAGGGAGACAGAGGCAGACTCTCTAGGGCTCTCGTTTGGTGACTTCGCGGATAGTGATGGCACACGCAGAGAGAAGGACCGCAGAGGGGAACAGATTGAGGTGGGGTTATATTGACTTTGATGTTCCTTCAGGGTAAATACTTGAAGATTTCTCACTGGGATGTGGAGTTTTGGAAATTAGGAGATGCTGGGGTGTAAGTAACCTGTAAATAAAACAGGGGTAGTGGCAATCTTATGTGTCTGTGTCCCCAAGGCCCCGAGTCAGCTCCATGATCCCTGGGCCACCTTCCTAGTTCAGCTCAGGTCACCAAGTCTCGAGGAATGTGGTTTTCCTCTGGAAAATCAACCTCAGAAGTCCAGGGATGTTTTATTAAAAAAGAAAAAATAAGTCCTGTTAGAGCTCAAACTTGCCCCTTCCTGCTTCACAGCTTCCACATGGAGGTGGGAGCCTTGACTTAGCCAAGAAAAATACACCCTTGACCTGCTTCCAGAGAATCCAGCCAAAAAGCAAATCTTTACACACTCTCCCTGGAGGGAGGGGGGGTGAACCGTTTTCAAGAAGAAGGTGGATCAGAAAACCATGGACTCTAATAAGAAGTTAGTGGAGCCATCGAGATGGTGTAGACACCGAGGCAGCTGGCACAGGGCAGCGCCCTGCAGCCTCAGGCCCGAGGGACTGGGAGCCGCTGCCCCTGTGCCTCGGGTGGGCGGACGGAGCGCCCTCCACTGACAGTGCAGGGACATGCTGGCAGAGTCCTTGTCTCTCTTCCAGACTCTCTCTCTGGTCTCTCATTTTGTGTTGTGGAAACCCCCCCTGCCCCCTGCCATGAATTGTATTCAGGTTTGAGGATGCTTGTACGTTAGTTGTTGATTTTTAATAATGCCACCTTCAAAGACGTGACATCCCAGGCACCTTACTAAGGCCGTGTACTGACTACGCAGCCGGTCTCACCTGTAAACCAACTTCTGACCCTTCAAAATGCTCATTCACAGGCCTCCTTCTACGTCAATGTCCATACCAATTGCTGGGGAAGCCGAATCTCTGGAAGAAGATAGAAAAGGGGGAGAGACCCTCAAAATCCATCTGGGAATAGCAGGTATGGGTGTGTAGTTGACTGGTTTTTTAATTTGTGAGATTCCCATCGTCCCTCCCAGATTTAATATTCTGTGGGTATATGACTTGAAATAGATCAGTGAGTCTCAGAGTTTCAATTATGCAGTTTTTGGTTAAACACTTTATCTCCTCTAAGGGTTATCCTCTGACCAATGAAAAGCCTAAGGTTGCAATGATGCCCCCCTCCCCCCTCTTTACGTGCTTCTCCGCCACACACACAGAGCTATAACAGGGTACTGCGGGATTGGGGTCCACGTGTCCTGTGTGTACCTTTAACCTTGCCATTCGTTCCTCCTTGTGAGGTATTTTTAGAATGTTATTTATTTATTTTTAGAGAGGAGGGAAAGGAACGAGAAGGAGAGGGAGAAAAACATCGATGTGAGAGAGAAACATCGATCGGTTGCCTCTCACACACACCGCAAACGGGATGGAACTCGCAGTGCAGGCACGTGCCCTGACTGGGAATTGAACCAGCGACCTTGCAGTTGGCAGGCCAGCACTCAGCCCACTGAACCACACCAGCCAGAGCTGAATTCTTTCTCGTATTGAAAACACAAAATTTCATTAATTAGCCCTACATCCTTTTCTATCTACTGCTCTTCCACAGGCTCTTGCTCTCCTCCTCCCTCCCCCTCTCTCTCACATTTTTTATAGCCCAACTTCCAGAAAGAACGTACTGCCCTTTTATTCCCAAACATACATGCAGCCTGGACTCTACCTTCTGCCCTCTCTTGATGATCTCAGTCATTGCCTTTGAGTACTTCTGTTCTTGCCTGACTTGGCCACATATTCCTTCTGGAAGCTTTCGCTTCCTGGGATCCCATGCCTCTGGCCTTTCCTTTTCTAGTATCTTGGAGGCTTCTTCATCTTCTTTCATGTTCTGTTTAAATATTAAATGTTCCACAGGGTTCGGTTCCCTGCGCCCACTCTCCCTGGACAGTGTCATCCATACCCTCGGATTTAACGGCCACAGGAATGTAAGTGTGACCCTGGCAGTGAGAGCTCCGTCCTTTCGGGTCACACGTTTGTGTTGCCTCCCGCCTCCGTCCTGAACCCCGGGCGCACGTCCCCAAATGCAGTTTGGAAAGGTCCGCCTCAGGTCCCGTGTGACCCCGCAACCCCGCCGTGCATCTTTCCCCTCAGCCGGAGTCTCCGTTCCTCACCATCGGGTCCTGTCGCTGTGCCCCCAGCGCAATGCCAGGGACGCAGCAGAAATTCAGTGGGTGCTGAGTGGGTGTCCTCAGGTGTCTCAGTCCTGCGTGTCCAGCTCAAGTGTCCCCACCTCCTCCTCCTGCCTTTTTACCTCGGTTACTGGATGCGCACATCTGCTTAGGAGTGAGCCCTGTCGTCCATGCCCGCTGCTCACCTCTCACTCACGGCTGGACCATCGTGAAATCCTGACCCGTCCGCCCCCTGCTCATCCTGCTGCCACTGTGCTCTCCCCAGGATGCGGGTCTGGTCGTGTCACATCCTTCTTGGAACTCACAGAAAGTGTCATTATCAGGCGCCCACTCACCTCCCTGTTCCCTGCAGCCATCTCAGCCTGTGCCCCGCGTGCAGGCTTTCCCAAACAAGGTGCTGTCCCCGTGTTTTTGCACCCTGCCTCGCCGAGGAGCTCCTGGCCACGAGCGAGGCCCTGGAGTTAACCTACCCCGCCCCCGCACCCCCCCCTCCTTCGCCACGGCCGGCGGTTCCCGTAGGCAAGGCCTTGCGGTGCTTGTGCACATTTCCGCACCTGCCACTGCTTCTTCCTCTGAACTCGGAGCATATGTTCTGTCTTATTTATTTTGTACCCCCTATATCTTATACCCTATTGACACCTGGCCTCGTAAAAGCTTAGTAAATGCTTATTGAGTGAATAAATGTTGTAAACCAATAGATAAATGGATGAATTAAGATCAGAGCCCACCCTCAGTGAGAGTACAGTTGATAGTCCTGCATAATTTCGATCTGAACCGACTCTTTGAGTTCAGATTTTGTCATGTCTGGTCTGCAGCTTCAGGACCCCTGTAGAGCAGGACAAGGGTGCTGGTGTGGACGGTACCTTCCTGTCTGTCCAGAAAGGAGAGCCCTTTGCAGAAGGGCCAGGCCGCCCCCATGCCGCCCATGTCTGGCAGCATGTGTTGGTCGGACTGTGTTCAGCATCATTTGCAGAACTGTTGACATAATCGCTGTGTTTCCTCTCGCCTCGAAGTGGAAAACAAAACCAGTTCTGTTTCCAGATTTCCCCTTCCCCCACCAACAGTGGAAACGGTGGCAGATCTGCATCCAGTGGGGGGGGGCGGGGGGGACCTGGTGCTGGAAATATGTCACTGGCACCCAGAACATGCACGTTATCAGGGGATGACTAGAAATGGCCTTGGCACCGCTTTTTTGTGCATTTCCTTTAAAGCGGGATGCTGTATCAGTTTCTCACAACTTTCGTTCTGTGCCACACTCCGTGCTGTGCCGACTTCGAGCACAGCCTCTGCCCAGTCATCGCCTGGCACCGGCCGCACGACGGCTGCCGCGACTGCGTGCTCTCAGCGCCCTGCTCTGGAGGGTTTCCGAGGGCGAGATTTCCTCAGAAACGACACCAGACCCTGGCAGTGCTGTGGGAATTTATGAGACTACATCTGACTCATTTTTTTATTAGAAATACTAAACAATAAAAACTGAAAGTTTTATTTAAGGTAGAGTTCTGTTAAATCTTGTGAAAAACCCTCTCTATTCAGTAAACGAAGGTATTTCAGTTTTTTACTTTTCTTGCAATACAGTTGTTTACATAGTACTGACTTAAAGGAATGTCTTACACTTTGCAACTTGCTTTTCTTGGTAATGAACTTGGAAGGTTACAAAATCCGCAGAGTAGAATGCAGCTGACCTTGACTCGGCTGTAATAGTAACATTATGTTATGACATTTTACAGATCTTTCGGCAAAGAGTGCCTCTATTCCAGATGAACTTGGTGCCTGTGGACACTCGAGAACGTCCAGCTATGCAAGCCAGCAGTCAAGAGTATCAGGTAGAGGCTAAAAGTGAAGCTGAGTTCCCTAGACACTCATTGCTCTCACGGGACTTGACCTGGCTGCGGCGCGGCCGGAGAGGGTTTGACTGCAGTGTCTGGGTTAGTATTGTATCCACAGTGACGTTCTCTGACAGGGTACAGCTCCTGCCACTCCCGGTCTTCGAGCTTCTCCGAGGCCTGCCACAGGAGGAACACGTCCGTGGGAAGCACGTCCACGGGGATTGAAAGTACCCTGGAGCCCTGTGATGAAGTGGAGCAGAAAGGAGCGGAACCAAACCTGGACACAGCTGACAGGGAGGACGCAGCTGCCGAAGCGCTCAGCAGGTGCCCTTCTGGGCTCAGCGGAGGCGGGGGCTGCGGAGGGGGAGGCTTTGTTTTCATAACTCGGTACAAAGGAGGATATTTTTTAAAATTATTTTCAAAGATGCCCCGTGAAACAAGATTCCGTAGAATCTCAGCTGAAGCGGGTGGACGACACCAGAGTGGACGCAGACGACATTGTGGAGAAGATATTACAGAGCCAGGACTTCAGCCTGGATTCCAGTGCGGAAGGTGTGTGGGTGGCCCCTAGGGAAATGCAGAGGCCTCCTCCGGGTGGGCGTGGCCCCGGGGTCGTGGTAAAGACGGGCGTGTTAGAGGGGCCTGTTACGGTTCTCTCTGTGGCACGCCAGCACAGGGGGAAGTCAATTGTATACCCATAACAATCGGAAGATAACTTTGTAGCTCATTTGTTTCTGAGAATGGGTATTAAATCTGGTGGAGAATGAACTTTACAAAGATAACTTTAAAGGAGCTCTTGCTGTATATTTTAATTATGCCTCAGCGTCTACCGTGGTTGTATACCTGATGATAGGTATTTACGTTTGTTTTGTCCTCACTGGACATGAGTACCTCAAGGCGCTATTGTCGTTTGGAGGCTGGGTTGTGGACTTGAAAGGGTAGTGAACAACAGAGCCCTTCGTTCCCTCCTTAGCATTTTCACTAAAGCTGAAAAATTTACATGCCACCCATTTGAAAGGTGTAATTATTCATGCTGGTGTGACTAGAGAACAGTTAACAATGGCCTTGGTTTCATTATATGCGTGGTTGTAAAAGGAAACAATTAAACCTCCCTTGTGGAAATGTGTAGGAAGAGCTGTCTTCCTCACTTAGTTTTAAGAAAAAGGCTTTAGGAACATGGATGAGAAATAACTATTAGGATAACTCTTAGATTGCTTTAAAGCGACATAGCTTTTTAAAATTTCTTTAATAAAACTGAAATGTAAAATATGACTTTATTACAATATGACTGTTGGTTGACGATATTAATTGCGCCCACAATAAATGTTTTCAACATGCAGAGGAAGGACTGCGGTTATTCGTAGGCCCCGGGGGAAGGACCACCTTTGGCAGCCACCGCCGCGCAAACCGGTACGTAGTCCACAGAGCCCCTTGTTAAACGGTGGCCAGGCTGACTCTTTCTTTTAAGTGTCCGTGAGTAGGAGATGAAGGTTACAAAGCTGCATTAGACCGCGGCTAGGAAACACAGACTGTAGTAGTTTCACAGGAAGGGTTACAGCTCCTGGCATAGCCCTCAGTGTTCCTTATTCTGAGTAGGTTTGAAATTATATTTTATACATCTATTTGTTGATGTCCTTAGATGTATTTTTAGAATGTGTTAGCAGAGGACCAGTAGAGCATTGGACAAGATGCAATATAAAAAGGACATTTAGAAAAGAGTTCTTAGTTTGATGTTTTAGAAAGATCAAAGCATAATCGCGTTCTCAGTCAGTGGTCTTGTCTGTTAGGAGCTGTTCTGTGGCCGCTGAGCAACAGACCTGATTTAACCTCTCTTGTGCTCGCCTTCAATTCAGCTCTCCTTCTAGTACTGCTTTTATTGAGTACTTCCTATGTGCTCAGCACATTGCAGGGCCCAAAGGGTACACAAAGGGATTTTGGTGTGGGAAACGACTAACTGCAATCAGATGTGAGAGGTAGGGGAGAGAGGAACACGGGAAGATGCTGTGAGGAAGGAGTTCACCGAACAGAGGCATGCAGAGGATGTTAACACAATTGAGACCTTGCGTAACTTTCATTGACTTACCTGGTCATTCAATTCAGTAAGTCTTTATCGGGCCAAATTGTGGGTAAGGTCACAAAGAGGAGAGACCGGGCTCTTACCTGAGCTGCCTCACGTCCTAGCACATGAGTTGGCAACGATAGCCCTAGGACCCAGTTGGGCCACTGCCTGTTTTTGTAAATAAAGATTTATTGAAATACAGCCACACCTGTTCATGCCTTGGGCCGCAGTAGCAAAGTAGTACAGCAGTGACCGAATGGTTCGCCAGGCCTAAAATACTGACTACCCGACCTCTCCGAGCAGATGAGATAGACTTTCTAATAGTAGGATAAGTACTATAATATAGAGAAGTAAAGGAAACTCAAGAACAGAGATGGGACCTCACTCAGGCAGAGAGAGCTTCCTACAAGAGTTGGCGCCTGCAGAGCATCTCTGGGAGAAAAGAAGACAGGTGGGAACTGCCAGGTGGCCATGAGGAAGACACATTCCTGGTGGTAGGGACGGACCGAGCTTATGGGCTGATCATTATAATTACATCATAATAAGTATGTTTCATTCAGCTCTCACATTATCTCTTTAAGGACTCACAACATACTATTGTTAGTTTTTAAAAAGGGGAAACAAAGATACAAAGAAGTTAAGGTATTTTACCCAAGACCTTCAAACTAGTAAGTGGTAAAACCAAGATTCAAAACCAAGACTCAAACTCTTGTCTCTTTGATTCCAACACCCTTTCATTGTACTTAACCATTACACTTGCCTCCTCTGCCCCCCACCAGGCTTATGAATAAATAACCTACTTAGAGAACTACCAGTAACAGGTTCGTCTAAAGAAAGAGGCATGTGAAATGGAATTGCAGGACGTGAGGTTGGCAAGTTTCTTTAGCACTGGTTTTTAAAAGTTTTCAACAAATCTGGAAATTTTCCAGCCGTTATTCCCCCCACTCCTGATATCCTGACCTGTAGTTCTAGCCTCCAGCACCGCAGAGCTGCGACCTCTGAGGGCCACCCAGAGGGACGGCCTCCTCAGCGAACAGCCCCAGGCAGCCAGCTGGGCGGTGACCCGGCTTCCTCATTTATTTCCCTTCTCGGAGGACGGCCCTGGGCCGCCCATCGTCATGTGTGGAAACTGGCACAGCCTAGATTCTGTCCAGTGTTGTTGTCGGTAGAGCGGGAGGGGAAGTCTGGCTCCTGTGGCTGCACCGTGGCGGGCAGGCCACTGCAGCGCGTCCCAGAGCCGGTGCGCGGTGGCGGTCACCAGGCCCCTCCAAGCCCGGCCGCTCTGCGGCTGCCGACAGGTGTGCTCCGGTGCGGACGCCCTGTGAGGACGTCCCTGTTCCTGTCTCAGGCTGAACCTGTAAGAACAGGAATCTCTGAGCAGTCAGCTGAGTTTATGGCAGGCTGGTAACCGCAACTGTACTTCCTTTGTTAGAATTTCCTCCTAAAATTCCATTAAGAGCAGAGACCAGTCATGGTCCTTCCGGTTGGGCTGACCCCCGGCATATCCCGTGAAGTGTCGGGCAGTAAGGCACCTCTGACGCCTTGACAAGTGCGCAGATGAGCACCTGGTGACAACCTGGAGTCGTGACGCCCTCCGTCCGTGCAGCCCCCCCACAGCCCTCCTCCTCGTCACTCGGGGGTCGAGGAGAGGGTGGAGGGAGCCGCATCCAAAAATAAACTGTCCTGCCGTCACAAGACACTGTGTGTTTACAGGCATGTAGAAAACCTTTATCCTCCCCAAAACAGGAGAGCCTGTGTGTTCGTGTCATTGTACCGTAGGGCCGAGGCACATCAACAATAACAAAAAGAAAAGCCCTCCTCTAAGCCCTTTATTCACAAAGCTTGCAAATTCTAAGTGTTTTAGGAATTTCCATATTTTATTAATAGAGGTCGGTTATTAATAGAGGCATATTAGGGCGAAGGCTAAGCTGCTATGACAAAGACACCCCAAAATCCAGTGGCCAGGCTGATGGGACCGCTGTGCCCCAGAAGTGATTCATGACCCAGGTACCCCCCATTTCGCCCTTCACCCTCCTCCTCACCGGTGTCGTCCGCGCTGGGCTGCCCCCAGTCCAGGGCAGGCAGTTTTCCTTCAGCGGCTGAAGCAGCACCAGGCCCTGCTCCGTGCCATTCACGGTCCCTGGGGAGAATTTAGCCACGTGACCACACCTGTCTACAGCGGAGTTTGGGAAACATTATCTCGGGCCAAGCAGCTTCTTCCTAGCCAAAACTGTGAGCGAGGGGAAGGTAGATTCAGGCGTGCAACCAGCAGTCTGTCAAAGCAAACTAGTGAGGAAGTAAACCCCTCTTCAGGATCATTTTCCCTTTGAAACTACATTAACTAGATATAATTACAGTACAGACCATGGACAAAGAAATTTGCATATTGAGTCAAAGAATTGTTGCCCTTCCTAGGGAAGTAGTACATTAAGATACGACACTACTGCCCTGGCCGGGTGGCTCAGTTGTTTGGAGCATCATCCTATACACCAGAGGGTTGCAGGTTTGATTCCCGATCAAGATGCATACAGGAGGCAACAGATCGATGTTTCTCTCTCTCTCTCTCCCCCCTCACCTCCACCCCCTCCCTTCCTCTCACTCTAAAATCAATAAACATATTCGCAGATTATGTTTATTGATTTTATTTGTTTTTATGTTTTGTTTGTTAAAAAAAAAACACATTAAGTCAGCTAAAAACTATTATCCAGCGCTGGCTGGTGTGGCTCAGTGGATTAAGCACAAGGCCTGCAAATTAAAAGGTTGCTGGTTCGATTCCCAGTCCAGGCACATGCCTAGGTTGTGAGCCAGATCTCTAGTTGGGAGTGTATGAGAGGCAACCAGCTGATGTTTCTCTCTCTTTCTCCCTTCCTTCCCCTTTAAAAGTAAGTTAGAAATAAAATCTTAAAGAAGAAAAAACCTGTATTTCATTATTTCTGTGCAAGACCCGAACTGCCAGAGTCAATGTATGTTCTTGGATGAGATTGGTTTTAGGATTTATATATAAACATTTTTGCCACCATGTGTTGATAGGGTAAGAATTTAGAACCATTACTAGATTATTGTGGGAAAAGATCAGGGACTGGACTAATCAGTATATTAATTATAGACGTTTAATATTTCAACTATTTTCTATCTGTGATATCTTTAAAGCCTGTGGAAATAAGTCTAGTAGAAAATGCCTAATGCTCTCTCTTTGGAGCCCAGGTTAACGGGCACAATGTCAAACACTACTGCCTGAAATGGTAAAGTTGTTCCCCCCCGCCCCCCCGCCTCTGTTTCAGGGTGGTGTCTGGAGCTTATGAACAAGTTGTGATCAAGCGCTAGAAGCCAGGCTGGGGACCGGGACCCTCGCTGGGGGTCTGAGATGTGGGCTGTTGAGCTGACAAGGCATTGATTCAAGCACATCTGAGAACACGAACCTCTTTAAAGGGAGCCTGTCCCCCACCCCGTCCAGAGGAGAGCCAGCACTGGCTTCCTCTCTGAAGAGTGCGCGCTGCTGTCCTTCCTCGCCCCGGGAACACCGGAGCAGTGGGATGGAGGCCGTGCCGCCTGCCTCCTGAGAGGTCCGCGGCTTCCGGGGTCACGGCCCGTGGCACAGGAAGGACTGCTTGTTCCTTCAGAGCATCCTGGTCGCGAGAGCCGCACTCTCCACCAGAGTCTGGCTTTGCTGCCGAAGTACAAGACCTGCAACTGAGGTGCTCAACAGATTCGGGCTCTTGATTATTTAATCTTATGTTTGAGAGACAATAAGTGAAGATAAAAACCCAATAGATTCTGTCAAGAGAGTTGCGATTCCTGTTAAGGAAATCCACCATGTTATACTACCTACAGTATTGTACTAAGTTTATTAACTCTTTTCAATACAATAATTGATATAAAAGTGGGGGTGTTCATGCTTTGAGAAAAAGTTATACTACAATTGAAACATGTAAAATGCTTGCTTAATCTAAATGTATCAATCATAAGATGAAAAACAAGTGGATTTAAGTCTGAGATCCATGAATGGGTACGATGCCGTTATTACGCAGTATGTGTTGTTACTCCTTAATACGGAATGAGCTGCAGAACACCCACCAGCGCTATGTACACAATTCAGGAGAAGTCTAGTGTTCAGTGTAAGGCGCCCAACGTAAGGGCTGTCTTAACTAACTGAACAATGTCTGCTGGTTTCAGGAGTCAAAGTTTAGAACAACTGGAGGAAAATGGTGATAGGATGAAAAACAGAGCAGCCTTTGTCTGTAAGTTCACACTTTCCTGAAATTGAAAAGGATCCCAAGGCGGGAGTGGCTAAGATGGGACAGCTGTTTGACCTGGACCCGTGGTCTTCTATCTTAGCCCCTCCCCCTCCCAAGACTGGCTACTATGCTTTCTTCTTACTGTATCAGAGATCAGCTGTTTTGAGGCAAGAATAGACTATAACATACATCAAACAGAGCTTTTAAAGTAAGGAAATCTTATCAGCACAGCAGATAAACCTGAAGAGTTTTTCTGGTTTTATGTGGCAGTTTCTGTGTGGAAAGATCTTAATTTTCTTGGAATTGCTTAGTGAAAAATGTAGATTCTATAAAACCAGAAATTCCCAGTCTTTACATTCAAAACCATGTCCCAGTAACGTAATATGTTAGAATTACTGTGGTCTAGGTATTTTCATGTTGGCAAAATAAGGGGAAAATGTTATTTTTTAGAAAATAGTATTTTAATATCCAAATTGAGAGGTTGGAGAACATTTGAATAGTTTGTCCTAGGGCTTTTGGGTCTTTTTTTTTTTTTTTTTAAATATTTCAAGGATTGGGTATTCCAAATAAACCCAAAACTACTTTTACAAACAGATTCTGAGATTTTTAAAGAGATGACACCCCCAGGTAGGAGTTTTCTGAGCCGTCAGACTTTCTTTTTCATGACTCATTTTGAAGGAAAAAAATTGCCCCAAAGATTTGTTTAACCAAGAAAAATGTTGTCTCAAGTGATAAAGACCCACTGTGTTTGAGTAAACAAGTGAATGACTCATTCATTTTGTATTATAGAAAAAAAATCAGAGTTTTCAATAGAGATATGAAGATATTATTTAGAGATTTACTATAGCATGTTTTAAAAACCTATTTTTCTACTTTCAAAATAGTACTCCTAGACTATATTTTTTATTGGCGCTTCTGTGAACGGTGGTGCAGGTTTGAAGTGATAACCCACAGCCAGACGGCAGGCGGGTTCAGCGAGGACCTTCATCGGTGGCGCCCGTGGCGGCGCTGCGACCCGGGCACCAGCCCTCCAGCGCTCGCCTGGCTGCCTTTGGCCAGGACCTTTATACGAGACTGGCTCTCTGTGTTCAAAAATGATACAGAATTCTTTTTTAAAACCAAAACGTGGATTTTGAAAAGCATAAAAATCACGCCTCTCTGAATGTAGCAGCCACCAGGTAACATCTTGACCTATGCATGAGTCAATGTAACAAACACTTTGATAAGTAGAGACTCTCGGGAGAAAAGAGACGCGTGCCCTCTGCCGTCGGTGAAGTCTGGACGCAGTTTGCTCTCGTTCCTGCCAAAAATCTGCTTATTCAATACCAAGTCCACTTTTGGTTTCATTCTGAGTTTAGAAAATTGAATTTGAAAACGTAGATCTTAATACGTTGATTTCTAAACATTAAACTCCAATTTCAAATCTCCCAGTCTTTGGAGAATTTGCGGATGTGTAACATTTTCAAATCCTATGCTAGAGAAAAAAGATGAATGGTGTTTTAAAGCTCATATTTGTGGTAAGAGTCTTAGATGCCTTGTTTGGGGAAATGACAGAGGAAGCACGTCAGGAGCCCCCTTCCTGTGACCTGTGCTGGGGACCGTGACCACAGGGAATGTGAAAGGTGGCAGGGGACAGAGCAGGCGCTGTGGGCCATCAGTTCCCACTTTGATGGCTGACTCCTCTTTGGGCGACGTTGAAGGCTCTGTGTACAAATAGCTGGCGTGGATTAGGATTTATGACCTGACCGAGTCTTGACCAAGAATCTTAAAGCATCTACTAGCCTCCAGCCAAAACCTAGGCAGGTAGCAACGAGTTTTAATACATTAAATCACCCAGAAATAATTTCAGACTTTTACGATTTCTATGCTAACAGCCACTTTGTAAACTCAAGCTAACAGTATTCCTAAATGTGCTACTGAAGTCATCAGAAGAGCTAGACTTCCAGGATATAGACTAATGCTCTGAAGAGCCTGGGCTCGTATGATGGGTTGTATTTCGTTTCAGCAGGTCTTTAACTGGGGCGATTCAGGAATTGTGCTTGGTCAGTTCTCCTAGATGGTACATCATGTGAATATAATCAGGTACTGTAGTTGGCTGTTGTGTTTTGACGCCATTTATATGTTGGCTTAGGTACTATGCATAATTTTAATAGCTGAGATGTTAAAGAATAAAAATATAAAGGATGAAATATGCCTGTATTAACCCTGTTTTAAGACTGCTCTGGAAATAAGGCCTTATTATTCCCTTACATATGTGACTTTTCACAAGATAATATACCGGGGTGGGCAAAAATAGGTTTACCCAACCTACTTGTTCATGTGGGAAATAATAGAATAATCAATAAGTAATAATCCAAGAAGAAACTCTAGGTTTTGCGGAATCACAACTGTAAACCTACTTTTGCCCCGCCCGATATACACAGCGCATGTTAGATGGCTGTGCAGCGATTCCCAGCCGCTCCTCTGTGGGACAAGGCTGGTGGGTTTTACCCTACGCGGGCTCTGTGCTCTGAGTTTACAAATGTTCATGTTCATCATGTGTACAAGAAAACGCTCTTGCTGGTATTCATTGACCAAACCCCTTGCAGAGGAAGGCTTTTCAGATACATTGTTTGATTTTTTTTTTTTTTTTTTTAGAAATACATTTTATTTGGGGGATTGCCTTTGTTTTGTGCATTTATTTGTTCCTGTGGAAGCTGATACAGTTGTGAGCAGTCATGTAAATGTTGGTGAAAAAATTGTTATTGAAGTGATTCCATTAGTATTCAATTTTGGTACTTGGAGAATGACCTTCATTGTCATATATTTCTTTGTTTTACTTGCACAACCATAAATCCAGGAACTGTTTTCTTTCCTTTTTTTTTTCACAAAAACTAATTTTTTTATTGTAAAGTATTTGTAATAATGTAAAGGTGAATCTTAGACATGTTCAATAAAAATCGTATCTTAAAGTGTAGTGTTGTTTCTACTTCAAAATGTCAGGTGAGATTCTGTTACTTGCCAAGGAAAGAAAGCAGAAGGGACCAGGGTGCCCTGCGCCCCGGGGCTTCCCAGGGCAGGGCGTTCCTGTGCGCCCGGAGTGGCTGCCGCGGTGGCGTGGTCCTGGGCCTTAGAATGAGAGGCCTGGGTCTACATGTACACACCCCTCTGAGCCTGGTTTCTGATGGGGGTGAAGAGAACACTGTTCTGGGTGGTAGGGTGGTAGGAATGGGCCACTGGTAGGCACTCTGTGTTTTATCAAGCCCAGAACCGGCCCCTGTGTAGATCTACATACGTGTCTTAACTAGACCCCCAGGCGACCATCAGGCCGTGTGCCCCTGTGAGAGGCTAAGGCGTCACTGAAATGATGCTGCCACCACCCCCTGTGAGCCGTCATTCCCTCCGCGAGAATGCCCTCCCAGAGGAAGAGCAGCGCCAAGGCCTTCTCTCTGCTGATGCTCAATGACAATGGCAACTGAAAGGGACCCAAGAGTTGTGGTTCAAGAAGAGTCTGGTGGCAAGTCTCTGCAGACTGTCCCGGTTTCCTGGACAATGCAGTTATGAGAGGTGATTTGAGTGAAGGCGAGAGCTCCCTGCTCGCTGGCAGAAGCGGGTGGGGTTTGGGTGCTCTCAGGAAAACGCTCAAATTTCCTCCCCAGCACACGGGATCATGCGGATCAGCCAGCGTAATTTGGTGCCAGATCATAGCACAGGGCTTGGCAGCCGCCTGGTCTGGCCCCTCGATCCCTGTTCCACAGTGGGGTGCCCAGGCGCAGCTTCCTTGTAAGGACTCAACGCCAAGTGTTTTCTCTCCCTTCCTCCCTCCCTCCTCCCCTCTCTTTTACCTTATTTTACCTCTTGCTTTCTGAACATCATATACCTCTTAGCAGCACATAAAAGGAAATGAAATCCTTCTATTTGCATGACAGGCAGTCTTCAGTGGAATTAATCCACCCCACATTACACAAGACACAAAACGGAAAAGGCCTACATTTAGACCGTCCGTGAGTTGGTGATCTCTATTCCAGGTGGACATGTGTGACGAGGAAACGTCAGGCCTCCCTGGGTGGGTCGGTTTAGACCCGCTCCTGTGCGGTTACAACTCAGGTAGGTGGCCGTGTCTTCCGAACCATTTCTCTGTAAAACTGAACTTCACCACCAGACATTTAAATCACTTCGGCTGTGACTTCCCTGTGTTGCAAAAGCTTCAAACCTCCATAGAAATTGACATGGCTAAGTTTCGTTGTTGCTGTTTTGTTTTCACTCTCTATCAGGGAGTCCTCAAAGCAAAAGAATGCATTTATTTGAAGTGAGAAAAGTGTGCCACCTTCTGGTATTGGACTTCAGAGACTGTTCAAACATTCCTCTCCCACGTGACCCTGAGTCGACCCCTTCTTCCCCATTCTCCATGTTATTACGACCAAAGGATAAAAAAATTTTCAGTACTGAGTTTAAGTAATTTGAAATACTTTGCAAAAATATTTGGAAACACTGCATACTTTGCTTAAATAGGGTAAACGGGTTTCCCTTTAGCCCGGGATTCGTGGAAGATTCTGTAAATTCAGTTCCATGGGGGTTCCCACGTGACAGGCCCGGGCGGTCAGCATAACAGAGTGCTTCCAGCCAGGGGGCCACGGCTGGGCAAAGACACAGCAGTGGGAAACCAGCCTATTGATGGAAGCACGGAGTCTTGAGTCAAGGATGAGGAATGGAAGTAGGGGGTAAGGCAGTGTTTGTAGGCGAGACGGTACAACGGTGGGCGCTTCCTGTGACTAATCCCAGCACCTGGTCACAGCAGGCAGGATGGAATGGAGCGGGCTGAGCAGGCAGAGTGCATACAATTCAAAGGGAGCGTTAGGAACCCACGAGCATTAGAAACCCACGAGGGCACCGAGTTAGTTTTCAAAAGTTAAGTGTGTAACTGGCACGCCAGGGGCTTCAAACACTGGTTGCAAGGTGAAATTAACATCGTACACATTGATGACTTCCAGCTCCTACCAGCTTGTTAGGTCCCAGCCATACTCACACATGTCCCCTATCTTTGGGGATGTCCCCAAAGACGTGCATCACATACGAGATAAGCTGTGTTTAACACTTTGCATTCCAGACGAAGGTGCAATCAAGACTTCCTCCTGCAGCCGCAGCCGCGGCCGCCGCTCACTCCTGACCTCCTGGCTACAGCCCAACACACACAGGACCCTCCGCAGTGGCAGGTGTGACAATGTAATTTCACTGGCATCTGAACTCTAGCTGAGGGAATTACTATTATTTGGAATTATTCCTTGATGGTCACTCACAGAAATGAGAGCCCCAGGGGGCAGAGAGCAATACTTGAAGGAGAACTTAACTGCTGGGTGTGGTGTATATGCAGAGATTGGAAATGGCTCGGGGTAGGAGGGAGAAACCAGACTGGAGGGGAGGAACGAGGCTCACAGAGGCAGAGAGGTTGACGGGGCAGGGTCACACCTCCGCCTGAAGACGGGCAGCTGGGAGTGTCTAAGCCTCTAGGAAATCCCAGAAATCGTTGAAAGGGTTTTGGAGTTGCCCAGACATGGAAATAGGAATCAAAGGCAAACCTTAACTCGGATCTCAAGGGCCAGGAAGGTTCCGGGTAATACATGTTGTACCTCCTCTAGGGGGTGGCCCGTGGTGGCAGCGGGAAAACGTTTCCTCCAAGAAAAACCTGCAGGTCCCTGTGTCCGATGGAGGCACTTTCCATTGCCGCGCAGCGCAGCTTCATTCCTCGGAGCCAAGACACCCTCACCCCTGTTCTTGAGGCCTCCACTTGATATTTCCAAAACTACGTGATGCATTCAAGTGGTTCTCCTGGGAAAGTGCCGTTGGTTCTTGCAAAACTGAAATCTATTTGTAATTCTAATCGGGAAGAGACCTGTGAACCTTGAGAGTTGTCTAACTGGTCTCAGAAAACAGGTGTTTACCCCCTGGGATCCCACAAGGAATGAGCAGGTAAGCGGGCCTGCTCCTTTGGAGACCGTGCGTCTGAGAGGCAGAGAGCTCACCGTGGCGCTGGACGGCACGCTGCTGCTTTAAATGCCACAGAGTCCCGAACGGTCTTATGCGGATGGTATTGCTTTCGTAAATTAGATTTTAAGTTAGTGAATGGATACATTATTATAGCGCCTCGGCACTAACACCGAAGATCGATGCTGGGAAGACAGCCATGGGGCGAAAGCTGGGCGGAGGCCGAGAAAAGCAAGGACGGAGAGACGAGAGGGCCTGGTGGAGAGTGGGGGTTGGAAGCAGCGCCGCTGGGTCGTGGGCACTCGGGAGGGAAAAATCATTGGAAGGACAAAGCGGGGATGGGGAGGGGACAAGCGTGTGATGGAGCAGCTGATGAAATGTAAGGCAGGAACACCTGGTTAACATACAATGACTCCTCCAGGGTCGCTTTTCCCCTTCGCCAAATCCACGTGCTTTCCCCTTCCTGGGAAGTGGCCACAATGTCCTTTCGCTCCCTGTTCCTTCACAGAAGACCACTCAGTGGGCACAACTCCCAGCTTCTCTTGTGTTTGGAGAGACACACTGGTCAAGCAGCAAGAATTGGGCATAACGATTGGTAAAGCTCTCCGGACAGCCAGCAGTGCCCCGAGTCCCTCGCCTGCCTTCTCTCCCCTTTCTGCCGGGTTGGGACACAGGCGGTGGCTGCAGCATCTCTCTCGGTCCCCAAGGAGCACGCCAAGCGGCGCAGGACCGCAGGATGCTCTCGTCAGTCCCTGCCGTGGCAGAGCGGTCCTGCCCGGTCAGCCGGCCTCCGCGCTGCCGGGCCCCCGGGGGCTGTGTGCCTCCCGAAGTCACCGTTGCCCCGTCAGGTGAAGCTGCATGGACGCCTCCCCTCCACTGCGGCTGCCCCCCAGTTCCAAGCAGCAAGTGGCCAAGGAGGGAGTTGAAACACCACGGACGGCGTCGGCATCACGCAGCTCCTGTTTCCTTCCATCACTCGCACTCCTGCTTTGTGTGATGTGTCAGGCTCAGAAAGTCAGAATTTAGCCCAAAGGGGGTCGCGAGCCCTAGAGGGAGTTGAAAGCTACCCTTATCCCCTGGGAAAAAATTTTAAACACTAATTTCTTTTCAAATTTTTTAATGTCAACACATGGCTCCGACAACAACAAAAACAAGCATCTCAGAAACTCTATACACACCCTCAAACAAAATAAGCCTATTTAAAAAAAGAAACAAAGAAAAAATTAAGTAATTTCAGAATGAAAAGTTGCCCTGGCCAGGCAGATCAGTTGGTTAGAGCGTCATCCCAATGTGCCAAGGTTGCGGGTTCAATTCCCTCTCAAGGCACATACAAGACTCGACCAATGAATGCATAGATAAGTGGAACAACAAATCAATGTGTTTCTCTCTCTCTCTCTCCCCCCCCTTCCTCTCTCTCAAATCAATACATTTTTTTAAAAAATTAAAAGTTACTTGAATTAGGACCACAGAAAAAATTCTCAGTGGGCCCACCCATTGCTGTGGCCCGCGGTTCAGGACGGGAAGCTCACTGGCTCTCATCCTGCAGGTCCAGCGTCACTGCGGAGCTGTCCCTGCTCAGCCTCACCGAGCCCGCAAGGAGCGCCCTCATCGTCTCTACGTTGTCACATAAGCGGTTCACCTTGGGATACGCAAGGAGCCTTTCCAGCGGCACGTAAAACTTATTTCCCAGACAGAAAGGCTTGGGAGACTTCTCTATGTTGAGTTTTTCCAGTTCTGTGAAGACCGGTCCAGAGAAGGCGGTGAGCCCGTTGCCCCTCGCCTCTGGACGGTGTGGGTCGCCTCTCTGCGGTCCACTCAGGCTCGAGATGTAGCTCTGTCTCAGGCTCTGCACTTGTCGAGACACCTCATTCACTAAGGCGAGTTTGCGGACTTCTTTTTGCTGTAAACTCGGGTACGAAACTGAATAAACCTGGAAGGGGCAGAAAAATCACTTAGAATGGAGGGACAGGTTCCCAACTATTAGTAGTAACTTTATACCCCATGAAGAATTAACTGTCCATGCAAATGTCAAACCTGACTCATCATAAATGCCACGTCTATGCTGGGAGTCAAGCTATTGGCACGCAGGGTAAAAGAAGGAAAGCTTTGCTCATTGGAAGGAAAACGTGTCTATTCCTCACCGCACCCCTGAAACCAAGGGGGCCTGAGAAGCGCGGGCCCACTGCCCAGCCCTCCTCTGTGCCCACTGTGAGGCCGCGCCTGGCGCTGCCTCCCTCTCCCCGCTGAGGAGTCTGCGGCCGCGCCGAAGAGGGGTGCTGGCCCACACCGCTCAGAGGTCATCCTGGCAGAAAGCCGGGCCGGCTCCAGGGCCACACTGGGCCTCTGGCAGCCATGGGCCGCGCAGGCGTGTCCCAGGGTCAACCTCCTAGTAAGGGTACTATTTAATCTTGTCCATGGGGACTCCTGGTAAGAAGTTCCCCATCCTAGTAAACGCCTTTCTGGTCCCGACGGCTGCCTCGCAGAAAACACTCACAACTTTATACACATGCTCGCCGCACTGCTCCTTGGCGCACGGTGTGGCGGCCCGCGCCCCGATCTTCCGGAAGACCCCTATCTGGGTGCAGTAGCCAACATTCCCAGCGCCTTCCGGTGGCTCCCCCACGCCGGTGAACTCCACGGAGTAGTTGTAGGAACTGGCCACACCTAAGGCCCTGAAATCCAAACAAGGAGAGAGAGCTTTTTGTCCCTAAACTTAGAGCTGCTGTTAAAGAGACAGCCATTTCCAGTAGAACAGAATGTGAAAAATACAGCCAACAAAAAATCCTTCCTAGTCACCAATGGTTGTGGCACCAGAGGACGACACCGCGCAGGTTCGCCTATTCCTCGGAGGGGCGTTGAGGCCATGACTGTGAGATCATGAACCACAAGAACGTGCAGAAAAGGAAAGTTGTGGAGCGGAGTCTAGGGGTGACCCAGGACACCATGGAGGCTAGAATCCCGACTCGGATGTCTGTCAAGCCCCCGGGAGGGGCCCCCGAGCCGGGGCACACGGAGCCCCACAGCACCCCTTCCTTTCGTTGTGTGGCCTGGACGCCCACCCCCCCTTGCACGGGCACATCCGGGGCCCACACGCCCTTCCCCCACCTGCCTGAGACCTGACAGACAGAACAACGCTCCCCACTTACCTGCTCAGCTGTACTTTGGAAATCAGTTCTATCACAAGGAAATAAATCATCGCAGTCATGTATGGATGAAGATTTGCTTCACAGGATTTTAAACTTCCATGGGGTCCCCCAAAACGAAAATGCTCACGAACTCACCAGGTCTGAAACTGCTCCCTGTTCCACTCAAATTTGTGGTCTGCGTCTCGTAGGGTCACGACGGGAAACAGGGGGTTGAAATCGGAGTTGGGTGTGCTGATGACGACCATGGCTGGGGACAGGTACCCGAACACAACTTTGGGAAACCTGGCCAGGTCTTGTGAGTCCAAATGTTCTATTCTGAAATGGTTAATGGGGAAGATACAATAAAATCTAGCTTCCCTTGCAGGTATTTTCCTAACTAACTTAGCAAAACAATTTCTTTCTCTACATTGATTTATCCCTTCTTTGAAGATGTAATAGTGACTTGAAATAATCTCATCCTCCCCTTTGCTGATTCCGGATGGGACAGAATGGTAAAAAGCCAGCCCCAAGTGACAAGAAATTTTCTTTACAAATGAAAATTAAGATCATATTTAGGATACAAAGTTTACTAAAGCTAAGTCGGTGGGATTGTTCTAATGAATTTATACAGAAGGAATCCATTTAATACTTACAACTCGATACATGTCACTAAGTCGAATCCAAGCAAACGAGAGTCTCTCTCCACAGCGGAGCCGTGATACAAGATGATAGACAAATTCAGATCCCGGGGACTCAGGTAATCCCCGGAGAACGGAGACAACTTACACCTGCAAAAGCGTGATTGTAAAGGACACCTTAATGCGGACTGTTTAGAGTTACCGCAGCTGCAGTACTGAGGGTCATCTGCCTACAGCGAGGCGTCCGGACATGGCCCGTTCCCCACACTGCGCTAAGCAAGCACCGGGTCACAGAGCAACTTCCTCTCACGGGGGAGTAACGGGACAATAGGAACAAGACTGAATATGTGACGTCGCTCTCACTTTTAATACTTTGGGTCTCCAAGCTCCCTTTGAATCAATGATTTTCAACTTTTTATTCTTTCAGAGAAAAACACCCTTGAAACTAATGCACATCAGAGATTGGAGGAGAGTCGCTGTTCCACGCCGGTGGTGGCGGGTGGTGGCGTGGCCTGGAGCTCCGCTGTTACCATGCTGTAGGACATGGAAGTAATTACATTGTTGCCATTTGAAGCTGAGCTGGCAATGCTTTGACTGCTACAATGACTTCATTGAGGCTGTGCTTTTTACCCTGTGGAAAACGGGTATTATTCCCAATGTCTACAGTTAATTAGTATTATGACATAGTCATTCTTCAGTGAGCCTTGAAGCTCTCCTAGTGTGGAATGTACAACACATTTTAACATTTTACATACTTCAAACATTGCCTAAAATTGACACTTCCTCTAAGCATGTTTAATAGTGCCACTGGTTTTAGATTAATGCACAGTTCTTCCAGAAACTAGGTATTACCTTCGTGATACTATTTTATCTTCATTGATATCCACTCCAACAATCAGTTCAAGGCAACTGTGTGATTTAATCGTCTGTATGAGCAAAGCATTACCACACCCCAAGTCTGCAACCTGTAGATGAGACGGAATGTTACTTCAAAGACGGCATTTATAGCCAGAGAAGTCAAATATGATCAAAGATTTTGTGTAGGGAATGGGTATCAAAAATGAAACCATAATAAAACATTATGTGGAAGGATCTTTTTGGCAGAAAAAGTGCACAAAAGGAAATTAATCTTCAGACGTTATAAGCCTAGGGGTGGGGGGATGCGTGCTATTTAACTTCACATTAACCAAATTTTTACTACACTTTCCTCACCCAGCTCTTCCGAGCTTAGTTTTCTTTCTATAACCCTTTCCTCCTTGTAATAACCTTTTTTTTTTTTTTTTTTTTTGGTAATAACCTTTTTGAACAGTCTCTGCTTCCTTACTAACCAACACCTCTGTAGTTGACAGAACATTTTATGAGACAGTTTTAATTGGAAACAAATACCTACCTTCTTGGGTTTATGTTGATTCACTAGATCGTTAACGAAGCTGTAACGCTGCCTGTATAATGGAGGGAAAAAATTAATTGTCTTCTTGGTGGGAAGGTCAGAATTGTCATCGGCCACATTGTTGCCCTGAAAGTTTACAAACGAAAAGTGCTCTAAATCATAGGGGAAAAAACGGCTTTATTTGCCCCAATTAATTGGCAAAACAAATTGGCCATTCAGCCCCCTCTATTTTTTTTTTTTAAAGTTTAAAGTGAAAGAGGGTTTATTTGCAAAGGATGGGACAGAGAGATGGCCACCCCATAGGCACAGCAGCCCGGCGGCCACTTCTGTTCTAACGTCACTGGATTTCCCCTACTATTCATCCTGTCTCGTTAAGAACCTCACTTTTTCCTTCCTACAGCTCAGAGTCCGCTGAACGGAAAATTCCTTGGGAATGCATTTGATAAAACAACGATAAGCCTCCCAGCCCCAAGGGACCATTAGGGAACTTCCAAAGCCTGGAGTCCCCGCAGGCAAGAGGCTGGAAACCAGTCATGACTAAGTCTCGCCATGACCACAGAGAAGTCAGGTTCCTTTGGGACCTTGTCTGACTAGGCCTGGGCCTGGACCCTGTCCTGTCTTTGGCCTGCCTAGACCAGCTGTAGCAAGATTCCTACTCCATCAGTTTAGAGAGAATCCCCTACCCCTGACATGCATCCAACTCCACCTCTCATCAATTTCCTCATTTCCCACCCATGATACTGGACCACCTAGGCCTGCCTTCAGCAGGAGTCCTCCTTTTAAATCTGCAAATCCTTTGGCAAGAGTCCCCATACCCTTGATACCTTCTTTCTTTCCCCTCCACTCACCTCCCCGCACCGCCCCCTGCCCCCGCCCGGCTCTGCTCAAAGGTTATAAAGCCATTAGTCTTTGTTGTATATGGAGTTCAGTTGAATCTCACCCCTACTGCAATGCTCTTGTTGCAATAGTCCTAATAACTGTGTCAGAATGTTTCTTTAACATGACTCCCATTAGGAAAAAGCAATTATGATTAATCCCTAAAGTATTCCTGCTCCTAAATACCAGTGTTATAAAGGAAGACCGTCCAAAGGGCACTTCTGTCCAAGAGAAATAAAATTGCAACTTCCTGGCAGCCTATTTTTAAAAAAACATTTTTGAAGTGTAATTGTAATATTTTATAAACGCGGTGTATCTAAAATTGCCAGAATTAACTCTTGAGAGTCATGCAAGGGAGTTAGGAAGAGCAGCAATCACCTCTTTATTCTGTTCCATTTTGTCTCAAAGTTTCCTTGAAACAAAAATGTAGATGTATCCTTCAAGTTCCAGAAATCAGCAAGGACGGGGCTGTAAATACAAAATATCAATTATAAAAAGGAGCCTGGACGAAATAGTTGCCCAGATCAATAGGGAAGGGAGAACGCAGGCTTTCTGCGTTCTCTTTCCGTGTTACCATTTAACCCGCAGAACTGATTCAGTAAGTACTGCTTCAGACAGCCGCCAGCAGCTCAGGAAGCCTACCTAACTGCGCTGTGCCAAACCCAGCTCAGCGCAGCCCAGGGTACCCCTACCTAAGGCACTGTTGTTTCCTCTTCCTGTTCTTTTACTTTCAAACAAACGGAACAATCCTATCAATTTGACTATTTCATTAAAGCCCTCCCCCTCATTCAAATCGTTTGTAATTACTTTCACACATGCCAAAATGAAATTTCGACCAAACTAGAGGGGTTCCAACATCTATTAAGTTCATGGATGAACCTGAAGTTAAATTTTGGTCCTCTATTTCACGCCTGTTTCTGTCAACAGCTTGGTCCAAAATGTAGGCAACACGACATTCGCTCATCTTTCCGAGTAATTTTCTACAGCCAGGGGTGTCCAACCCGCTACCCTGTCGGCCCAGGCGGCCCAAGACAAAATCGTAAATTTACTTAACACGTTTGGTTTTGGTTTTGTTTTTGCTCATTAGTTTTCGTTAGTGTTTATGTATTTAATATGTGGCCCAAGACAACTCTTCCTCCAGTGTGGCCCAGGGACGCCAAAAGGCTGGACCCCGCTCCGTCTACCTTGAATCCCAAAACCGGCCTCCGCTACCCAACAACGTTAGGGTCCTGGGCCCCACCGATGCCTGTCCCACGTGTGCGTAAGAAGCAAGTCCAGGCGGCAAAGCCCGTCAAGGACCGCGGGCGGGGATCCCCGGCCGCAGGTAACTTCTGGCCACGCATTGGATGACCGCGCACGCGCAGTCTCCTTACGTGGCGTTACCTGCCCGGGGCCCTCACCTGCGCTGCCGGGGCCCTCACACTGCGCCCTAGTCCTCCTCCTGGCGCTCAGCCCATTCCCTTCAAGCTCCCAGCAGCAGGGCGTCGGTTTTGTGTCTCTTAACGGCCGCAGTTGCGCGTGGCCCGACGCTGTTCGCCGGCCGCGACTGTTGGCCGAGCCTGGCGCCGCCCCTCCCCGCGCGCATCCGCGCGTCCGCGAGGCGCGAGCCGGGCGGCGGCTCCGGCAGCTGTTGGGTGCGCTGCTCTCCTCGCGCGCGGCCAAAGCTGGAAACCGTACCGGCAGGAGGAGCGGCCGGGCTGAGCACGAGCTCCCCGGCCACTCAGTCGCCTCTCAGGTCCCCAGGACAACCCACAGGGGCCTTAGGGGTGCCCTGGGCTGGGTAAAGTTGGTTCATTGCATCTGAACTCCTAGAAAAACTTTCAACCGCCAACCTTCCAACTGGCAACTTCTGCATGCCGGGACGCAGCTACCTGATTTCTTAGAAACATCACTGCATGGGGTCCTCCCTCCCCGGCAGAGATTCAACTCGACACTTTATTTTTGAACTATTTTTTATTTATGTATTTATTTATTATTGATTTGAGAGAGAGAGAGGGAGAGAGAAATATGGATTTGGTTTTCCACTCATCCATGCATTCACTGGGTGGTTCTTTTATGTGCCCTGACCAGGATCGAACCCACAACCTTGGCTATGATATGACACTGTAACCAACGGAACTACCCGGCCAGGCCTCAAGACACTTTATAAATCAATATTTCTTTTTTGGTGTGTGATAGTAGAGTTTAAGGAGGGGAAGAAAGAGACACGAAGCTGCCGCCTTTGGGGGGGGGGAAATTTTTTTAGTCCTATTTTAAAAGACAAAAGCCAGTGTGTACTAATGATTGAATGACCCATTAATATACCACAAATAATGTGTCAAAAGTATATTTTCACATAATACCTACAATATGCAAAGCTAACAGCTTTGGAGTATCACAAAGAAATTACATAACTCTTGCTTTTGGTATGGGGAGGAGCTCAGATTGAAAAGTAACTCGAGATAAACTTCACTGAGGGGCTCCTGTTGGCCTCCAGACACGGCAGCTTAACAGACTGTCTTCCTTAAAAGAGCATATTCCTTATTGCAGAATATGTCATTTAAATAGAACCATTAAAAGTTAATAAATGGCCCTGACCAGGTAGCTCAGTTGGTTACAGCATCATCCCCATAGGCCACGGTTGCAGGTTGGTGATCTGGGCAGGATTCCTGACTCTCGAGTTTTTGACCCACCTGCTTGTTGGCTCTTTTATGAACTTGAATGCTCCCGTCCAGCTCTCTCTCCAAATGCGCCTATTTCATCATTCTCCCGGTCTCCTACTATTTCAGACGCTGGAAGCAATCCTTGGCTCTATCCCTTCGCACCCTTCCCACACTTGGACGTTCACTTCTTGGACATTCACCTTGACCTCTTCAAGCTGTCAGTTGCATCTGTCCCTTCCTACAGCCAATACCTTAGCTTACCCTTTGTCATCTTCATTGTTTCGTTACACCTCATCTTACCTTCCCCCACGAGATTCTAAGTCCCCACTGAGATACAGGCCATGTTATACACTTCCAGAATGCGTTTTAAGCCAAACAGACCTTACATCCTGATTTGACTATTACTCCCTAACCTCTGGAAATTTACTTACCCTCTGTGAGTGTTGATTCATTCCGTTGAAAAATGAAAATTAACTAAGATTGATTACCCATTCAATAATTATGTATAGTGTGCCAATTATGGACCAAGTACTGGTTTGAGTGAAAAAGACAGATAAAGGTCCTTCTCCCGTGGTTCTTCTAGTCCAGCAGGTGCGTCTGTCCCGCAATAAGTGTACAAAAGTTATCCTGTGGACCAGCTTGAGCCTGATTAGCATAAACTATTGGGAGGACTTGAGAGAAGACAATTGTCTTTGCATACAAAAGGAATGAAGGTAAACAGTGTGTGGCCAGAAGGAAAATTGTGATGATTAAAATGCACAAATTCTTTGACACTCTTCTTGAGACATGGGGTCTGTTTCTTTTCCCTTTGAATCTGGATGGCTTTTGTCGTTTCACCAATGAATAGAACACCAAAGTGCCAGGTCCAGGCCCAGATGTTAACAAACTGGCAGCTTCTACTTCCTGTCTCTTGGAACACCTACCTACCAGTGCGCCTGGAACCCAGGTGCCAGTCTGTGAAGGAGAACAAGCAATGCCCATCTTCCCGCCGGAGGCCCACAGCGAGAGAACCCAGATGTGCCCCACCCCCACCCCAGGCTGCCAGCATCCACCTGTCCTGCAAGCCATGGGAGTGAACCGTTTGGAAATAATCCTCCAGCCCCAGCTGGGCCACTTTAGCTAACTGCCTGAGGGCTGCTGGAGCAGCTTTGCCCACCAGCACCCAATGTTGGGAGTGTCTGAGAAGTTACCCTCCCCTAGGCAGCGGTTGTTTTTGTTTGTTTTTGTTTTTACTGCACAGTTCCCCTCCTGTGGCAGGCTAAAGCAGGTATCCGCAGGACTTGACCCAAAACTGCACCATTGCAATGGCTTCTTCCCTGCCCTGCCTCTCCCGTCCCTTACCGGCTTCACCTGGGAAGATTACTGATGGACACACAGGGCTTCCTACCTCAGGGTCTGGCTCTGGGAACCGGACCTAGGACATCCATTCTGGCTGTTTTCTGGAGAATGAATCAGAAGGTGTCAAAACTAGAAGAAGGTGACCATTCAGAAGGCCATTTCAATGAGTCGGGAGAGGTGTGACAGTGGCCTGGACTCTGTGACAACAGTGAAGGCAGAGTGATGTAGCAGAATCTAGATGTGTCTTGAAGGTAAAACTCAAGACAAAGGACCTCATGCTCTTGCCACCCAAGCCTATGCCTTTCACCCCCACCTTGACAAGGCCCTTTCTCTTATAAGAGAAAGTATCGCTAACAAACCCTGCATACATGCAATCAACCTGCTGATCTGTAATTCTTCACTGCATCGCCAGGAAGAACGGAGTTTTTCCTGTTAACTGTTGCAAGAAATTTATTATAGGACATTGAAATATCACCTAATCTCTCAGACACTAGAGAACTGACAGTTGGACATAGCCTGGAACAATGCCCAACCACCAAAGGGATTCATTATCAGAAATACCTGGCCCATTTGAGGCTTAGAACTGGCAGACAGGAGAGGCAACCAACTGATGTTTTCCTCCCTCTCTTTCTCCCTCCCTTCCCCCCTCTCTAAATATAAATTTAAAAAATCTTTTAAAAAATAAAATGTGAAGTTTAAGGTGCATTACAAGTGCATTTTTGATTTCTGATATTTTCAACTTACAATGAGTTTTTTGGGATGTAACCCCATCATAAGTCAAGGGTCATCTGTATATTTGGTCTTCACCCCCAAGTTGCTGAAACAAGGGCTTATAGACCCAGCCAATGTCTGGGATGACAAAATTCCATTTTTTGTATGTTAATGAAGTGGCTCTAGGTGAGCCTAGATAGCTTCAGGTGGCAGCTGGTTGCCAGATAAGCCAAATCATATGATTAGAAGGTCGGAACTTTCAGCCCCTCCCATGACTATGACCCCATAATTTAATCAGTCTGTCATTCTACCAGAGCTTCCATAAAAACCCTAAGCAACAAGGTTCGCAGAGCTTTCAGGTTCATATGTATCCTTTATAATAAAGGGTAATGTGCTTATAATACTCCTTGTAATAGTTATTGGAGTGTTTCCCTGAGCTCTGTGAGCTGTGATAGCAAATTATTAAGCCCAACAAGAGGATCGTGGGAACCCCTGATTTGTATTCAAGTAGCACAGAATTATGGGTAACGTGAGGACCACCTCTTACAATTGGTGTCCGAAGTTGAGTGTAGTCTTTTGGGGGGCTGAGCCCTTGACCTGTGCAATGTGCTAACTCCAAGTAGTTAATGTCACAATTGAATTAAGTTATAGGACACCCAGTTGGTGTCCAAAGAGTTGGTATGGGGAGAAGCCCTCACACATTTGTGGTCAAAGTGTTCTGAGAGAAAGTTTTCTTTTCAATATCTACTTAATAACTACTAAGTGTCGATCACTGCGCCTAGTGCTGAGAATGATTAAGTGAAAGGCATAGAGCCCCCCTGTAGTGACTGAAGATGACAAATAAACAGACAACTGCAGTATATGCAGGGCTAGTATTCAGCCGGTATGTTAACGATATGGCTTACTGGTTTTTCCTATCATCCTGGAAACAAATGTAAGTACTATAACAGAAACAGTTACCCAAACACATGATCTGTTCTTTCATGCCGCGGAGCCTTTGCACAGACTACCCTAAGTAGAATATCCTTTCCTCTTTATTTGCCTGGTAACTCCAAATAATTCTTAAACTTCAACTCCTACCTTTTCTGACTCAGTTCTTTGAAGTCATAACCAAAGAAATAGGAATAGCTTTGTTCAACACCCTTGATTGTTCAGAACAACCTACCGGTCATATAAGGTTTTTAGTTCTTGGGTACTTTATACAATGGCTTCTTAAGTTACTCTAGATTCATGGTGGTTTTGAACAATAAAATGTTCAGAACACTAGAACATTTGTTATTTTAGTTACACGTGGCAATTATTTTAATTCGTAACTCATTTATTCATTCATAAACACCAATTGCATGCCAATAGGTAGGCTTATTTTTTTTTTAAAGAAATTGATGGAAATACAAAGGACTTAGAGTAACCGAAGCAATTTTTAAGAGAAAGGAAAAGTTGGAAGATTTCACCTAATTTCAAAACATAAAGCTACAGTAACCCAGATGGTTTGGTATTGCTGAAAAGATAAACAAAGATTAAGGGAACACAGTAGAGTCCAGAAATAGACCCATATATGGTGAGTTAAATGATTTTTGACAAAGGTGCTAAACCAATTCAATAGGAAAAGTCTTCAACAAACGGTACTGGATCAACTGAGTATCTGTGGACAAAAATTAAAATCAGCTCTACCTCACACCATAGGCAAAAATCAACTTGAAATGGTCATAAACTTAAGTGTAAAATCCCAAGTTATAAAACTTTTAGAGAACATAAAAAGCCCTGCCAGGTAGCTCGGTTAGAGTATCATCCCAGTATGCCAAGGTTGTTGGTTCGATCTAGGTGGTTAGCCAAGAGAAACAAAAACATGTCTGCACAAAGACTAGTGCACAGATGTTCATAACAGCTTTATTTGTAATAGCCCAAAATCAGAAACAAAATGGCCATCAAAAAATGATCGGATAAGCAAATTGTGGTAAATCTGCACAATGTAATACTACTCAGTAATAATATTTTATTTATACACACACACACACTCATTCACATAGCCTGTTGGTACAAGCAACAAGAGAGTTTCAAAATTATGTTGAGTCTAAGAAGCCAGGCAAAAAAGAACAATGTATGACTCCATTTAAAATTCAAGGAAACGCAAACTATATTGACGGAAAGTGATTGGGAAAGTGACTGGGGACGGAGCCAGAGGGACAGATCTTTTGGAGGTGGCGATGGTTAATGTGTTTTGTGGTCTGAATGTGCTCTCCCCAAATTCGTGTTAAAATCCTAACCCCCAAAGATGATGGTATTAGAAGGTGGGGTCTTCGGGAGCTGCTTAAGTCAGGAGACCTGAGTCCTCATTAATAGGATTAGTGATCTTGCGATCCGCAAAGCTCCTTGATTTAAATGTCACTGAATTCCTGTCTTATCTTAGCATTCTAGGAACTTCAGGGGCCGAATTCCTATCCAGTACGACTCCCCCATAATCATATTTCCTGGCTACAGTCACCTGGGCTGTTTACTCTCTAACAAGCCTTGACCTTCCCTACTTCTACGTATATTCAGGCTGTTCTCTGCCGATAAAACCGCCCAGTCCATTCCCACCTGCAAAAGCTTAAGTGTCTTTTGTAGCCTTCCCTTAACTCTCAAGCACCGGAGACTCCTCTAGGTTAACAGTGGCTTTTGAGAGAGAAAACAGATTCTGACTCATTTTTACACGTTTTTCCCACTTCCTCCCGCCCTCTCTGGCCCCATTTCGGTGCCTTGCCCAATATTTACTAGTTGTGCATCCGCAAAATTTAAGAACTCGAGTAGGAAGGCTCGAAAACGCTAACAAACGCCTGGGGCATTCTATTAGGCCCTCCAGGTATAGTAGCTCTTTTAACCACCTAGCAAGATGTTATCTCGATCTTAGCTTAATACATTTAGGCTCAAACAAGACCACTGGTCGGACACTACAGCTCTCGGGAGGACGAAGAGACCTTGCACCGCAATCACACCGCGGGGTGAGGTCCCGGCCATTATCCCTTCCACAGAATCTTAAAAGAGCCTCGGATACTCTGCAGGAGTCAGAGTCGCGATCTGTCGCGATAGGCCCCGCGAACCCTCCCCTGCCCGGCTTCCCAGAGGAGAGACCAGGGTCCCGGTCCAAACACGAAAACATTCGAGTCGGACCTACATCGCCTTCCCCCGGCCCCCGAACTCCCAGGGTACAACTAAGAGGCGGGCGCAGCCGGCCACCGCGGCGCCGTAGCGCGCGGAGAACGCGCGGCGGAAGCAGGAAGAGGAGTCGCCGGCCCACCTGGCTGGCTACCGGCGGAGCTTGGAACGCCGGGGCGGTGGCGTCACATCCGCCGGCCCGCCATCTTGTTCCCAGGGGCAGTTGGCGGAAGAGATCGCGCTCCCTGGCCGCCGGCTCGCCTTCTGCCGTGAGTTCTCGCGGCCAGCCTCTCGGCGTCTGCTCGCCACCCGGAGTCCGTTTGTCGGCGTCCTCGTCGCCCTCCCTCACCCGGCTGGGGCACAGCGAGGCGGCCCTCTCCCGACGGCGTTCCATGGAGTAGGGTCCCGGACCGTTGTCCCGAAGAGCGAGATCGAGCTTGGCCCCCTCCCCCCCTCTTCCCTCCCTCCTTCCTTCCGCTGCAACATGGCTAACAACAGCCCCGCGCTGACAGGCAACTCGCAGCCGCAGCACCAGGCGGCCGCGGCCGCGGCCCAGCAGCAGCAGCAACCGCCGTGCGGCGGCGGCGCCCCGACCAAGCCGGCGGTCTCGGGCAAGCAGGGCAATGTGCTGCCGCTGTGGGGCAACGAGAAGACTATGAACCTCAACCCCATGATCTTGACCAATATCCTGTCGTCGCCTTACTTCAAAGTGCAGCTCTACGAGCTCAAGACCTACCACGAGGTGGTGGACGAGATCTACTTTAAGGTACGATGCGCCTAGGCCTGGGCAGGGGCTAAGTTCGGAGGAGGGAGCACGGAGGAAACGGGCGGAGGCGGCCCCCGAGATCTGAGGATTTGGGGTGGGGGCGAAGGTTCGGTGGGTGGGGGCAGCGGTGGCCGGTAGTCCGCCAGGGAGAGGGGGCCGCCCTCGTTTCCTTCTCAGATTTTTAGGGCCGGGAGAGCCCGCTGCTGTCCATCTCTCGCGCCTCCTGCCCACCCCTGGGGGAGTTGGACGAGAAGGGTCGGGGAGAGCCGAAAAGAGTAACTGACGCCTCTCCAGTTCGCAGCTTTCAAATAATTCCTTTTGACGCGGATCTACTCCGCGCCAACTTGTGGGTGCTTCTCCCGCTCACCCTGAGCCAGGGCGTGTATTGACAGCAATGTTGGCCTCGTGTTGTTGGTGTTCACTTTACGGACAGGGAAGTGGTCAGTACGGGTGGGGTGGGAGGGTGGAGGGTGGAGAGGTGGCAGTACGAGAGGTGTAACGGAAGGCCTGGAAATTTTCCCAGCAGGAAGTCAGGAGTGAGTGGTCTCAGTTACCTGTGCGTTGGGCTTACGAGAATTATCTGGGCCCTGGGCTTCTGCGGCAGGGTCGGTGCTGGCTTGGCTGTGCTGGGGAGCTCACCTGGCGCCTCCTCACTGCACTCTTGTCTCAGTTCTTGTTTCGTTAGCAGGATTGACTCAGTCTTGCAGCGAGGCTCGGAGCAGCCCAGGGTCGCAGGTAGAGGTATGCACTATTAATCATGCTCAATCGCCATAAATGCATTTCCCTGGATTAAATGAACGGCTAATTAGATTTTTTTGGCCATTGGTTTTGGTCTTTTAACAACTAGATAGGCTTTCACCACTTACCTGCAAATTATGTAGTTTGAAGAAAATATCTTCCGGGCCTCCTAAGATTGTATTTTAAAGAATATTTATAATAGCCTTACTGATCTTTAAATATTTTAGCTAGATCGTCTAATGTAATACAATTCGTTTTGGCTAGATTGACTCTTAAAGCACTTGACCACGAAGTATTTTCTGAGAGCTGAACATATCTGGTGTTAACAAAAGTAAATTTTTAAAATCTGCTGTTAGGTTATGTTTGTTCACCTTTTCCCCAATTAAGTGACTAGTATTGAAGGTTTTTGGTTTTTTTAAAGGTCAGTTGCTTTCAGTAGAAAATCATTTTGAGAATACAGTTCAATTGTGGGTATAAAAAGTATACTGATATTCTCCTGCAAGATTATTGTAATACTATTAATTAGTTTTTTAAAGATAAGGCTTTTTTCAGCATGGACACAGTGCTGTGAATATTCACCCCTTAGCTTTATTTAGTACTCAACCTCAAACAATTGAAAATAGGGTTCCTGCACTTTTTGTGGCAGGGTCTGTTTAAGATCAGGCAGATGTTAATGGGATAGAAGAAAAGGTTGTTTTCTAATTTCAAATATGGTGTTTTGAAACAACTTTAGAATTCTACTAGAAATTATTTAAATTTAGTTACAACACTAAAGCCCCAGGTTTTCTCAGGAGACAGAAGATCTACTGACCATTGAAATGTGCAGCCCTCCGGTTTTGTAAGTCCATTTTGCATTGCATCCACCCCTTTGGCCAGCCTTTGAGGAATTGAAACATCTTTTATGCAACTAGCTAGGGGGAGGAAGTGAAATGAAGCAGTAAAGCCCCAAGCCCCTGCAGGAGTCAGCTGAGCAAATAGTGTAGTGCTTTACATTTAAATGTATGCTTTTTCTGTCTGAAACCACTGAAAAAGACTAAAATGTAACTGACTACAGTGGAGGGAAATAGTTTTAGAAATATGTAGTGAAAGAACAGGATTTATTTTGTTTTTAAGAAATAGTAGATCTTTCCAAAAGGCCTTCTTGAGTTCTATCTTTTGTAGAGCCTTTCTTCCCTGTTTTTCCCCCCTTTATATTTTAGGTAAAGTATGTGGTTTTTATAGAGTCCCCACCTTAGCAAGGATGATACTGAACCTGGATATACTTAGTGTAATAACTAATCACATTTATTCAGTTTTTGACACAGTTTATATGGGGGAGGTGGAATGAGTTGGTTCACATAAATAAGTTGAAAATAAATTACACATTGACCAACAAGAATGATCTGTGTAGGTGTAGTCTTTGTAATCTCATCTTTAATCAGGAATTAATACAATGTTCAGTCATGGTGAAAACTGAATAAAATTCCATAATTTTGCATCAGAAATAACTTGATGTTGTTTAAGCATACATTCTTCAAGTCATTTTTATTTTAATGTTGACTTTTAAACTACTATAAAAATGGACTATTGAGGTTATTATAATGATTTTTTAGAAAAATCATATTTATGCTTTAAGTGGGAATTTACATCCATTTTAAAAAGAGAATTTTTATTTTTTAAGCAACTCATAAAAAACTCTAAAGTTGGTATATTATCAGATATTTTTTTACAAGTTCATGAGACTGGAAATGTTGTGGCTCCACATGTACCAGCTTCCTACAAAGCCAGTGGGATTTCTGCGCTGTTAATCTGTTGAGATTTTATTAAATCCTAGTAGCTTTATTGGTGCTCTTTAAATATGTAAGGGTGTGTTTGTTGTTTTTTTTAAGATGATATACATACTTAATGTGTATAAATAAAATAAATACATCATGTCAAAATACCCATTCCAAACTTTTGGAAGAGCTGCTGTGTTATGGACTTGGTTTACTTTAATCATACTTGTAAAAAATTCGAAGTATGAATGTTTGCTGTGTCCCTCTTTTCTGTTTTCAGGTCACACATGTTGAGCCATGGGAGAAAGGAAGCAGGAAGACGGCAGGCCAGACAGGGATGTGCGGAGGGGTAAGTAGAAGTACGTGCATTTTTCAGTTTTTCTGTGTCTGATAATAAGTTTATATTTATGTCAGTTACACACTCAAATGACAGTTGGCAAATCTTAGAAGTTTAGGTTTTCTTTTTTTAATCTAAATTCAAATATTCAATGAGTGGAGTTAGAAAAGTTATTTTCATGTGTTCCGTTCTCAGTTCTGAATTATATCCTGTTAATAATACCTATCAGGATTAATCAGTTGGTATTAAGTAACTTTGTTAATTTCCTACTTATTAAAAATTTTCCCCTTAAAGGTTCGAGGTGTTGGAACAGGAGGAATTGTTTCTACAGCTTTCTGCCTGTTGTACAAGTTATTTACTCTGAAGTTAACTCGCAAACAAGTGATGGGTCTCATAACACACACAGACTCTCCATATATTAGAGCCCTCGGATTTATGTACATAAGGTGAGCATGCGCTTATCTCCATTTTTCAGTCTGGATCTCATTTTAATTCACATAAGCCTAATCAGTCCTCTGTAATTCTAGGTACACACAGCCCCCTACAGATCTCTGGGACTGGTTTGAATCCTTCCTTGATGACGAAGAGGTATGTCAGCAAGGGTAATAATTAGTTTTCTTTTGATTACTTCCTTGTTTTTAACATCTTTTATTTATTGGACATTTAATGTCTTCCAGAATTTTCTGTAGTTAAATTTCTCTCATACTTTTTGAATTTTTGCTAAGACTTCGTGGATTTTAGATATCTTAGGTTAATTTTCTTAAGTTTTATATCCTAATTTTTAAGGTTTTTTTGATAACTGTTAAGACTTTTGTCTTTCTACTTATGTTACATGTATGGTATTGATCTTGTATAGTCAGTAATGACTTTTTAAGGTGGACCATGCTCAAGAGGGAAGAGATAAGATATGTACATAGAATACTAATTAGCTTTTTCTTGGAACTTTTTAGTTGTTTATGCTCTAATTTCTTCCAAATACTAATATTTTCACTTGCTTAAAAGTATAGAATTGATCAGCTGGGTGGGGCTTAGGTAGGCTGAGAGTTAAGATCACTTTTCAAGATGACCAAAATGTTTTGATGTGAGCTTTTTGACTCCTAGTGTACTATATACATTCTTAAAGCTAGTAAACTTTTTCTCTAAATTATTTTATATTGTTTTCATTATAAATTTAATTTACCATTCAAGCTTAACGAGATTGAGCTTGTTACATACGTTCAGAAAACAAAAGTTACTTTGGGAAACTTTGTCAGGTTTAAGCCATACATGTATTATTAATATGCTTACATCATGAAGCCCAAGAACTAAAAAGAAACTTAATAATGAGCTGTATTGCCCATATAGATCCATATATGTATATACATATATATCCACATACATATATATGGATATATATGTCCTTACCACTACTTTATATTCTCAGGTTCATAAGCAAACTTGGAGTGTTACGTAGTCCTGTTTTCACTTTATTTTTTAAGCATTGTCCTTTTGTGCCCTTAAGAGCCAGCCCTGTACCCAGGATGGCCCTTCTAAACTGAGAGGGAAACTGCTGTGTCCCGGCAAACCTCCCCTGCCAAAACTGAGCACAGGGGTGCGAAGAAAGCATAGGGCAGGACAAAGTCAGCAGTCCTGTTTTTAAAGTTTGTGCAAAGAATTTGTTGAATTGAAGAATAGTTTTAGTAGAAATCTTTGTAGTGTGTTACTATTATTATATGCACACCTAAAAAAAAATCTCACTTGTATAAACATGGAAGTTTTTTTTTTTAAACAGTCCTTTATTTATTTACATTTTAGAGAGGGGGAGGGAGAAAAAGGGAGAGGAACATCAATTGGTTGCTTCTCGCATGCACCCCATCTAGGGACCAAACCTGCAGCCCAGGCGTGTGCCCTGACCTGGAATCGAACCAGCAACCTTTCACTTCGCAGACTGACGCCCAACCAAATGAGCCACACTGGTCAGGGCAAACATGGAAAATTTTTGTCTACATTTCTTTTGGCCTGTTTACTGAGCTGTTCAGTATCTCAGGAGAAGCAAAAAGTGTGTGTTTGGTGATAAACCACAATCTTTAATTTTTTTTCTTTTTTAGAGGAGATTTTTTAGGCTGAAGCACTTCTTCCTTTTACATTTAAAAAGCATGTCCCTTTTCAGAATTGGTATTGTATTAGGTTTGTTTCTGAATGCTTCTGCGTAATGTTTTTTTAATTGTATTCACAAACCTGAGAATCTCTATTTAAGCTAACTTATTGTTTTTTTCCTTAGATATCTGCAGCGATTATATTTGGAAATACTGTATATCTGAACACTTAAATGTGTGTGAGTGCAAGCAGTTTTACCTTTAGCTCTTGTTTTCCTGTTTAGATAACAAATCTCACTTTCCTTGTGTGCTTGCACTATAGGTTTGGGACTGACAATAGCTGACTAACATGTCCTGAGCTGTGAGAGGGCATAGCAAGAAGGCCTTCATGCGGTAATGACCCTTTTCAGAGACAATGGTCATCATGGATTATGCGTTTCCAATTATTTGTTCATTTATTTATTTTCTACATAACTCTAAATTAGGAACCTCACTGCTTCATGGCAGTTGGTTTGCTATTGCTTCCAGTTTTATTAGGGCTTCATTGTATATTAGAGCTGTTACGAGATAGCCCGTAGACAGGGACTGTCTTGAGTAGTTGGTATATAGCTAGGTCACAGTGCTAGGAATGATGTGTGCAAACGTTTCCGCAGAAATAAACGTACACTTAGTAGGTATGCGGAATGCAAACTTAAGTTGATTGCTCCGCATAGTTAAGTAACAGAAGGGGCTGATTCTTATTCTTAACCAAGGGAGGTCGGTTCTCCTCCTGCCCGGAAGTTGCAGGGTTTGTTCGCACCTGCATGCACACACTTAAGCCCAAGTATTTCTCTGTCATTCATTGTGAGATTAGAAGGGTACACAAATTAAAATTGTTCTGTTAGAATTTTTTTTTTTGTATTTGAGATTCCAGAGATGGTAATTTTTTTGTAGTAGTCACATATGTGCTGAAAGGACTCTTGTGTGACGGCCGGGGCATCCTCTGTGTTTCTGTAGGACCTGGACGTGAAGGCCGGCGGCGGCTGCGTGATGACCATTGGGGAAATGCTGCGGTCCTTTCTCACGAAACTGGAGTGGTTCTCCACCCTGTTCCCAAGGATTCCAGTTCCAGTTCAGAAGAATATTGATCAACAGATTAAAACCCGGCCTAGAAAAATCAAGAAAGATGGAAAGGAAGGCGCCGAGGAAATAGACAGACACGTTGAACGCAGACGCTCAAGGTAACATAACTCTTGAAGTAAGTTTATTTTAAAAACATGCTTTTTACAGAGGTCCTTGGAAATCAGTGGCAAGTTCTGTTTATAGTGTTCATTTTATGAGTTTGTCACTTTGGTTCCCAAAGGCTATTTTCTGCCTTTCGTGGCATTTTCAACAAACTTACCCATCTGTAAATGTGAACACACAAATTTTCCCCTGTAACTATTTTTGACATGTTTATGTCAGCTGGGGGTCTACATAAGTAACACTGATGACAGTTAAATTTTTTACACTGTTCAGTTCATTCAAATTTTCTTCTTTCCTCCCCCTTTCTGAAATACTAGGTCTCCAAGGAGATCACTGAGTCCACGGAGGTCCCCAAGAAGATCACGAAGTAGAAGCCATCATCGGGAGGGCCATGGGTGTTCTAGTTTTGACCGAGAATTAGAGAGAGAGAAAGAACGCCAGCGACTAGAGCGTGAAGCTAAAGAAAGAGAGAAAGAAAGGCGAAGATCCCGAAGTATTGACCGGGGGTTGGAGCGCAGGCATAGCAGGAGTAGGGAAAGGCATAGAAGTCGAAGTCGTGATAGGAAAGGAGATCGAAGGGACAGGGATCGGGAAAGAGAGAAGGAAAATGAGAGAGGCAGAAGACGAGATCGTGACTATGATAAGGAACGAGGTGATGACCGAGACAAGGAGAGGGAGCGGTCCAGGGAACGGTCCAAGGAACGGAGAAGTAGGGGCGAGGTGGAAGAAAAAAAACACAAAGACGACAAAGATGATAGACGGCATAGAGATGACAGAAAAGATTCCAAGAAAGAGAAAAAACACAGTAGGAGCAGAAGCAGAGAAAGGAAACATAGAAGTAGAAGTAGAAGCAGGAATGCAGGGAAACGGAGTAGAAGCAGGAGTAAAGAGAAGTCCAGCAAGCGTAAAAGTGAAAGCAAGGAAAAGTCCAATAAACGAAGTCGAAGTGGCAGTCGAGGAAGAACTGACAGTGTTGAAAAATCAAGAAAACGGGAACACAGTCCCAGCAAAGATAAGTCTAGAAAGCGTAGTAGAAGCAAAGAACGTCCCCACAAGCGGGATCACAGTGATGGCAGGGACCAGGCTGACAGACACGATCATCGGAGGAGCCAAAGCACAGAGCCCGAGAGCCAAGAGAAACAGCATAAAGACAAAGACGAGACTGTGTGAACGTTTTTTGTGAAAGTGGATCACATTGAATCCTATAAATGTTTGATTAAATCTGCTTTTTCCCCTTCCCAAGTTGAGATTGTTGCAGTAGTACGCACTCTTCAGGCTCCCTGTAGGCAGCGTTTTCATTTCCTCTTTCGTGTAGGGAAGTGCCTTTGTAATCCCATTTATTGCATTGATGTTTCCACCCAATTGTTGAGTTTGACACCTGGTGCACAGGTTGTTCTTGCATTTTTACTGTTTAATTGTTTTTGAGGTGTACAGTCTGTACATATGTCCTGAAAATGTTTTAATTTCTTTGGCATGGTCGCCATGTTGGTTAAATTTGTATAAGGCAATAAACTGCCACTGATTCTATTTTTGTTCTGTAGGTGTGGGGTTATGGTCTGTGTACTGAAGTCCGCATGGCTGTGCTTTCCGTAGTAGAATGCTAAAGACTTGGAGAATGGCTCTCGGATGTTCATCATAGGAGAATTATGTGTTTGCGATGTACATGAAGCCAACAGTTGTAGGATTAACATTCTTACCCACTGTATATTATCTTGGAAGGCTCTTGTTAATATGTTACACTTAATATTCTCCAGTTAACTTTAGAGAGAATTTATAAATAGTTTTCTGATACAGAGGTTTAAATTAGGCTGTGATGTGATCAAAAGTCCTTTTAGCATTCTACCTCAAAGGGACACTGTTAGTATGCCTAAAATATATTCACTTCGTTTTCTTTTTTTATTTGAAAAAGTACATGACATGTATTCTTTTCTTTTTTTTTTTTTTGGATTCCTCAGATTTTAAAGTACTATATTAAAGGAAAAAAAAGTCTAAGGCCTAGCATTCTTGCAGCAGCCCTACACTAACGAAATTGGGAGAGGGTGGGGCAGATGAGTAGAGACATAGATTCAAGCCTCAAGCTTCCAAAGCATTTTTATAAATGGAAAATACTTAAATTATAAAACAGCTTGATAGTGTCCTTTTTTTAAAATTCAAAACTTTTTTATTGATAATGAAGATTGCTGTTTGAGTTTTTAAACAATCTAGAACAGAGAAGTATTAAAAGTAATGCTATGCTGCATTATTTAAGATTATTGGCAAATTATTTGATAGATTGTTATGACTTGTATTCTGATTACAGAGAAGGATCATGAGTGTGGAATAAATACTGGATTAAATCCTTTATCCTGGGTGTTGGCTTTTCCCCTATGTGTTGGGTTTTTTTTTTTTTTTTTTTTTTGGAAGTATTTTTGTGGAAACTGGTAAAAAGTTAGGAGAGCCACACTTTGTGTAGAGAGAGATTTCAGTGAATCTTAAGCCTGTAACCTTGAATTGGATGTGCACTGATGCTCAGCAATCCTTCCTCAAGTTCTTCCCGGCTGTCCCCTCCGTCTGTGGGTGTCGCGTTACTGGATCATTCTTTGGGTTGGGTGATTACTTAGGTTCCTATCAAAGGTGCTTATGGAGGTACTTTGCACTTGGATTATATAATTAGACTTAAAGGAACTTTTCTAAGTTAACTCATTTAATTCTTAGAACACAGAAACAGGCTGCGAGTGGTTTTGTCCAGAGGGTGCCAGGCCTCCTGTGAGGGTCCTCAACCCTCCCGCATTAGCACCTGTTTCATCTCATCATCCTGCTGGCGACAACGGGTCACTGAGACGCCACCTGGCAAGGGTGTTAAATGGGGAAAACAAGTACTTTTGAAGAGCCGAGCCCTTCATATGTGGGCTTAGCATTTGTATCTGCCTAACTCCAGAAAAATCTCATTAAATGAAATTTCTCTATGAAATGCTACGGGTTGTTTTTGGTTTTTGGGTTTTTTGGAGAGTAGAAGATTCAGTTGTCTTATATTGAGATCAAGTAAATTAACAGTAGACCTGTAGAAAGTAGGAAACTTCATTTTTAAGAAAGTTTTTTTTTGCCCTGGCTGGTGTGGCTCAGTGGATTGAGTGCTGGCCTGTAAACCAAAGGGTTGCAGGTTCAATTTCCAGTCAGGGCACATGCCTGGGTTACAGGCCATGTGTAGCCCTGGTAGGGGGTGTGCAAGAGGCAACTGATGTTTCTCTCCTTCTCTTCCCCCTCTAAAAATAAATATTAATTTTTTTTTTTTTTTTTTTTTTTTTTTTTTGCTGATTAAACATGGATTTGTTCTACTTATGCATCCATTGATTGCTCCTTGTATGTGCCCTGACTGGGGATTGAACCCTCAACCTTGGTGAATGGGAACAACAACCAACTGAGTTATCTAGCAGGGGCCACCTGAAATACTAACTCAACAGTGCATTTTAAGTAAAATGTGGAAAGAAATTAGGTCAATGAAAAGCTCTATCACAAGCTGCGTTTGATTTCCTATGATATTTAAAGTTATTTTGAGGAACATCTTGATAGAATGTGTAGTAATGCCAGTTAATATCAAATATATTCAGGGTTATTTCTAATAACATTCTATGAGATGTGCCAGCTCTACTGACTTCTGAAGTAATAGTTTTCATTTTAGCATCACTGGCCACCAACATTTACTGCAGGAAATACGACAGCATTGATACAATCAACTGAAAAATACTACAGTCGTAGCTGACCTAAACTCTATTGTTCTGTTTCTCAACTTTGATAGCCAAGGAATTTCTGTGATACAGTCATGATCATAATGTACTACACAGGTGAAGTGTGTTCAGGGTGGGCGGGCAGGTCCTTTCAGCCCATTGCAAACATGAATTCTACTGGTTCGAGGTAAACAGGTAGCTTTGGCTCCCAAGTCCACCCTTCATCTCTCTGTGTTGTGCTACTGGAACTGAGCCCTTCGTATATTCTCTATTTGCTTCCTGGCACAACATCAGCCTTGTCAGTAGAGGATGCTTGAGGGATGTTGCAGGAGATAACACTGGGCTTCCTGGTTCTGGAGTTTTATTCCGTGCCCCGCCCCCTCCCCCGCCCCCGCAGTCTACAGGGCCATGGGCGTGTCCAGGGCACCGTGTGGGCAGGTGTTTCCCAGCAAGTTCTCTGGTTCCCCCTCCCCAGCAAGTTTTGCTGGTGCTTCAGCAGACGACTTCCTAGTGTCTCATTGACATCCCAGTGGGTCACATGCCCGGTGGGTGTTTCATTGACCCCTTCCTCTCCAGCCCCAGATGTCAGTACCTCAGCAAAAAGTGGGTCACAGTCACGCCAACAAAGTCTGAATGTCAGTCTTGCAAGGGAACCCCTCCCAAGTTTGTTCCTCCTTGGGTCCTCTGCTTAGAGGTGGTGGCCACTGTAGCTGCTACTCTTTAATCCTCACCCAAGGACATGCTTACTGATTTTGGAGAGGAAGGGAGGGGGCGAGGGAGAGAAACATCAATGTGAGAGAAACATCCGTGTGAGAGAAACATCCATCGGTTGCCTCCCATAGGCACCCTGACCGAGGACTGAACCCTCCACCCAGGAATGTCCCCTGACCGGGAATCGAACATGTACAGGATGACACTCCAACCAAAAGAGCCACACTGGCCAGGGCAGTAGTTAAAGATACCAAACTTTCTGTGTTCGAGTTACGGTGTTTGTCTCCTGCCTGTTGCCTGGCTGCCACAGTGGACTAAGATGTTGGTCCTAAGTGTGCCACCTCATTAGGCTGGTTGATAACCCCTGATGTGGTCTAGTGTAAAGGACTCAACCAGAAAAGCTTGTTGCGAATTATGTAAGTGAATCAGAGTGGCTCCTGGAATTTGGACTGAGAACAAAGTAAATATTGTCCAGTCCTTAGAAGAATGGGTAAGGCTTGCAGAGCTGTCATCTGAGGATGCTCACCCTCTCTTTTTAAAAGGATGGTCTGAGTTTCTCTCCCTTGAAATCCACAAGCCTACCTGTTTGTTTGCTTGTTTTTTCTTTTTTACTGTAGTCATCAGGCACCCCGATATGACATTTTATTGACATTTCATTCTTATATATTCATGCTCAGCACCTGTAAGAAAACGTCCTAGAAAGGAGAAGGAAGGAAGGAAGGAAGGAAGGAAGGAAGGAAGGAAGGAAGCAAGTCAGGAAGGAAGGGAAGGAAGGAAGGAAGCACTCTACTTGATTGGACTTGGTGAAGAAGTGGAAAACACGTTCTAGGCACAACTCCTTTCCCTTGGGAATGGTCTGTCCAGAGGCAGAAGGGATGCCTGGGTGTGGTGGGAGAATGAAGTATGAATCAGACCCACCCTAAGTCTTGTAGTGTTCAATCTTCCTGGACAATTGATCCTACTCCATATTTCTTCTACAGCACTAAACAACTCATTTTCCCTCCAATGGCTATTTTATTTTTAATGTTAACAATACAAAATGTTTTAATGAATTGATCTTAGAGAGAGGAAGGGAGAGAAGACCATTTGTTGGGCCACTTATTTATGTATTCGTTGATGATCATTATGTGCCCTGACCAGGGATCGAACCCATGACGTTGGTGTACTGGGGGGACACCAACCAACTCAACTGCCTGGCAAGGGCCTTCCAAGGGCTATTTTAAATCTTCTCTAGTTTGTTATGTCCCCTATTCCATCTGTACACTCATTCTCACTTCACATACAGAGATTACCAGGCTAAAATTTCGTCAGCTTTCTGCCTTCTCTCCGATGGGACAGCTGGAGCTTCACCTCAGACCAAGAGTAACAGGCGGCCTAGAAAGGTGGGAAGGACCCTGGGCCTGAGGACTCCGTGGACCAGGATGGCCCAGCGCTTCCAGGCGCTTGGCCTCCACTGCTTTATATCAGAAAGAAACTTCTGTTTAAGCCACTCAATGCGTTTTCTATGACTCTGCAAAACCTAACCCTAACTCCGGATTTGCTATCTGGGCCTGCATACCGCATAACAGAACCTGAAATACTTCGCATTATTAGCCAAGTGAAGGAGGCTGGATGCCAGGAAGCATGGATACAGGTATCGCGGGCTTGGAAGCTGATGGCTCTGGATAGGCGTGCACCATCCTAACACTTTTTCATTCCAGACCCTTCTCTTTATCTTTTATTTTCAGCCCCCCTCCTGGCCTTTGATTATTCATTAATCTTAATGTCCTTAGTACCACCCTATTCATGCACTGGCATTCTCCCTCTTGCATGGCTTCCCTTTGCAACGGTCTTAGCCCCATGCCCCTCAGGACCCGAAGGCAAGCATTTACTGCATAGCGGACTCCCATTCCTGCGAGGAGAATTTCGGACAGTCGGTAAATTTCGGAAGTCAAGGTCGGTTGCTTGGTTGCTTTTTTTTTTTTTTAATATTGAGAGGACACCTATTAAGGCTGAGGACAGTGAAACAGGCAAGGGCCGAGGACAGAAAAAGCAATTGCAGAGAGAGCCCAGGCGGGGCCGCTGCCCGCTGCTCCCCTGGGTGCAGGTCTCACGGGGACCCAGAGTCTAGGAGAGAAAAGTAAAAATGCAGGCCTGAGAGGGAAGGCAGGCAGGGGCGTGTTCCCGAGAGGGGGAGCACACCAGTACATCAAGGTTTTAAGGTAAATTTATATTTCAAAACAGCTGTTTTATTTGCATCGTTTCCTAGTGGAACTGTTCAACAATAACACACATAACGTATTTGGACAACACCCAAGAAGCTGACACTGGCCAGGAATCAGCTGGGAACATAGAATCATTGTACTTCCAACCATTGCTTCCCTTCTCCTCTGAACCTCTTCATCCTCTGAAGTTCACGGCATCAGGTTACACCATCCACTGTCCCTCCGTTCGTGTCACCCACGTATCTCAAAAGATACGCCCCTGGTATTTTGACACATACTTAAAGGGTTAAAAAGATTGCTCCGCACCTCCTCACTGCTCCTGCCTTAATTCCTGTAATTCTGGCATCCACCGGACAATCTTTCCAGTACTCAGCTCTCTCCATGTCTCGATCTCCTGACCTCCAACGATTTTTCCCTCCGCCCGACCTCAGCTGCCACGTCTCCCAGTTACATCCCAGCACAGGTCATTACCCATAACCGGAACTCCTCCGGTTTCCATTCCAGACACCCATTCTCCAATCACCAGCTCCTACATTTTTTGCTCACTTTGTCTAATATCCTTTCCAACAATCCTTTGCTTCCCCTGGGCTCTCCAGTCTATTGCCCCTATCGCCTTTCCATTCTCCATTGCAGTCCCTTCAGCCTCCAATGTAAATACCTAGAAGTGAAATGACTGAGTCATATAATAGGTGTACATTTGCCCTGGCTGGGTAGTTCGGTTGGTTAGAGCATTGTGGCCGTACACCAAGGTCGTGGGGTTTGATCCCGGTTAGGGCACGTATACAAATAAACGAAATAATGCATAAATAAGTGGAACAACAAATCGATGCTTCTCTCTTTCTCTCTCAAATCAATAAACAAAAATGTAAAAACATTAAAAAATAGGCGTGTATTTAACCTTTTAAGAGATAGCCACGCTGTTCTGTAACTGCCATTTTATAGTCCCACCTATTATATTTCCAGTTGCTCTACATCCTTGTCCATTTTTCTTTCTAATTTTAAGGTTGTGTTTGTTTGTTTATTTTAGAGAGAGGGGAAGGGAAGGAGAGAAACAGTGATGTCTGAGAGGAACATTGATAAGCTGTCTCTTGCACACTCCCAACTGGGCACCTGGTCTGCAGCCCAGGCATGTGCCCTGACTGGGAATCAAACAGGCAACCTTTCAGTTTGCAAGCTGGCACTCAGTCCACTGAGCCACACCAGCCAGAGCCTTTTTTTCTAATTTTAGACATTTAATAAGTACACGATGTTATCTTATCGTGGTTTCAATTTGCATTCTCCTAATGACTAATAGAGGTGAGGATTTTTTCATGTGCATCTCTTCTTTTGTGAAATGTTTGTTCAAATATTTTGCCTATTTTAAATTGAGTTGTCTTATAATGAGACAATTATAATAATACATACACATATACATTGTTAACGTTTTTAATTAAAAAAAATTTGGACACAAGTCCTAAGTCAAATATGTGATTTGCAAATATTTTCCGCCAGTCTGTGGCTTGTCTTTTTATTCTCTTACTAATGCAGAAGTTCTTGACTTTGAAGTCTAATTAATTTTTTTTAAATATTTTATTTCTTTTTAGAGAGGGGAAGGGAGGGAGGAAGAGAGGGAGGGAAACATCCATGTGTGGTTGCCTCTCGTGGGCCCCCTGTTGGGGACCTGGCCCGCACCCCTGGCCTGTGCCCTGCATTGGGAATGCAGCCCACAGCCCTTTGGTTTGCAGGCCGGCGCTCAATCTGCTGAGTCCCACTAGCTAGGACAAGTCTAATTAATTTTTTGAATGGATCGCATTTCCAATGTTGTATTTAACAAATCTTTTTCTAAGGTTGCAAAGATTTTCTCCTATTTTTTTAAAGAAGTTTTATAGTTTTAGGCATTATACATTTAGGTCTATACTCCATTTTTAATTACTTATTTTTAAAAATTTTTATGTATTGATTTTTTTTGAGAGAGAGAGAAAGAAGACAATGATTTGTTGTTCCACTTATTTATGCATCCATTGGTGGTTTCCTGGCATGTGCCCTGACCATGTGTTGAACCCACAACCTTGGCACATTGCAGCAATGCTCTAAACAACTGAGCTACCCAGACAGGCTTGAATTAACTTCGTATACAGTGTGAGGTATGGAACCAAATTCACATGTTTTTTTTTTTTTTACAGGGTCATCAAATTGTTTCAGTATCCTTCGCTGAAAAGACTATCCTTCATCCACCGGCTTGTCTTTGCGCCTTTGTTGAAAATCAGTTGTCCATATACGTGTGGGTCTATTTTGGGACTTTATTCTTCTGTTCCGTGGATCTATTTATCTTATTATCTTGACACCAACCCTTACAGTTATAGTTAATCTTGTCTTAATTACTGTAGCTTTATTAGTCTTGAAGTCAGGCCGGGTGAAGCCATTCCTTTTTATTTTGTCTCGGCTGGAAGCAGAGGTCAGACTGATGAGTTTTAAGACCCGCCCTACCATTTAATACTTGTGTGATTTCATACAAGTCAGTTAATACTATTTATTAGTCATTTAGGTACTTGTTTATTGTTAGGATTAAATATTATCATGCTTGGACTAAATGTCAATTATTATTAGGAGCCCGAACTGGGGAAGACAGCTCAGGAAACAAACGGTGTCGAGGCTGCAGGATGGTGCGGGGGCGGGGGACTCTCCTCCGCTCCTCAGGCCCTCCCGCGATCTCCCCCAGCACAAGGACATGTTCCTGCCCTTTCATCTCTCTCTCTTTTTGGGGGGGATGTAATTGACATACAACATTGTATAAGTTTGAGGTGTACAATATTTGACACATTTCTCTATTACAATGTGATTACTACAGTTGTATTAGCTAATCACCTCCATCATTCCACCGAATTAACATTTCTTTTTTGTGTACAGAATGGTTATGGTGTAGTCTCTTGGCAGCTTCGAGGTTAATAATACAATATTGTGGACTACAGTTTGTATCCTTAAGCGACACCTCCCTCATGCCCCTACCCCGTCCCTCGCCCTGTCATTTTCAGTGTTGAAGTTTTGCAGCAAATTCCTCCTGGCAGCAGACTGACCCCTGCCTGCCAAGGCGACAACAAGAACAACAAACGTGGAAAAGGACAAATAAAACTGGTCAGGAGCCCCAAGTTGAGAATGATCATTCTACTATCTCAACAATGTTCTACATAGCCTTGTAAAATGTTTACTTAGAAATGAAAGATATTTTAAAAGGAAAGGAGAGCAATCTATGCATTACCTTCAAATCCAGGTTGGAGTAGCTTTCTGGCCCGTTTAGCATAGCTTTCTTCAACTCTTTTTTTCTGTCATTGCAATCCCTGGCCCTGCCAGTCTCCAGGTGCCCCTAGTTACAGGCCAGCTCGATGCTGGAGGGGAGGAGCCATTTGCCAGGGTCTGTCCCCAGCATCATAGCGACCTACTGTGCTGCCCCTCCAGGGGACCAAAGAAGACCCTGATCTCTCTGTGCCCTGTGAACCCGTCGCCAACACACAATGGCTGGCGGACCCAAGAAAAGTTTGTCTTTGATTGGATTCAGTCTTCTCTGGCTTAAAATGGTGAGTTGACCATTCTGACCTACCTACAACTATTTAGGGCGGGGGGAAAGACATTCATTATTATCCTCTTTTAGGGCCTACGGGGTGCAGAGATAGAAATGAAAATACTTTTGAACCGTACCAAGGTCACGGATGGTTATGTGTTTGAAATGTGATGCGATTTATTGGAGAAAGAACAAAATTACCATTATATTTTAAGAACAAAGATTTCTGAAAAATCTGTCGGCAGCTACTGAGTTAGTTCAATAGGCAGATTCAAGGCGGAAAATGAAATAGTAACGTGATCTGCCTCCAGCCTCTAAATTCTATTTGGGATTGCTTGGTGGTAGACTCGAGTGTGGGGAAATGATTTGTGCAAATGCACACTCTGTGTGGACCGAAAGATTGCTCACGTTATGTGTAAAAAATGTGATAAGTGTATTACTGCTCCGATTGATGTCTTACATTTACCCAAATGGTGTTTTCCTTTCTGGTTCTAATTTTCTAAACTTTCCTTTTCAGGTTGCTTCAGCAAAAACAGGTAAAGTGTTCTCAAATGCAAGTTTCCCCTACCCACATTTGATATTAATTTTCATTGTGAATTCTTGAGCTACCCTGAACGATATATATAGGTTATACCCGGAAAAAGCCTCCAACATTTTCTGAGCACTGTTACTCTGAGTGGAATTGGTAAGACAAATGCATGGATCAAACTTAAAAGATAAGTCCTCATAAGATGTTCTTACTGAGTACTGAGATGCGTAGAGTCATGCAGTTATGGATTTTCTTGAACAGAGGCAGCCTTCAGTAAACTACAATGACCATCACTTCCATTAAAGAAATAAAATTGAAGTTATAAATAGTGAAGTCTAGTTTACATAACTTTTCTTATTTGTCTTCTGAGGAATTAGAGGAGGAAACTAAAAATGTGTTTTTATTAAAATCTCAAGATTCTCTACTTTAATAAAAAAAAGATTTTACACTTCTAATATTGCATCCTTAAAATATACACAATGATAACTTGGATCTGGGAAAAGGCTTTCTTTGAAAAAGATTTTATTCCCATTTTTCTTAAATAAATGACTGAAGGCATGGATAATTTCCCTAGAGGCCTCTCCCAGCTCATACATTCTAGAAACCTAAACCCCCAGAATGGAAATTTATATTCAGTAGGACTTAGATTACCTGAGGGACCTTATAATATCAATGATATCATCAGTAAACTCTCATACCAACTCAATATAAGAACAATTTTTTAGAAATTTTAAATCCTCACCCAAGGACATGTTTATTGACTTCAGAGAGAGAGGGAGGGAGAGAGAAAGAGGGAGAGAGAAAGGAACATCGATGTGAGAGAGAAACATCGATCTGTTCTCCTGTTTATGCCCTGACTGGGGATAGAACCCACAACCTTTTGATGCACTGGACAACATTCCACCAACTAAGCCACCAGGCCAGGGCAACAACAATTTTAATTTATTATTGTATCTATACCATCATAAAAGAAGTATAAATAAGCAATTTCAAATTTGATATTAGACATATGGTTGAGCCATAAAACTCATGCATACACAATAGGTTTTTAAAAATCATTTCATGCTTTATTTTTTAATTTGTTTTTTAATTTATTGATTGTGGAAAGAAAGGAAGGGAAAGAGAGAGAGAGAGAAACATCTATTTTCCTTCCACTTATGCATTCAGTGGTTGATTCCTGTATGCTGCTTGACCAGGGATCAAACCTGCAACCTTGGCATATTGGACAATACTGTAACCAACTGAGCTACCGGCCGGGGCTTTCATGTTTTTTCTTAGTCACTTGACTTACTGAGAAATCTCCAGAACTGAGCAGGAAGCTATGAGAAGGACTGTTGGGCCATATACAAAGCAACTAAAAAAAAATAAGCGGCCTTTGGGTGGACACAATATAGTCCTGCTAACTCTCCTAGGTCCCAAGACACACCCACCAAACCCCCAAACGAGGCTATTTTTAGTCCCTCCCAGAGGGAAGGAGTAGGGCAGGCTGAGTTGCTAGTGAGGCTGTTGATTGATTCGCCCAGGCTTTTCTCTGGATGGATGTGTATCAGCGACACCGCGTGGGAGGTTTCCTTCTGGGTGTGGGTTATTTTGATTCTCCCCTGGCTCTGGCGTCAGCTGTCTGTCTGTGTCTAGGGGGCCACGCCGGCTAATTTAGGTCTGGGGCTGGCAGAATGCACAGATGCTGAGCATCAAAGCCTCGCACGCCTGACTCATCATCTGAATGGCTGGCAGCACCTCTCGGGGAGAATGTTTTCTCTTCCCATCAGCAGGCAAGCGGGCCAAACACAGAGCTAAGAGAGAGGGCGGCGCTGCTCATTCACGGAGCCTCGCCTTCCCCTCTGCTTCGCTCTTCTCTTGAAGGGAAACAGTACAGAGGTGCTGACCTCCTTTTACTGCTGTTGCTGTTCAAATCCTGCCCTAGAACCAAGAGAAAAACAGGCAACCTGTCTCTCCAGGCTTGGCTTACCTGGACTCCCCAGAATCTCAGCTTCCCGGGCACCTCCTCATGGCAGTGCCATGCAGTCTGGCTTTTCCAAACCCGAAACTTGCTCTTTCTGATACACAACCGGTGTGCGCGCGCGCACATGCACGCGCACACACACACGCACACACACACACTCTCTCTCTAACCCTTCCTACCTATCAAAGTGCCCTCACAGATACTCGTTCACTTAATCTTTACGGAAGTCCTAAGGTGTAGGTATTTTGCATTTCAATGTGAATCCTGATTTGTAGCTATTATTGCTATTGCGCCTTTTCCGGGGAGAAAACTGAGACTGGAAGAGGTTAAACGACTTGTACACCTTCACAAGCAAAAGTAAACGGCTGCAACCCAGAGGCCCTGAATCTAAACCCTTTCTGCAATTTTCCTCCACCACGTGACACTGAGTTTCATCCCGCTGGAACCGGCTCCAGGTACCGCCTCTTCTGGGCTAACGTGCCTCTCCTGGTTCAGTTCTATAGGGCAAGTTGTGCGGAGTCTTCAGGCCCCTGGACAGTCCTGTGGGGAACTGTCTGCGATCTGCTGGTCTTTATACTCCTTCCCAAGCACTCGTGGGTGCACACTCTCAGGCCTCCCGTGTCAGTGGCTAGTTCAGCTGGCATTTTCCCAGGAAGTTATTTCATTCCAAGGAGCAAGACTGTCCGACAGAGAAGATGAACTATGGGGACAGAAGAGACAGAAGGACCTGAAAGGCACTGCAGATTTGGAGGAAAGATGGCACACAGCACAGGACAAATGACTTGGGGAGCAGGACAAGGAGGCATATATGTTGGGGTATTAACAGGGGAGTCCCTGCTGGGGCTTTTTAAAAAAAGTTATTGATTTGATTGAGAGAGTGACAAACATGGATTTGTTGTTCCACTCGTTGGTGCATTCACTGGGTGTTTCTGGTATGTGCCCCTGACTGAGTGGAGATCGACCCCGCAGCCTCGGCGTAGCTGAACGACACTCTTGCCAACTGAGCTACGTGGCCAGGGCCCTGCAGGGGCTTCCTAACCTGCAGGGGGAGAGGGGGCACAGCGCTTCCTGCAGAGTCAGCTTCTGCTGGCAAGTGGCTGAGCCGAGATGGGCAGGCCTGCAACCTCCCCCCGGCATGCAGAATCATCATCATTATCTTTCGAGGGCAGAGGAGACAGTCCTGGGTGATGTTCAAGGAATGTCTGGCCCGTGCACAGTGGAGACTTTGTTCATTCCTGCAGCCTGGCTATGTCGGAGACACTGCCCAAGCCAGCTCTCTGGGCTATTGGTGCAGAAGGAGAACGTGGCCTGTGCCAGGCACGTGGGGATCTGCCAGGTGGGGGCTGCTGGGGGGCGGGGCGATACTGGCAGGTCACAAGTTCGGCCCACGCTTACTCTTCCTGCTCTTTGCCCTCTAGTTATGTTTTGCCCTTTAGTTTTGAATTTGGCATGTAGCAGCTTAACCCAGCAAATGTTCTACATTAAACATAAAAGGCCCGGTGCCAGTTTCAAACCTGAAACTCAGCTCTTTCTGTTTGGCCTTTTCTTCCACTTAGATCTACATCCGGGGCATTTTTGTGTCTGCGGGTTTCTGCAAAGTAGTGACTTTGATTGTCATACTGTGTCTTCTACCCCATAATGAAAGTGTAGGGATGCCTCATATGAACTTGTAACGTAAACATTCATATCTCCCTGGCAAACTGTGGCCAGGCCCATTTTGTGCTTAGGCAGATATTTTGATAGAATAAGGAAGAATCAAGTTTATTTTTATTTTATATAGAACAATCTGAAAATGGTCTTCTTCTAATGATAGGAAAGAAAGTATGATGGCATAATTAGAAAACAAAACTCAGTTCTCCCTGTTTCCTCTATTAAATGACATGCCATTTTTGGCAATGTGCTGAGGGCGTGAATGGAGATCCAGCCACGGCAGATGTAGGGATGGAGGCGAACCCTCGCTGGAGGTAGTAGAGCATAGTCGTGGGTCAGGGAGTGGACATAGTGGCAAAGCAGGCTGGGAAATTCCCAGGATGCCAAACTAGAGTAGAATCTTCTAGAATAAAGCTCCTCAAAGACCTTCTCCCTCTTCTCAAAGATCTTTTCCCACAATTGATCCCCACTTTCACTAAGCTTTTTTTTTTTAAAGATTTTATTTATTTACTTTTAGAGAGGGGAAGGGAAGGAGAAAGAGAGGAAGAGAAATATCAATGTGTGGTTGCATCTCATGCACCCCCTGCTGGGGACCTGGCCTGAAACCCAGGCATGTGCCCTGACTGGAATCGAACTGATGACCCTTTGGTTTGCAGGCCGGCGCTCAATCCACTGAGCCACACCAGCCAGGGCTACTTAGCTTTTTAAAATACAAAAAATGCAAATTATCCCAGAGATAAGCGGGAAAAACCTCTTTGAAATCCCCTTCCTGAATGAAAGGCTCGAGCTTTCTGACTCTCTTCTGGAAAGGAGCTTCGCCTTTGTTTTTCTGTTTCTCTCTGTCTCTCTTTTTAATCTGGAAAGTGAGGGCAGAGTCTATGTCTGAAGGATGGCGCGAAAACGATGTAGTTTGCAAAGTCAAATGATGAAGTAATTCTTATAGGTGTTCTAGCTAATTAATGTACAACTTCAAAATCTCTTTCAGCTCTGGAAATACCCACTATTGACCAGGCATATTCGAAAATCAGCAACAGTATCACGGTGGAATGGGCCGCAGTGCCGGGGGCCACCAGTTACCTCCTCACAGCCAAAGATGGGGACACTGTCATTGAAACCATGGTGGCCAATCCCCCAGGCACTGTGACGGGCCTGAAGGCTGCCACCTCGTACCAAATCACGGTCAGATCCATCAGTGCCGCAGGGAGAAGCCAGGCCTCGCCTCCGAAGCAGGCAAACACAGGTAGCTGGGTGCCCATCCTCTGCTGAGCCATTGCTTGTGACCTGGGTCAGGTACACCGAGCCTATAACTGCCTGATGTAGTTTTGTGTCACATGAGTGCCTATGATTCGGGGCCCAGAATCTTTTGGGATCTTTTGGGAATTTGGTTATCTGTGGAGAAGGTAGTATTTATTGATTGACTGATTGATTCTAAAGTGAGGGGGGTTGGGGAGAGAGAGAAATATCAATTTGTTGTTCCACTTATCTATACATTCATTGGTTGTTTCTGGTATATGCCCTTACTGGGGATCGAACTTGCAACCTTGGGGTATCGGGATGATGCTCTAACCAAATGAGCTACCCGGCCAGGGCTAGAAGGTGTATTTATATTCCAGATACTTTGCTTTAGAAAATAACCATTCCTGGACATCTTTAAAAGAACCCCTGCTTGTAAATCTCTGCAAAAGGGATTTCCGTTTTTAACCTCAGTTACCCATCAACACGATGCTAAATAAAAACACATAGAAGGGATTTTGCTGCACTTTGACTTGTTTGGAATAAAAACATTTGGAGTTTGTCATCAGCATAACATAAATGGATTTGATTAAATTGTACCCAGGTATATTTCTGAAAGGTTTTCTGCACAGTAAAATAGTACAAACTATCATTTCCACTACTGACTTATACTATGATTACAGGATTGTTTTATTTAATGTCTTTACCGTCCACCAGCTTAAAGTAATGCCTAATATTAGAATTTCTCTGTTCCCCATTCCTGTGATGAGCTATTTATGGTTAACACACATTTAAATATGTTTATGGTCTTTTTTTTTTTTTAAAAAAAAAGCAATTCTGAATGAAACTCTACCATGAAATGTCTTGCAAAGCAAATCATTATTTCAAACATGGATAAACAACCTTAAAATACTTATTCCTACTATGAATTCTCTGCCAGCAAACTTCTGTGATGCAAACACACGTGTGTTTGCCTTTGCAGTGCTGGCTGCACCGGTTCTGGAAGCGAGCTCCCCGAGTTCAGACTCTGTCCTTGTGCAGTGGGAGGCTGTGCGCACGGCCATTGGATTCTCTGTGTCCATCATGCGAGCCAATGGTTTGGGTAGGATATGGAAGGAGAACACCACGAACACCACTTTGACATTCACCAGGTTGGACCCCGGCACCCTCTACACCATAAAGGCCCACGCGTGGAGCGCTAACGGAACCCCCGGCGATGACTCCACCTGCAATCAGAGAACCAGTAAGGCTGCTCAGCTCGGCCCCCCAATCTCCTGTTGGATTAACGAGCACGGCTGTGCATGGCAGCCATCAAATGCAGTGTTAAGTGATGAGGGCAAAGCAGCTGGCAGCAGCTATTTAAATTTATGATGAGCTTATTTATAGGGCCTTGACTGTTCCCCTTGGTAGTTGAAATGCTTACTGCATGAATAAAGAAATGCTGATTTCAGAGCAGATGCAGCTAGTTAAGATGATGTCATTTGGGTGGGCCCTATTCCAGTATGACTGATGTCCTTATAATAACGAGGAAATCTGGACACGGTCATGCACACACAGGGAGGGCGCCATGTGAACATGAAGGCCAAGGAGAAGGGCCTGCAGCAGATCGTTTCCCACAGCCTGGGGAAGGAACCCACCCTGCCAACCTTTTTGTCAGACCGCCAGCCTCCAGGGCTGTGAGATAATGTATTTCTGTTGTTTAAGCCACTGAACATGTAGTATTTTGTTACAGCAGGCCTAGCAAAGTCGGGCTAAACCCAAAGTCTCTAAAACTTAAAACACGGGACGCAAACGAAGAGAAAGGTGTTAGGAAGCCAGTCACCTCTGGGACAGGGTAGACGCTCCCCTTGCCGCAGTCTGCCTGAGCTTCCTTCTGTCAAACCCCTTGGAAGGCTAAATCTTACTTGGGTTCTTGAGGCTACTGCAATATCCTAATTGTCCCTCAAAAATGTAGGTCCCCGTGCTCCTGCCGACATCGAAGTCTCTTTGGACAGCGGGGCTCTGAAGGCGTCTGTTTCCTGGGCCCCGACAGAAGGCGCTTTCAACTACACGGCGATGGCTCGGAGCGCCTCTTCCGAGCTGAGCTGCAGCACCGCGTACAGCACCTGCACCATCTCCTCCCTCCGGTGCGGAACGGAGTACCTGGTTTCCGTCCTGGCCAGGAACGACGCTGGATCCAGCAGATCGACTTCAGCGGTGACCCTGAAAACCGGTAGGTAACTAGGAGCGAGGTCACTGTGCGGCAGGCGAGCCGAAGTGACCGACGACGTGAGGCGAACAGGTGATCACCTGACATTGTTCCAGAACACGCTGCGAGAAGGGAAACCGGAAGCCTGGTGTAAATGAAAGCATTGAGTCAGGCATTCCGATGAGTTTGTGTAATGTTACTAGTGAAACCAGACACTGTGCGTTAGAAAGGGCAATTTTAAATGTTGGAGAACTGGCTCCTGCGGCAGATCTTTCCTTACTTAGTGTCTCTTTCATTTGTAAAGTTGCAGAAAGGCGAAGGCCCACTCGGAGCCATGCTCATTTCACACTGCGCAGGACAGGAGCGGCCTGGTCTTTGCCTCCTGTTTCACAGGTCCAGGCTCCGTGCGAGCTATTTCTTAAGACAAAGATGGGCTGTCTGCAGTTCTGAATGTGTATTCGGATATTTTCCCATTTTCATTCTTATCAAAGACATAAAGACATATGGATGTGAAGGTTTAATCCTCTATTTAGGAATATCTATGTGTATAGAGATGGCAACTAACATTTAGTGAAGACCTACCACGTCCCAGGCGTTGTAAATACATCATTGTATTTAATCCTCGTGACGATTCAGTGAGGTAGGTTCTAGTATCTCCTTTATTAGATAAGAAAACTGAAGCTCAGAGAAGTTAAATAATTTTTCCAAGGACCCAGGGATGTTCAGTTCTTGCACCATCTGGAATTCAAGCCCAAGTTTGCCTGATTTCACACCTCTAAGGCAAAGGAAATGTAGATAACCACAATAATGTCCACTTTACCCGAAATTCAGAATTATGTCATTCTAAATGTAAAAGGCTTCTGAGCAGAGAGGAAAAGAGCCGTCACAAGCCGACACACACTGTATTCCACAGGAAAAAAGTACAGCTGGCCTTTCAGATCATAAATTAAAAAAAAAAAACCTAATTTAATTATGTTAAATAAAATTGTAATTATGTTAAAGCTGCCGATACCAACTCAGTGACTTGGCTTCTCTTTTAACAACTCTAATTTCACATGGATGGCGCATTGGAAACAGCTATGAGGATGGGGTAGCTGAGAGTGAGGAAGAGTTAGGAAATGCATTTTCCCTTTGCTTTTTGGCTGGAACAGCCATCTTCCCGTAATTCGCCAAAATGACCAACACAAAGGGAAAGAGGGGAGACACCTTCTCTATGTTCTCTAGGCCTTTTGGAAAACAGAGTTGTCCCATGGGCCACATTGCATGTGAAGCTACAGGAAAGATGATGTTGTAGCATGAAGGGAACAGGTGCTGTTCAAAACGGGATGTCCCGCAGGTGTCCCCAGGGCAAAATGGAGGAGTTGACAGGGCCACCCAGCGTGCGGCGGGCGTTGTTGCAAACCAGTTAGGGGTAAGATTCTTGCCAAGAGAATCAATGTACATACTGAGCGTGTTCAACACTCTAAGAGCTAGGAGAGCTTCCTGAAACGTGTGAAGGAAAATGATCATAAAAAGAAAGACGCCAAAGAGAGGGGTACCTGGTCCAGCTGAAGCGCAAGGCTGTGCTGCCTGGAGACGCATATTTAGTGAGAACCAGTGGAAAGGCGCCTGGGCTGCTGGGACCCCCTCCCTGTGAATGCCTGGCTTGAGGAGGAAAACAAAGGAAAAGGTCTCTGTACTCTTACCAATGTTTCTCTCAATTAAGTAGAAGGATGGTCAGTCTCCCTCTTCCCCCAAAACATATTTAAATAAAACTTTATGTCCTAAAAAAAGAAAGAAATATACTTTCAAGAGCCTCGAAGTTCTGAGTTAGTCACCTAATCCCAGAGAGAACCATCCAGTGTTTTTTCAATCTCAGATGCACATTAAGAGCATCAAAAGAGCTTTTATAAAATCCTGCTACCCAGGCCCCACCGAAGACCAATGGAATGGAGACAGGGTATGAATAGTTTGTAAAAGCTCCTCAGTGGGTTCTAGCAAGTGCCCCTGAAATAGTCCTGCATACTTTTAGCCCAGGAGGCCCCCCTGTAGTCTGTACACAACACCGTCAACCATGTTCATGGGAGAGACCTTGACTTACCGAGGAAGAACTATGTTTAGAAAGTCCTATCTGTTACCTGGGGCCGAGAATTGTGTAGTGTATTTTGGGAAGACTTCCATTAGAGCATTAGAGATGACTAAGGTTTTAAGAGCTTAGAGCTTGAAAGAATAAACCTCAGTTGGAATTCATTCCTTCAGAAGACTTTACCCTGTGCTGATGCTGGCACTGCCTTAATGGAGATACGACATTACCGCTGTATCAGCCACTCTGTGCCTGTTTCTGACACAGTCCAGGACGTACTGTGTGAGATAAACTTTAGGGCATGTGATAATGTCTTGTTGGCTTGCGCATGCTGTTTGATGTATTCTTGGTCCGTCGCAGCTGGTATCTTGGACAACTGCAAAGATGCACAGAAACTCTCACAACAGTTTGTCGTTCATCCTTTCCTAGTTGCTTGTGCGCCTGAAAGAGTGACGATCCAAGAAGACCCCCCTGGCCACCTGTCGGTGTCTTGGTCCAGTGTAGAGCTGGGAGATTACTACGTGGCCTTTGTGAAGAGTGATGATGGCTTGGAAGTTCACTGCAACACATCCCTCACGCAGTGCAACTTCCTGTCCGAATGTGGCTTCACCTACTTCATCAGTGTTTTTGCCTATAACAAGGCAGGCCAGAGTCCTCTGGGGGATGTGTTCAATTACACCACAGGTGCGTCACACTTGCTGCTAGTAAAGGGAGTTCTGAATTCACTGCACGTAGCGGTAGAATGGCTTACCTAGATCACACAGGCCCCCTCGGGATCATTCTAGGACCAAAACCAGAAAGTGAATCTCTTCTTTCATACTCTTTCCAGGCTAGGAAATTTGGGCTTTGCGGACCCCAGCTTAACAAAAACTCCAGGTTTAAGAGTGAAAAGAGGGGAAAGAATGTAGTTTAACCCTGCTGTGAAAAAAGGAACCGTCCACCAAGGTCTATTTGGTGTTCAGCGTTGTGCTAGATGTTGAAGGGGGTGCAGTCCTTATGCCTCAGAAGTTCATTCTTTCCCCCAAACCAGAGCAGACATGCAAAGACGCTACGTAGTATGGAGGCCTTTGCAGAAGGACACCTGGGTTCCCGTCCTAAACTGACCACCCACTTATTTGTAAAAAGGGGATGACATGTACCTTGCTAGTTCCTTTGTATCCTGTACTGCAAAATGGGACAAATAATAAATAATGAGAAGATGAATATGAAGAAGTTTTTGTATGTGATAAGGCACAATGCAAATATATTTATTAGCATCACTATTACTTTTATTAATCTCTTCCACTAGGCTTGGATCTTCTAGGGACAGGGATTATGTTTTATTTATTTCTTCTTCCTTAATTCTTATCATTATGTGATTGGTTGGCATATGGGAGATGCTTGATTTTTGAAGAATGGATGGAGTAACTTAAAATTAATCTATTTGTAGATAAGAATACTACATTATAACTATGTAAAAAGCAGTACTAGCTGGGTCATGATACATTTTTACCAGGATGAGGGACTCAAATAGCCAATGTTTCTGGAATTTGGAATATTCCAGGTATCAAGAGCACAAGAGGGTCTTCCAGAGGAAATGACCTTGAACTGGATCTTTAAGGATGGTTGGGAGGTACCATATTTTGCCATGTATAATGCACACTTTTTTGCCCAAATTTTTGAGGGAAAAGGAGGATGCACATTATACATGAGTATAATGATTACATACCATGGCTATAATAATGGGTATAAGAATCCTGTGTGTAATGGGCACAAAAACGTGGTTTGCATTATACATGGGAGCACCTTATCCATGGCAAAATACAGTAGGTGGGACAGGAGCAGCCCAGAGACCCTCCAAGCTGAGTCAGGCATTTGTCAGAATTTGCCCATCAGGTAATGCAAGGTCTCTTCTCACATCTACTCATATAATGATGCTCCCTGTCCTCCTTTGCCTCCCAGTTTTATCTGGTTCAGCGTCTGGGAAGACTGACTGATAGGCTGTAGAAGTCAGGCGCAGTATGGTTTCATCCCACAGAAGAGGGGAACGGCGTTGCACAGAGGGGTCAGCGGTCTGAGGCACAGGGACATGAAGCATCGGTGCAGTGGGGCTTGAGGAGTCGGGGGTGGCAGGGGACCCAGGGACAGGCTGCTGAACACGTCACTGGGTACAGCTTGTAATGAACTTGAATGTCATGCTTAGAGGATTTAGCCTCTATGTAGTGGACGCTGGGCCAAGTTCAGAGCTGGATAGACCTGCAGGAGAGTCTTGCAATAATTTAGGAAGGCAGCGACAGAGCCTGTGCATGGCAGGGGGTGGGGTGGGGGCGGGTGTCAGCGCCCTCCCTCCGACAGCCTTGCTCCTGTACTGACCTCCATCCCCTTCTGTTCCTGCTCCCAGCTCCCTGTTGTCCCAGCGACATTAACCCAGTGTTGGTGGCCAGCGACAGAGTAGAGATCGTCTGGTCCCCAGTCCGTGGTGCCGAACTCTATGAAACCAAGGCTGTGGGCGGGTTCAGCGTGGTCGAGTGCAACGACACTGCGCCTGCGTGCACCCTCTCGGCCCTGGCATGCGACACCACCTACAACATCACAGTGCAGTCCTTCAGCGAAGCCCGGGGCAGCAATACGTCCTGTGCCTCCCGATTCATAACCACAGGTACGACGCAGCTGGGCCTGCGCTCAGATGTCTGCCCCCCCACCAACCCCGGGGTGCCCCTCAGGACGGGCCTTCAGCAAGAACTATAAAGAGGCTAACTCCCACTAACCCCTTTTTTCCAAATATTCACCTGAGGATATCTATATCTATATAAATTGATTTTTAGAGCAAGAGAGAAAACATGGATGTTAGAAACATCCATCAGTCGCCTCCCACACATGCCTGACCAGGAATTGAACCTACTACGTTTGGTGTATGGGCGATGCTTCAACCAACTGAGCCACCCAGCCAGGGCCACTGTTTGTGGAGACCATGAGGGTCCCTGTCTACTAAGGAGAGGCAGAAGAGAGGGTGGAAGAGGGGAATTGGGGGTGGGGGACGGAACAAAAGAGGAGACCACGGGATCCTGGAAGGTGTTGCCTATCAGCCATTCACTCCCCCATGTTTGGGGCCCTGCCAGCAATCACACCATGAAGGTTAAGACCACAAATGCTTGTCCTAATTACTTTTGCTTTTGGAGTCCAAACGCTCCCCGGCATTTCCTAGTTAGTTCGACGCCCTAGGAACCCAAAACCTTACCAGAGGCAGCACGGTTCCCACGCAGGCACTAGGAGCGCGGTTTTCACGCGTGGTGTGGTGGAAAGCGGTACTGATCTCACCTGGGGGAAGAAAATCAGTCTTAATTTCTTTACATTTTCAGTAAAAATCATCTAAGGATATGTTTTCACTGACTTTTAGAGCGAGAGGAAGGGAGTGAGAGAAGGGGAGGGAAGGAGACATGGGTATGAGAGAGAAACATTGATTGGTTGCCTCCCACTTGTGCACCGACTGGGATCGAACCTGCAGGCCAGGTTTGCGCTTTGACGGGGATTGGAAACCGCACTCTTTTGGTGCCGGGAACGACGCTCCAACCACCGGAGCCACCTGGCGGGGGGTGAAGAAAATGAAGAAAACCAGTTTCAGAGCAAATGGCACAGGTGATGGTTTTTACTCTCACAGTTCCAATTAATAATCTAAACTCTCGCAGCTCCTTGCAGTCCTGAAATAGAAAGTGTTTCGAAGGATGCCTTCTCCGGGATCCGCGTGCACTGGAGGTCCAGCAACGACGGCGCCACCTACACGGTGACAGCGCGGGGCGAGGACGGGCTGTACCGGTGCCGCAGCAGCGGGCAGTCCTGCGCGCTGGCCGGCCTGCCCTGTGGCTCGGTCTTCTCCGTCACCGCGGTGGCCGAGACGCGGGCTGGGCGCAGCCTGCCCAGCTACAGCGTGCGCCTGGAAACAGGTACGCGGCCGCCGCCGGCCTGGGCGCCGACCTCCGTGGGCTCCGGGGCAACTGTTTCCAGATGTCAGCTTCTTTCCTTGATCTGCCCTGAGTGTGGTAGAAATACATTAAACTCAGAGGCCCTTCCATGAGCCCCAGCGTAGAAAATAGCCCAGTTTGGACACAGGCCTTGTAAAAATATCCTCAGGAGACTCTAATATGTTCATACACTGACATCGAAGGCGAAATAACTTGACTCTGCAAGCACATTTATTGAATTCATAGTCCCCTCTGACACAATCTACCAAAACAACTAACAGGAACCAAATGAGCTGGTCGATTATTTATTTCTTTGGCTTAGCCCTTTGGAGTCTTCCTCTAAACGATGCTTTGTGAGTTTCTGTTTCCTAATTGGTAAAGGCGGGTCCTGGCTTCATCCTCTGGTGGTTGTTAAGTTATTTAATCCTCTAGTGGAATATTAAGTTATTTAATTCTGCAAAGCCCTTTGCATAGTAAGAGCTGGATGAAAGAACGCTGTTATTGCCTCAGAGTATTGTATGTGAACAAAATTTAGCAAATTACTCAAAGCCTTTGGACACTTTCTCTTATATGCGCATACAATGACAGATGGCATTTTGGAGTATAAAAGTTGAAATGTAAAAAGCCGCAGAATAGAGACAATTCCAAATACACAGGAAGATTCTAGATATCCCTATATAATGATTCCCTAGAAAAAAACTGAGACTTGGCTGTGGTAATCTTAGGTAGCTTGGACTATCTGAAATGTTCCTATCAATTACATACTACGAAATGCATGAAAAATGCAAAATACATTTAATTACAAATGCTGTGAAATGTTATATTGGGAGAAGCGATGCATTCAACTGCTGCTTTGATATTTGCAACCAGAATTAAAGTTAAAGTTGGGGGACAATAGAGGGTTTTCCTATTCTCAGAAAATTGGGGGGGACCTCATATTACCCACAGCTGGTCAGTGCACTGTGTTCTGGGTGAAAGCGCCCACTATATATTCAGTTGATGTTAAGTGATACATCAGAGGAAATGAGGTTTTACTTAACAAAAGGAAATCTCCAATAACAACTGAAGGTTTGAGAAATGTAGGCTATTGAATGAAACACAGGCAAAATACGAATTACCCTCTGTGGAAATGAATCCCTGACTCTTTCTCTTCTTCCTCGTCTAAGTGCCGTGCTGTCCAGCCGGGCTGACAATAACTCAGGTCACCCAGGCAGTCGTCAACGTGAGCTGGACAGTTGGGACCGGGGCCCTAACCTATGTGACCGTCCTGGAGTCACCCACTGGACAGTCAAAGTGTCATACGCATCAAAACCACTGCCTCCTGGGATGCATCACATGTGGCGTCAATTACACAGTGGCCCTGAAAGCAATTAGTGCCACCGGCCTGACGGCAGACTGCGCCTACCACGGCTACTCCTCCAGTAAGTGAATTCTCAGCTCCGGCCCTCCAGTGTTGGTGAGGACCTGGACCGCCTGCCACAGATCCAGCCAGGAGCCCTTCCTTCCCATTCAAAAACATGCGGTCTCTCCGCCTACCTGGCGTTACAAATTCAGGCCACCTTCTAAAATGTTTAGTTTTTCTCTTGACTTAGAACCGCCAAGCTTCAGAGGCTTCTGTTGGTAGTTGGTGAATTGACTCCCTGGGTAATAGGGTCCAAGTACACCTTTTCTGAAGGGAGGACGGGTTTTTGTATGACAGCCACCAGCAGCATAGAGGAACAGCTGGCAGTCTTTGGAGCGCATTTAGAGCAGGCGTCCTACAGGGTCTGGCACAAATAACGCCCCCATTTTTATTACAAAATTTTCAGCATGCACTTCTGTAACATAACAATATCACACTTGAGCACACCATCTGACAGTTGAGGTGAAATATTCAAATTAAAACTATAGATGACCACATCCATAGTGTTACCCTACCAACCACACTCAAGCAGGTGCTACTCCTGTTGGACCCCTGTATTTGGCTTGAGTTTTTCTTCTCGTTCCTGTTCCTATTGTGCTACTACCTCTCTCCTAAACCACTCTGGCTCCTTCTGTGGTTTCTTATTTCCACAAGCTAAAGGAACGCTGTCTACTGACAGTGTTGTATCTCAAGCTCCACAAAGACCAAACCATCAGGGAATAGCAGGGAAGGGAGAAGGGCTACAGGGTTAGCAAATCGGGTTTCTCTTCTGTGATTCTAGTCTAGTCCACTGAACTGGCTGCTTGGAGCAGTGTTTTGCAAAAAAACCTGAGGATACCTCCCAGGCTGAATGGGAAAAAGAGTTCAATGGTCAGTTAGTCTCACCTGTTGCGGGGCTTGGGACAGGGGAGTTGAAACACAGTTTTTCCAACCTAGGGGTAGTAGAAAGAGTCTGCGGAGAGGAGTGTAAAGACATGGTTTCTTATCAGCTGTGTTGCCTTATCTTTCCTGCTTCTGCTCCCTCATTAGGAAGAGAAATAGGAATAATCGTAACGTGAAAACATTCCTGGTGTGCTACAAATATGTAAGCTGGTTTGAGCTGCCTAAGTTCTCACCCTGATATCCAGTTCTGGGAATGTGGCCCTTTGCTTTGCTTCACACCCTCCAAAATTTTGTTTTTAAAGAGTAAATCCCACGAGCTTGATTATGTATAACTGAATTTTTAAATTATTATACAAGCACATCGTTATTTTAGTGGCCAAGGAACCCACCTTTTGGTGTCCTGCTTGACACATAATGTGTGACCTCCTCAAGGCATTTGGAAAAGGGAAAAAAAAGTCCCTTGCCAGCTAGCATGGACAAAGTGTGACCAGCAAAGCCTGGTCAACTGCCTGTGGTATAAGTCACTGCTCCCCTGGCGTTGCACTACTCAGCTCAGCACAATAGGTCTTTTCAATTAAAGCTGAAAGCAGCTAATTATGTTTAAATTCAACCACACTAAAATCATCTGAAACTAGGGCATTAGGAAGGCTCCTGACAAGGATTCTGGGCCTTTGACTCATAAGATTTGACTCATATAGAACATGGATCTGCCAACTGTGGACTTTTTGACTCACCATTGTTCCCTATTAAAAATTAATGCTCCCCACCCCTGTGGGTTTCTTTTCTTTTTTACAGCTCAGTACATTTCCTCCACTGTTTTTATAAGTGGATTTCTAATCACGTGGCCCACGGTGGAAGGAACTGAGTACCTCTTTGAATCTTGCTCTAATCACGTATTATTTAGAAAAAGTTGCTTCTATCATTCCCCCGCAGTAACAGAGGCCGTGTTTGTGTGACAGGGACACAAGCGATCTGCGTGTGTTTGTTTTCACCCTTCAGGCGCCTGCTGCCCGCTGGGAGTGAAGCTGTACAGGTTGAGCCCTAACGGTGTCCGGATCGATTGGCAGGCCGCCCGGGGCTCCGCCAACTACAGCACCGACCTCTATGGCTCCAAAGGCATCTTCACGTGTTCCCCAGGTGCTGGCCTCAGTTTCTGCGACGTCACTGAGATACCCTGCGGGGACGTATATACCGTGATGGTCTCGCCAGTGGCTGAAACAGGCCTGAAGCTCACTTTCTGTCCAAAAAAAATATATTCGGGTGCGGCAAGTTATGACTCTTTATTTAAAACTAACCCTTCAGTCAGTCTGTGAATTAAGACTCAGAGCATTTGCACTGACCTGTGGAGGTCAAAGAAGGATTGGTGTTTGCACTTCCTGCAGGTTGATTCTGGCTGCTGGGGGTCCCTGGCCTCTCTGGAATCACGATGCTTTATTATTATGTGATTTGGAGACACTCCATCTTCCCGCTCCCTCTCTCTTCCTTCAGGAAAAGGACCACAGGCTTGCTGCTTAAATAGTAAAGCCAATTTAAAATGATTTCCTGCTTTGAGATTTGTGGGTGGATTTAAAAAAAAAAAGGATTTTGTTTATTTCTTTTTATAGAGATGGGAAGGGAGGGAGAAAGAAAGGGAGAGAAACATCAATGTGAGAGAGATACCTGGATCAGTTGCCTCTTTCACACCCCTACCTGGGGACCTGGCCAGCAACCCAGGCATGTGCCCTGATTGGGAACAAAACTGGCGACCTTTTGGTTGGCAAGCCAGCACTCAATCCACCGAGCCACACCAGTCAGGGCTGGGTTTAGATTGTTAACACAGTCTTAAAGATAACAACAGACATCCTGAAATGCTGGAAATTAAGGTACGTGAACTTTTAGTTGCACAGATTCAGCCTTATGACTAAGGAAAAGCTGGAGGATCCAAAAAAAAAAAAAGGAATTTGTAAATCATAAGCTAGGCTTGGCATTATGTGATCACGAAACATGACAGTCAGCAAGTGGCACCTCACCAGAGCTGGCAGAAAAGCGTTAGCAATTTCCCTGTTCCGTGTTCCAGCACCTGCCTTCTGCTACCTTGTCCAAGGCACAGCCCTCCACTTTTCATATACTTCTAGAAAAAAGGAAGAGAGAAAAAGAGATGAGGAAGCCTTCAAACATAGGAAGAGGAATAAATATTGGCTCAGGAATCTTTACTGATAACCAGAATCTGAAGTTTCCAGTCACGTGCAGGTTCAGGAGGACTCCCAGATGCGGAATCAGGCCAGTCCCTTGTCAGGGGGTGTTCTCACTGTTCTTGGCTGTCATGCTCTGATTCCTTATTTTTTCATTATCTTGTCCACAGGATGAGCTGGCCCAAAACACAGCCCTATGGGAAGGGACAGAAATAGGTTGTTGGGGTGGGCATGAGCTCTTTGGAAGAAACTGTAACTCCTAAAACTATTTCATCATACCTGCATAATGTTTTACAATTTACCAGGTGTTTTCACAACCAGTATCTCATTGGAAGCTCAAAAAAATATCTCATGAAATGCTCAGTTTCCTAGGTAAAAACCATGCATTTGGGGAAATGTTTTGTTGTTTTTCTTTTTCTTTTTTTTTTTTTCACTGTCGGTGAAGCCTTACTGTGATAACTAGGACAGTATTGTAAATGTTAATAATGACTAATATTTATAGAGTGCTATGTGCCGGCCACTATTATAAGGGCTTTACATGTATTAACTGATCCTTATAATAGCCCTATGGAGTTGGCATTCTTCTTACCACTTATAGATAAACTGAGGTACTGAGTAGTGAAGTAACTTGCCCAAGGTCATACTGCTAGTAGCTTCTTCTCCTGTTACCCAGACTGGTTCTTATCCATTCTTTGGTTTACTTTTCCTTTACTCTTTCTTCAGTTTTATCTTTTCCATCTTAAATAGATCAATAAGTATATTTTAAATACTGTGTTTTTATTTATTGCAGTAACCTGCTCTGGAAGTTCGCTTGGCATGGGTAAGTCATTTTTCTCACGGAAGAAATCGAAGGGAATTGTCCCGTTGCATTTTAGGGTGACAGTGAAGTCAAGGTCAAAGCTGGCTTTTCAGTGAGTCAGGGAGGCCAACGCCAGGGTGTCTGCTTCCGGTTTGCATGGACGGATGGGCCCAGGGGAGGAAACGGGGTGCGGAGAGGAAACTGGAGTAAAGACAACGCCCACCGCCGCCTCGGGTGCACTCAGGGCCCAGCCCGTCGGGGCCATTCTGGGGGCCCCAAGGAGGCCAGTGACAGGCCGGCTGCAGAGATGGCCGCGCAGAGCTGCGCGTGCCACCCCAGTCAGCGGTATGCGCCGCGGCATGAGGAAGCGTGCCACACTCTGCTAGGGGCTGGCTTGGTTTTGGACCTTCAGGATACCCCCAGGGACTATCAGAAACCCCAAACGACAGACAGGGCACCCGTGCATGCCCACGTATGCCCAGTCGGACACGGCCGACTTCAGAGGATGTGCGTGGGAATGAAGCCTTCCTTCCAGCACCCCCGCCGCGCGGGCCCCAGTCTGGGCCCGCTTCCCATCCCACACCCCGTTCCGCAGGCAGGGCCCGGCCCGAGTCTCTCCGTGGCCTGGTCTCTCTTTCCTCTCCCAGGCCGCTGCTTGTCTGAGCGCTGCGGGGCATGTGCACGCCTGAAACAAGCACAGTCCCTATGAATTTTTAAAGAGTTTCTGTTTCCGGCGCCTACGGGGAAACAGACCTCACATTAAAAACGAACTGCGCAAAAACTTCTAAATTATTAAAAAAACTACTTTTTAAAAAACTCGCAAAGTACTAATGACCTCATCTTCAGCGAAATGTATGTGGGCCTAGGTCTGCATTCTGGGAACCTATTTCCAGCATTCTAGCAGTTTTTAATCAGTGCTTTCCTGAACCTCGGCAGGGCAGGCGAAGCCAGCGGGGCTCCTCGTAGGAGAGGAGTCACGTGGTGTATGTATACTGGCCTTCCTTAAGATTTTGGTAAAGAAAGAGCTGCAATGCTTTTTCAAAAAATGCTCGAAAGCCGTCACTTTTCGACTCTGCTTCTAATCGCCAGAAAGCTTGTCTGAGGTGTACAATCTCAGCCCCGCCCTTGTGTACTAAATCCCCAGGTGGTTCACATGCATATTCAAGCTTGAGAAACGCTGCTTAGTATGGCCGTCCGCGGTTCTCAGACTTGGGTGTGTAGGAGACACTCCCGGGGTGCCGAGAGAGAATGCGGGGCCAGGCCTGTTGGCGTGGGACAGGGCCTCCGCGGCGCCCTCCCCTCTTCCCGCCCCTCTGGGCCGCTCTAATGATTGCTTCTCCCTCCTTAGCCGGGTTCAGTCTCCAGCCTGCAATCTGCCTCTCTCTTTAAGCAGATCCTTGTAGAAATCTTGCAAGACCCTCAAAAATAAGAATGAGCTGAGTCATGTGAGGGCCTCTGTATCACACAAGATCCATCATGTCTCCAAGGTCAGCATTTTCCTCCCTGCACACAGGACTGGGCAAATTAGATCCCTGGCTGACATGGGGCCTCCAGATATGCTAAGGGCAGCCTTGGTAATCTTTTTGTTTTTTAAAAAAATGTGTTGGCCTGAGAGAGAGAGAGGAAGGGGGAGAGAGAAAGCAAAAGAGAAAAGAGAGAGAAAAACATCAGTTTTTTCCCCAGTAATTTATGCATTCATTGGTTGATTCTTGCATGTGCCCTGACCAGGGATCAGCCCTGCCTCCCTCGTGTATTGGGATCATGCTCTAACCAGCTGAATTATCTGGCCAAGGCAGCCTTGGGCATCTTTCTGTTCTAAGGTCTTTGGCCTTCCTTGACTCTTGGATTGTCCCAATGATTTTTTCTTTTCCTTTTTTCCTTACGTTTTCCCACAATCTTCTTTTCTCTTTTTTAAATTGATCTTAGAAAGATAGGAAGGGAGAAAGAGAGAGAGACATTGATGTGAGAGAGAAACACGTATCAGTTGCCTCCTGTACACACCTTGACTGGGGATTGAACCCACAGCCTTTTGGTGTACGGGATGACGCTCCAACCAACTGAGCCACCTGGCCGGGGCCCAGCAATCTTTAATTTAACCGAGACTGCCCAGTGATTCTGAGGCACCCTGAGGTTTGAGAACCATGGCTCTGGTGCAAGGAAGCTGATTTGCTGCTGGGAATTGGATGCAGGTTAAAAGGGAGAGGGAAAACCACCTATCCGAGGTGACAGGGCTTTAAGAGGAGGCAGACTGCAGTCAGGTGCCTGACATCGCTCTGTGGGGGGTCTGTCGGCTTCAGCGCCCAGCCCTTCAGTGTCACCTGCATGTTCCAGGGGACTCTGGGAACATTTCCTCTTCACAACTCTCTCAGCAATAGATTTTTGTTTTCTCTACAACAATGTTCTCCCTAAACCATTACAATTTTGGAGCTTCCTGAGAACACAGCAGTTGGCCTGGGGTAGGAAGAAAAGTGTTTTGTCCTGGGTCCATAGTCTGAGCTCAAAGAAGCTCTTCGGGAGTATTCATTTCACGGAGCAGGACACAGGTCTCCTTGGTTAGTTGGACTCTGCTGGTCAGTGTGTTCTTGCCCTTTGGACAGTTCAGACTTTGTTAATTGCCAGCTCCCTTCCTGTGAATAGCACTTCAGATCAAAATACTAGTCTAAATCTCACACACATCTGAGGGCTTTTTAATTTAAGAAAATGTTGCATATTTCACGTATCTTGTGGTTTCTTCCCTCCCTTGTCCTTCCCAGTGATTTACAGAGGGAAGAGAAATGCAGAATGACAGAGTGCGTCACAATGACACCAGAGACTTGATCTGGTGAGTAATTTAAATTGACACAGAGTGACTCAAAAGCAAAGATTTTTTTGTCTCTGCTTTTAAGAATTCTTTGCATGTCTTTTACAGGGTTGTCTCAAATATTAGTGTGACTAGAGATGGAAAAGATCTATTAGAATACACAGTGCATCTAGGATAGGACAAGTTCCACAGAAGAGCAACTCTGACTCCACTTCCCGAGGCAAGATCAGGTGTGTCCTCACCTGCACAGACTTCAAGAGGACTCAGGAACGACATGGATCTGGAAAGTCCTGGGCACAAGGAAATTCTGCTTAGCACGTCCTTTCTGAGATTTCACATCCAGACGCACTACAGACTTCAACGCGTCCACTTCCCAAGTGTTTCGTCTACACCGGCACTGGCCATGCAGCCCTTTAGCCATTCAAGTTCTGGAACTGTCCGCTCCCAGAGAAGGCGACATCAAGCCACCGTACAGAGACACCAGCCATCCCCAAACAAACCACCAGGACTTCAGCACAGTGTGGCCAGCAGCAGCTGCCAGGGCCACCTGTAGTAACAAACACCCTCATCTCAAGTCTGGAAGGAGGCAAGCTGCTTGCAGGGTTCGCCAAGCCTAAGCCCCTGGTGGCCTGGCCTCTGCGGGAGCAGCTGGGAAAGCAGCGTGAAGGACCGCAGCCAGGCTCCTGAGTGCGCAGAGGCTCTGGGTGGAGAGACAGCCCGGGGCAGGCCCTCAGCTGTGGCAGACTGACATCGGTGTACCTTTGGCTGGGGTGGGGGAACCACCAATCTTGTTGGCTGTATCCCCTGCTCACGCTGTAACTGTTTTTTTCACCTTTGAAGAGGGAAGGCAATGATAACATATAAAATAAAAGTGTTGTACGTAAAAGAATGTGTGTCCTTCGAATGCCAGTAACCTTATTATAAAATAGTACAAGTAGGACTTGTGTAACACACACACACACAACTACAGTGTTTACTCCCCCAAAGCACAGCCGTGGAGCCAGGAACTGTAATAGGAACAACCACAGGATTCTTCTTGGAGGGAACGGGAGCATGGAGTTGGGCCTCAGGTAAACTGGGAGGGAGGACAAATCTTTTTTTCCGTCCTTTTTCTCCTTCTGTGTAAGACTGATGAGAGGTACCTACTGTGACACAGATAAGAGCACTTATCTGCCCTTGCAGCACCTGCACTTGGAAAGGAGACGAGCCACAGAGCCCTCCCAACGGGATTTGCTGCCACAGAGGGTTCCCACGGAAGAGGGCTGAGCTCAGTTCTCGTGTGTTCCGGTGAGTGAACGGGACTTGGCCGGCGGCATGCGCAGCACTCGCAGAGCTCATTACTCAGTACCGACTCCCAGGTGCCACCCCTGCAAGTCCTGGCTCAGTAGGTCTGCGAATCTGTATTTGTGACAAACCCACCACGGGATTGTGACATGTGGCCAGGTTTGGGGACCTTAATAGGCTTGTCTTGGCGAGCGCTTCCTTGAAGCACAATTTCAGTGATGGGAGGCTAAGTGTTAAAAGATAACTGAGGCATATTAAAAATTTTGAGTTTATTTGAGAAGAAATTGACTCGAAATCGGGAGCAGCAGGAAGCCGACAGTGTTCAGAGCACTTCACCCACAAGAGCCGGGGGTAAAGACCTTTATAGAGAAGGAGCCGAACTGAAGCAAGACTATTATTTGATTGGCTATTGCTTAAGCTGTTGCCTCATTTGGAAAGGCCTAGTTGGCCGTTTGTGATTGGTTGTCCTTAGATTTTGGTTTCTGAACCTTGAGGCACTCACAGAATTGGGTTTTGGTGTGCTCGGTATTAGAACCACCTGAGACAACTGGCTCCCTAATTTAATTAATTTAACAACAGACACAGAGCTGTGGGATTGAGGAAATACGGATGAGAAGATCTGGAGGGTTCCGGGTGGTCTGTGCCCTGGGAGGACAACCATGAAGTGGGGCAGCTTTCTGGGCGGTGGTCCAGGACCCATGTGAGACTGTGCTGAGACTGGATAGAGCTGTGTCCGTGGCTGACCGGAATGGACAAAGAGCGGAGGTCAAAGGCCAAATGGAAGGCCAGGATTCTCGGTCTTAGGACACCAGGGAGCTGGGACCCATACACCTGTGTCCTGCAAACACCAGGGCACAGAAAATGAAATGACTGTCTGCATAGTTAGGCATCTAAGGCTGGGCTGCTTTTTGTCAGAATTCCACAAAACACAATGTGGTCTGACCTGGCTGAACATAAACCAATTCCTGGATGGATGTACTTCATACTACACACTACTAAGTGCTGTCCACGTACTCATTTTGTTCTCATAGCAACCCCATGAGCTAGAAAATAATCTAATATTATAGCCTTTATACAGATAAGGAAGATGATTCCAGAAAGGTCAAGTAGCTCACCCATGTTTACAGAGCTAGCCAGTTCAAACACAAATTCTCAGGGGGCTGAATAAGTATGTAGCATTGATTAGACCTACTAATCCATGGTATCTTTATGGAAAATATTTCTCTGCATTATTATGATTTATCAATTATTATCAATTATTAATGAAGACAACCTTGGAATTGAATGGTGAGTGAGTGACTCTCTAACTCAAGAGCTTTTACATTCAGCCCTTGCTTATTTTGGCTGTTTATTTGCTCTGCAATTTTTTTTTATCCCTGACCAGTGTTGGTGGATTTTACTTTCTATTCTGCCATGTCATGTTCTGGGACTTCAGAATCATTGTTCAATTTATTAAGGCAAACAAATTAGAGGAGACCAGAGAGACAGCTCAGAGCGGTTACGTGAAACCAGGGGAGCAAGGGAAAGTAGGCGACATTCTCTGATGGAAATGGCAATGGTCTTGGAGCCATCCTGAGGTTCTTCACGCCTTGATTTCTCTGCGTCTCAGTTTTCACATCTGTAAAATGGCAATAGAGATTGTCATCTTGTGAGGCTGTTGTGAAGTTTGAGGTTATTATATGCAACACATTAAGTGCAATGAAGCTGAGGAGTTTGAAGTCACACTGCTTGCAGGGCGCGATCTGTGCCTGGGTGTGACTAAGGGCTATGCTTGCTAGCTCACACTGCCTGCCACCCTGGAATCCGGCCTTCAGGGGCACGAGCCCCGGGCATCGCACATGGAACCCAAGTCAAACTTCCAACCCAGGAGGGCCTTTCTGTGTCACTCCTGGGCGCCCAGTCATTCTCAAGGGCAGGAGATGGAGGCACTTCATCCACCTCTCTCTTCCATCTTGGTTTGACCTCCAGGGGCGAGGAGCTGCACTTCAGGAAGGGTGAGTCTGCACTGTCCTTTTTCTTGTGGCTTGGGACGAGCAGAACGTGATTTACAATCGAAACATGGGAGAGAAATAATGTGTGCCTTTAAAATTTTGAGCAGTCGAGTCCAGGTAATGTATGTTTAAAAGAGGTCATGGCCCCAGCTCCCATTCTCATATAGTCTTTGATGGAAAAACCATTCATGCCCCTAGAAAAGTTTAACAGTATATTTTAAAAATCATGTTGGCTTTATTCAATGATCTTCATGAGTCAGTGTCCAAGCTAGCAGACAAAAAGGAGCTCTGAGGAGCTGTACTCAATGGACGACTTTTATAGACAGAAGGGAGCGGGAGTGAGGAAGATATACTGGAAAGAAAAGCAGATTAATCTTTGTAAGGTTACTTTCCTTTAGGGAATGGCTGGGATCTATCAAGATTCCCCAAGTAGTGATGATCAGCGGTTCCTGATGCCATTTCTGGGAGAGCCCAAAATGTAATTAAGTCTTTGGCACATGAATTTATGTTTAGCAAATAAATAATCATTGTTTTATTGGTTCATTTATGTATATCATCACTAAGGCATTTACTTTAAACCAACTTTTGACTACTTTCAACATGTCAGGAATTGAGCTCTATAATTACACTATAAATTCTGCAGAAGTGGGTTTCTAATTTCTTTGGGTTTCCTGAAAACCCTGCACAGTTCTGGGCACACTGAAGGTCCACCTCCTAGTTCTACACAATTATGATGTCCTTGAAAAATGAACAAAACTCTTGGCGGGGGTACATTTTTCACTGGGTTGTTGAACTGGCTGCTGAGTGAGGTCTGTTTTGAAGCACTTCGCAAAGCGGAGCCATCCCTTCTTCATGCACAACACCCGGGAAACTGGAAATTTCGTGGATCGAGTCAGCGCACCATCTGTCGGCACGTTTTTTGATGTTTCTGACGTCACCCAACGTCGAACCTCGGTTGACCCAGCCTCCCGCTAGGGGGCGCGCGACTGCCCACGGAGGTCCCACCGGCACTGCGCAGCCTCCGTCCAGGGGGGCGGAATCCCCTGCCGACGCGCGTGACGTCACCGGAGGGCGCGGCCCGCGGGTGGGCGGGGCCGGCCCGCCCCGACCTCCCCCCTCACAGCCCAAGTAGGTCGCGTGGGAGGCGGTGGCTGCTCCTCCGCAGCGTTCGGAAGATGGCGCCGCTGGTGACGGAAAGGGGGCTGAAGAGCGTCGTGTGGCAGAGTGAGTGCGGTGGGGCGGGGGCTGAGAGTGAGAGGGCCGGAGGCGCCGCCACGCCCGGCCTGGCTCTCCTGCCCCAGACCGGCATTCTCCCGGGGAGCCGCCTCGGACACTTGTTGCTTCGGGACCCCGGTCCCCGTGAGGACTTCCTCCTTCCCTTCGCAGCCCTGTGTCTTGGCTGCAGCGTGGTGGGCGGGGTGCAGGGGACGCGGCCTTCTGGCTCGCGTCCGCACCTCTCGCCCCGGCCGGCGCGGGCCCGGAGCCCAGCCCCGGTGCGCGGCCCCGGCCCGGCGTTTCCTCCCGCGGGCCGCTCCCGTCAGCGACGTCTCCTGCCGGGACGGTGCGAGCCCCGCGGTGGCCCGCCCCGCCCCTGCTCCCCACGCTGAAGTGTCCGAAGACCGCTTCTCCTGCGTCGTCGTGTTAGTACCAGGGAGGGCTTTACAACCATAAGTTGCAGTGTTCTTAAAAAAAGAAAAACGCACTGTCAAAGCACAACCTCCTCCTTCTGTTCCTGAAGGGACCCACTTTGTCCACAGCCCCGGGGAAGGGGCCCCTGGAACGGGTCCTCTCGGGCAGGGCTGCGGCCGCGCCTCAGTCCCGCACTCGCCGGGCACGCCCTGCTGTTAGGACCCTGCTGCTTGCGGGTCGCCGACGCTGTGCGCTTTCATCCAGCACTTTCGTAAAAGTCGCTGCACACCTAGGCCTGCCGGGCCGGGGAAGGAACGCAGCCACCCGACGGGAAGAACCGTCTCTGTTGGGCACTGCTGGGTGCAGAGTAATTGTGGCTTAGGGGCGGGAAGGGAGCAACATCTAATTAGTACTTCTAACCCGGCTTGTTGGGCGAAGAACAGGAATGACTTGAGTTAAAATTCCGGGAGTCACAGAGTTCCTGGGGTGAAGTGAACCCCAAATCAGTACCTGGCATTGTGCGGGACATACCAGGTGCTGAAACCAAAAGAGAAGGGAAAAGAAAAAAAAGTTAGGAAAAACACACCTTTTAAAAAATCGGAGAATTATAAGGTTGGCATTTTGTTTTTCAAGATTTACGTGGCAGACTTCTAAGATATGGTACTGTTTTGAAATCGCAGTTAAATCCATGTATATGAAAATGGGTAACGAATGGTTGTATAAATAATTCCCAAGGTATATAATGGTCCTTAGCATCAACATGTATCAGGGAAAAAAGGTTAGTGATAGAGATGTCAGTTTTGACAGCGTGGAAACTGGGTAAGAGAGGGAGAGTTTAGAGGTAAGAAAATGTCCATTTTGTGCTATTAATTTTGTCCTGAGGTAACACCAGGATATCCAGATGGGGTGTAGGGTAAAGAAGAGAGGAGGCTGAAGGGAAGGAAAGAGATACGAGAGTTAAAAATAGCCTTGACTGGTGTGGCTCAGTTGGTTGGAGCCTTGTCCCCTAGACAGAAAGGTTCCAGGTTCAATTCCTGGTCAGGGCGCATGCCCAGGTTCGGGGTTCGAACCCCGGTTGGGTCTGTACGAGAAGGCGGCTGATCGATGTTTCTCTCTTTCCCTTCCTCTCTCTCTAAAAGCAGTCGGGGGAAAAAGTCCTCAGGTGAGGATTTAAAAACAAATGTTTTTTTAAAATAGTTCTTAGAATCTTTGTGTAAACAAATGTAACTGAAAGACAGGATGATGTTCATTCAACATTTAGTGAGCAGGAGGAGAGAGAGAAATAAGGGGGAGCCTCTAAGATGACAGAGTCTGAAAGAAAGGATGAAGGAACCTCCTTAGAGGTAGAGTCATTTGACTGGGAAAATGTTTTGCTGGGTTGAAGATAATACAGTTAGATTAGGGTAGAAAGCTAAACTTCAGTTTACCCACAAAGTAGGGAGAAAAAAACTAATTATTTTGAACATTGACTCTGTGCCAGGCACTCTTTACATATATTAAAACTTAGTAAATTTTAATCTCTGATCCACAGCTGTAACCGCAGTTGAATTATTCAAAATAGTCAAAAGTTAAAACAACCCAAATGTCCATAGATAATGTGGTATATTCATACAATGGAATATTATTAGGCAGTAAAAGGAGTGAAGTACTGATACATGCTACCATATTGATGAACCTTGAAAAATTATGCCAAACGAAAGAAGCTAGTTCCAAAGAATCATGTATTGTATGACTCCATTTATATGAAATATCTGGAATGGATAAATCTATAGAGATAAAAAGTAGATGAGTGATTGCCTACATGAGGGCGTAGGGATTCAGGGATGTTGGCTAAGAGAACGATTTCCTTTTGGAGTAATGAAAATGCTCTAAAATTAATTACGGTGGTGGATGCATGACTCTGAATACACTGAAAGCCATTTCATTGTGCACTTTGGGTGAATTAAAGGTGACCATTAAACAACACAGGTTTGAGCTGCACAGGTCCATGTATACACGGATTTTTTCAGTACTTACCTGTATTGCTTACGATGTGGGATTGAAAGTCTGCAGATATGGAGAGCCACCTATCCATTGATCTGTGCCATTTTATAGAGGGGACTTGAGCATCTGTAGATTTGCATCCGCATGGATGTGAGGGACAGGATCATCCTGGAGCCAATCCCCCACAGATACCGAGGGACAACTGTAGTCAGTATCTTTTTGGGGAGTCAAAAGTTATACACGGATTTTTGACTGCACAGGGGGGGTTCCCCTAACTCCCATGTTGTTCAAAAGTCAACTATATATGGTATGCAAATTATATCTCAAAGCTTTAAAAAAAACAAAACTGATATAGCTGTTAAATATAGACAGTAGTTTCATACCCTGGTCTTTTGGCTGCAGAGTTAACATGTGACCTATCTGTGACTGTCTGTGTTTAAACCTTAGTTCAGAGTCCAGTGTGGTGCAGCGGCCCCCTAACAGCCTCTAAGTCTTTGTTCTTTCTCACTCTAGTCCACCTGGCCAGTAGCTGCCAAGATAATTTTTCTGGAACAGTACTGTGCTGTGATCTGCTTGAAGACCTGCAGAGACACCCTCCCTGCGCCTGCCAAGTTGCCTAACGATCATTTAAAAGTCTCCTTTCTGCTTTTGAAGATGTAACCTGGCCGCAACCTACCTTGTTACCTCTTTTTCTCTTGTGTAACCTTGACATACAGCTAGTCGGTACTGTTTACTCATCTCTAAATCTTCTGCCGCCACATCTCGATGCCAGTTGCCCTATTCTTCACCCTTCTAAATTTTAGCCGGTCTTCAAGTCTCAGTTCAGATGAGGCTACTACCTCCACAGTGGCTTCTCATTTTAACTCAGCCTCTTATATTTCTGTAGCATTTAGTTTATTCTTCTCTAATGGTACTTCTCACTACTGCCTAATGTGAGTAGCTTCCTGAAGGCAGGCCCACTATTGTATCTTCTGGAGCTTAAAATTTACAACAGGCCCTAGCAGAATGCAGTGGAAAACAGTGCTCATTGAAAGTAAACAGTAGGTCAGTTTAAATTTCCCTCATTTTTTGCTACCTGAAGTCCCCCACTTATTCAATAAATATTATTGAATTCATATAAAACTAGATAGCAGTAGAAGGCAGGCAAGTAAGTTCCCAACCTTCTCAAATGGTGAATAATAGAAAATAAATATGCAAACAAAGAATAAATGTGATTATTTTAGTTTGTGATATACAGAGAAGGGCTATGCTAGGTAGGTGGATCAGGAAAGGTATCTCTGAATAGGTGACATTTGAGCTGAGACCTAAAACATTAGAAGGAACCAGCCTTTAAGGACTGGCTGTTTAAAAAACAAAACAATATTTTGAGTGCAAAAGTCTACATTTATTTACAAAACTAATTCTCATACTTAAAATGCTTGTATTTCTCATTTGTCACTTTTTGTTACAGGGAAGTGGTGGCAAAAATACCACTGATAGGAGGTTTTAAATAAAAATATATTGAAGTTTATTTAGAAAATAAACACACCACAAAAAAAAAGTAATTAAATCAACTAAAAGCAATGCCAAGCCACCTTTCTTTTTTTCCTCTTATCCGGTACAGTCTATTTTCTTTCTTGTCTGTACACAGCAGTCTAATGTAATGTCTAATTCATATTTTAGAGGAAACATTAGAGTAAATGAACCTAGAAAAATTGTAAGTAAAAGCAATGACAATGTATTTTAGCCAATTCTTTTTTTTTTTTAAGATTTTATTTATTAATTTTGAGAGAGAGGGGAATGGAGAGAGAAAGAGAGCAAGAGAAACATCGACGTGAGAGAGGAACATTGATTGGTTGCCTCTCACAGGCCCCCAACCAGGGATTAGGCCTATAACCCAGATATGCGCCCTGACTGGGAACTGAACCAGCAACCTTTGGGTCCACAGGCTAGCACTCAATCCCCTGAGTCACAGCAGCCAGGGTGAGCCAATATTACATCATAACCTTTCCCCCTTTTCACATTTTTCTTCTAGTTTTTATATAGATTCAGATTTATTTTTTATTATTTGTCATTTTTTACTTCCTTATTGAAAACATGGGTATACTTTCCATGCTCCTTCATAATTTTTGTAGTTAACGTTTTTAATCATTATTAAATACATTGATGTGGGAAAAAAAATTAATAGCAGAAAAGTTTATAAAATAAAAGTAATCCAGCTCTCAACCCAGACCTCATCCTTCCTCTCCAGAGAAAACCAACACTTTTAGGTTTTTCTCAAAATTATTCTTGAAGTTTTGCCTTCGCCAGGTAGCTAAATTGGTTAGAGCATCATCCCTGTACATTAAGGTTGCAGGTTTGATCCCCAGTCAGGGTACATATAAGAAACAACCAATGGATGCTCAAGTAAATGGAGCCAACAATGTTTCTCTCTTTCTCTCCCCACCCCACCCCCCGCCTTCGTTCCCTCTGTCCTTCTCTTTTCCTCACTCTTGTCTAATCAGTCAATGAAAAATAAGTTTTCTATGCAAATGTAAGCACATATAAACTGTGTTTTGGTTTTAATTAGTTATCTTTGTTTTATGTCTTTTTTCATTTGGTCACTTTAAAAAAAAAGATTTTTTAAAATTCCTTTTTAGAGAGAGGGGAAGGGAAGGAGAAAGAGAGGGAGAGAAACATCAGTGTGTGGTTGCCTGTCGTGTGGCCCCTTCTGGGGACCTGGCCTGCAGCCCAGGCCTGTGCCCTAGACTGGAAATCAAACTGGCAACCCTTTGATTCACAGTCTTGCACTTAGTCCACTGAGCCACACCAGCCAGGGCTGGTCACTTCTTTAAGTTACGTATAATCTCAGTTTGAGGCATGTAGGTGCTTGGTCTTGTACTGTGTAGTTGAATTCAGTTCAAGGAGAGAGAGGCTATAAGATTTGTGGAAAATTGAAGGACTGCTGGGGGTTACGGAAATGGGGAGAAGTTGGTCAGAGAGTACAAACTGCCAGTTAGGGGATGAATAAATTCTGGGCATCTAAGTCACATCCTCGTGGTGACTGCTGGTAACAGTACTGTGCGGTATACCTGAAAGTTGCTCAGAGAGTAGATCTTAAATGTTCTCACTCCATGAAAGCAATGGAATTATTTGAAGTGATGGACGTGTTAACTAACAATAAGGTGGTAATTATATTGTAATATATGTCTATCATATCAACACCTGTACTTTAAAGTTATGCAGTGTTATATGTCAGTTCTGTCTCAGTAACATTGGGGAAAAGGAACTGAAGGACTGACCTGATAGATGAAACTTTGGTGATGAATATGGCCTCTGAGGAGGGGTCAGAGCAGCCCTGCCAAAGTAAGAGAATTAAGTCCTGGGGCGTAGCAGTATTTAGGGTGCTAGAGAAATGGACATAGGCCGAGTCATTTTCATTACTATTTAAAGGAAATACCTTTTAGTTCTGTAATGTTAGGTGATATGATTTCTTTTGATTCCTGTCCAAACATATCCCACCTGTGACCATGTCACTTTTTATCGATGCCCCTAATCTCTGTTCACACAACTAGTTTTTTCTTTATTATTTGTTTTTAGGATGCCGACACGGACTGGGTATCCTCAGATTCTACAGCAGCACTCCCCAGCAGAAATATAATTCAGGCCACATATGAAATTTTAAATTTCTTAGTAGTCACATTTTAAACAAAGAAACAGGTGAAATTAATTTTAATATATTTGGTTTAACCCAGTATATCCAAAATTATCATTTGAGCATATAATAAAAAAAATTTTTTTTTTACATTCTTTTTTTGTGCTAAGTCTTTGACATTTGGTGTGTAATTTGTATTTGCAGGACATCTCAATCAGGTTAGCCACATTTCAAGTCCTTAATAGCCACATGTGACTAGTTTCTACCGTGTAGGACAGTGCAGTTTTAAGGGTTTAAGGACTAAAGAGATGAGTTCTGCCTAGGGAACTCTTCAGTCTCTTACATTGTAAATTCCATGAGCATTCATTTCTTAAGAGAAAGACATAAATCCAATAAAAACAAGCAAAATGTCTTTGATTTTTCAGTTTGTTTGAGGTATATAGTAATAAAGAAAAGGGAGTAATAGTTCACTGTTGGGCTTGGTCTGAAAAAAATCCTTCATCTCTGCCTGGAGAGTACCAGGAACCAGTGCTTTGGGCTTAATTTATGGTTAACTACTTCAGGCTATTGCCCCAATACTCATATAACATTATAATCTTCCCAGCAAACACATAAGCACTTTAACTAATATTTCTTAACACTTTCAAACCTTCTCAATCACAGTAAAACCTTTCAGATCACATTTCTCATGATGCGTATTAGTAACCCTTAATAAATATACCCTGTGCTTGGACATGTCATTCTTTAATATGATGCCGAAAATTTCATGGTAAATTTCTAAAAGCATTAACTTAAAACAAATACAAGTTGGCCCTGGGCAGGTAGCTCAGTTAATTAGAATGTCGTCCTGATGCTCCAAGGTTGTGGGTTCGATCGCCAGCCAGGGCACATACAAGAAGCAACCAATGAATGCATAAATAAGAGGAATAACAAATCATTGTTTCTTTCGTGCGCTGTCTGTCCCCTCCACTGCCTCTTTCTCTCTCAAATTAATAAATAAAACAAAAAGATATAAATTAGAAAATAGAAAAGTTTAAATACATTATATAAACATTTTGTTACCAAGAATTCGTGAGTTACTATATTTACATTTTAATTATATTCTATTTATTACTTAATACATAGTCCTACAGTTTTCAAAGTAAATGGAAGATTAATAAAACCTAGTAAATGTGGAAATTGCCTTGTAAAGTAGAATAATAGATATTTTTGTGAATTGCCTGTATGAATTATTTAATACATAAGAAAAGTAGTGAACTAATTTAAAAAATATATTTAGATTAGCTTTGAAAATCATTGCAAGGAACATATTAATAATTATTGATTACAAATTAAGACTGGATATTATATATTTGTATCCTTATTCTATGATATGTTTTATTGAAAATTGTAATGTAAATCAGGAAGAAAAATACTTAGCCAGTTTTGATTACATGTGACTATGTAATTTAGCAATGGGCTAGTTAGGGATTTTCCTGTGGATTTTTGTTGTTGTTGTTGTTGCTGTTTTCATCTTGCTTACTTGGGATTTAAGTAAATAAGGGGAAAAAATCAGATAATACTTCCAGAAATATTTTCCAGATGATTATACACTTAAATATATTAGCCTTTTTTATTATACTCTTATTCTCAAAATTTAAAAATGTATTGCAGTTTAAATGTTACCACATAAGGGGAAAGTCAAGGAACATATAGTAAGGACTCATGGACAAAACCAAAGGGGAAGAGCTGAGGGAGGGAAGGCGGGAGGGGGCAAGGGAAAGAGGTGGGGGGGAGGCAGAGACAAATGTATTTAAAAAGTAAACAAATTTAAAAAAATCACATAAAAAAATAAATAAATGTTACCACATAGGTTAGGTTATAAAGAGAAATGGAATTTTACATACAGTTTAACAAGTATATATACTTTTTATGTAGCTTAGAAGAATTTCAGATTGGATATTTCCCCAGCCATCTTGGACCTTTTAAGCACCTACTCTATTATTATATTTCTACTGTTGATAAAGATGCCTAAATAATTCTTTTTTTTTTCCCAGAGATAAAAGCAACAGTATTTGATGACTGCAAGAAAGAAGATGAATGGAAGGTAGAATTTGCATATTTTGATCTTATATTGAGTGCCTCAATATATTGTCCTTATTACACCTCTGTAAGAATATAGAGTCTGGAACCGAACCATTTGTGTTTAAACCCTAGTTTCACTTAATAGCTGTGGCTGCTTTGGCAAATTACTTGATCTCTCTTTGCCTTTGTTTCCTTGTTTATAAAATGAGGATAGTAGTACCTCATTGTGTAGTTGTAAATATTAAAATGAATTAATCCATGTGCAATGCTTAGAATAGTGCCTTGAACAATTATTATTCCACAACTGGCATTTTATAATTTTAAGAAAATTTGATGTTAAAAATGACATACATTTAAAATGAACATTCTCTGCCTCAAAATGGAAATATTTTCATTTGCTCACGTGTGTGTAATAACTCCGCATATGCATGTTCAGAAACTAATCTCCAGGTCATGCAGGTTAAAAGATGAGTTGAGATAATTTTGCCTACTGTTCTGATATTTTAATTTTATGTTCTAAAAAGTTTATAAGTTTGAGTAGATTTAATGGATTAAATTCTGTTTTTTGTGCATTCTTATCAAATGTTTATACTATTTAAATTTCTGTTCATTTTAAGATAATGCTTTTAGATGAATTTACCACTAAGCTCTTGGCATCATGTTGCAAAATGACAGATCTCCTGGCAGAGGGTATAACTGGTAAGTGCTACTAGTACTCATCTTGAAAACTTTATTGTGATTGGGAAAGTTTGAAGTATCAAAAAATTTTAGTTGGTAATTGTGTTTGTAAGGAGGTTATGTTTTATTTTTTAATAACTCTAGCCATAATAAATACACTGCGCATTCTTCTTTTCTCTGAAACTTCAGAGTAACCTCTATAACTCAGGTTTCCCCCCATCAGCTGAGACAAGTAATTAAGTGCCTCTAAATAAGTTAGTTGCCTTGTTGAGTTTGTTGTTCAAATTTTTTACTAATACATATTTGTTAGAGTTTTGTATGTTGATGTACTAGGTTTGTCCCAGAGTTTTGGTTCGTGGTTTATGTGAATTGCTTTTAAATGGGTAGTAAGATTTATGTCATAAAATTAACTTTTGTATACAAACATAATACTGACTGTAAGTTTCTCTTTATTACCTAGAAATGAAGCAATGAATTATAAGTTTAGATCAGCTTTAGTATATGGTTATGAAAAAAATTATGCTGCTACAGGTTGTTTTCTGTGTCACTTGGACAAGTTATTTAACTTCTTTAAATCTCAGTTTCCTCATTTGTAAAATTTTTAAAGGATTATTATGATGTCTAACATAATTCATGTGAAGTACTCAGTCTATTATCTGGTATTATACTTGCTATTATTAAAGTAGAATATTTTAAAAAAGAAACATATATTTAATTTTTAATGCATTTTCTTGGTTTTTTCATGGCATGTTGATTGCTTATGCTGGGGGACCTAACTATGAAATAACTGCTTTATCTTTCTTCTCATGATGAATGAACACGTAGCCCACACTTTAGTCTTAGGAGAAACACATTTTAAAGATTTTTTACTTTATCAAACAAAGACAAAGACAATGTTAAACCCAAGATATGTAAATGTGTTTCCCTATTATAAATAAGAAGTATAGTAATGTTTATTTTATGTTTTAAGTGTATAACTATTTGGTTACATAAAATGTCTCTTTTTTGTTAGTTGTGGAGAATATTTATAAGAATCGAGAACCCGTCAGACAAATGAAAGCTCTTTATTTTATCTCTCCAACATCAAAAGTGAGTATTTTGAATCCTTAAAAAGTATGTTCCTCAATCTTTTTACTATTGATACGATTTTTTCTCACAGAAAATTTAAAGTATAATAAAATACCTTTGATTAGAAATACACTTCCATAAACAAATTTGCTTAGGATTTTTTCTCTTAGAAGATTTTTTTCATTTGCACTTTCTCATTAAAATTTTCAAGTGGAAATTCCTGTCTCTCCCATATATGAAAGTAGAATTTAATTGCATAAACTATTAGTGTTTCTTTGAATAATTTGTTACTTACGCGGTTCCTATTTAGCTATAATTTAACAAAATATTTATTTTTAGAGAGAGGGGGAGAGAGGGAGGGAGAGAGGGAGGGAAACATTGATGTGAGAGAGAAACATCAATCAGTTGCCTCCCATACCCATCCCAGCTGGGAACCAAACCTGCAACCCAGACATGTACCCTGAGTGGGAATCGAACTGATGGCCTTTCACTTTACAGGACGACACCCAAACAACTGAGACACACAGATCAGGGCAGCCATAATTTTTGAGAGGATCAAAATGTACTTAAAAGAAGTAATCTTGTATTAATTTTTTATTTATCTTAATGATTTTCTTAGTACATATATATGTACATACGCATGCATGTATGTGTATGTATATATATATTTTATGTCAAAGGAGTTTCTTTAGTTTATAATCCAGCCATGATTTAACTCATAACTTAAAGCCAAAGTTGTAGATCCAAAAAAAGTATCAGATTCCTTTATTCTGTACAATATCTAAGAATACATTTTCTAACATGTCCTTTGGCTTATTCCCACCTAGAATGTTAATTTGGCAATACCAGTTTCTTTTCTTCTGACTCTGGCAGGCAGTAGGAAAAAACCATATATTCACTATTTAGTCTACATGCTGGCTGCTGGTGGGTTTTAGCGACATTTTATATCTTATTCGTGATATCAATTCATAAAATAAAATTCATGATTGGGAAAAATGCAAGCTAAACGCACCACTTTTCACCAACTAAATTGGCAGAGGGATTTTTTAAAAGTATATATGTATATAAATCTCATATTCTAGCTATTGGTGGATAATGGAACAGATACTACTATAAATTGCTAGTGGGAGCATAGATTGAGACAGACTTTTTGGAAAATAATTTGCTGTTCTTTATCAAGAAGCTTAAAACAGTCCATATTTTCAAGTTTATTATAAAGAAGTAATCAAATAAATGGTTATGTTAAATTCCTAGCAATAAATAAATCAAGTTATATTCTTAGTATTAACAAATAATGGCATGAAAGACTGTGTGGCCATTGAAAATGAGGTTTCTAAGAAATTATAATGCTCTGGGTAAAAGTTTATTTTTTTAATGTTAAGTGACAAAAGCCAGACACAAAATTGTGTATTCAATGAAAGAGCATAGGATTTTTGTACCTGAATGTGAGTCCTTTTTCTACCACAACCAACTCCAGTTTCTCTTCCTGTCCTTAATCAGGTACCTGTTGGGTCCCACAGGCCTCTGGTACAAAGGGAGGCCTTGGACTCCTTGCACATTGGTGGAGAAACTGGGGGGCGACTTCTTTCCCCAGGGGCTGGGCAAGCACCTGGAGACCAGATCAGCTGGTTCCTAGGCAAGAATCGTAAGATGGTAGATTTCAGGAAGAGTTTGGCACTAGGAGATCTGTGCATCTCAGGGCAAAAGTCAGTCGGGTGTCTCAGAAAGGCCTTGGTGATTTGCTTTTATAAGCCTTTAGCCCTCAGGGAGAGAAGCTTTTTGCCTTCCTCCTCTGGTGGAAGTGCCTCTGTTTAGGACACTCCACCAAGCAAACCAAAGCATCAAGTGAGTCAAGTAGATCAACCACACTTCTCAGTGGGTCAAGCTGCTAGAGAGAGGAAGTTCAGCAAGACGAAAAAACGCGCATCTAGCAAAATAGAGCTGCTTGGAGACGAGGATGACAATCCGAACAGAGAAACAGTAGTACATGTAATGAGATTCAAGTTAGCACATAAAACTTTCTGAAGCTCAGAAGTGTGGTTTCTTAGTTAAACAGTTAATTGAAGAAGAGGATAATCATTACTGAAATTTGAATAAGAGTCCAGAAGGTCAAAATGGAATATCTATCTATGTAAGCAAAAACAAACTCCCAGAAATCATGAGGGAAAAGAGACTTTAAGGATAGATCTGTGAGTTCTAACAGAAATATGGAGAGAACAGAAAAAAAAACAGAACAAGGAGAGAACAGAGAGAATGAGGAGAAAATGGTTCTGAAAGTTCTAGCAGGAGAAGAAGGGACAGATGAAAGAGGATTAAATCTTTGTTCTTATTTTTTGCTTCTAGACCACTGTATCTTTAAAACTAGCAGTGTTGAGTCATATTCGACCAGACTCTTACCTGCTCTTCCTCCTCCTTGCAGTCATCTGCCAATCTCTGGGTTTTCATTCTAACCCCTGGACACTTTTAGCCCCTAGCCCACTGTCATTCTTTTCACTTCGCCAGTCGTAGTCGCAGAGGTTTCAATATCTGTGTAGGTAGTACTTCCAAGTACGTTTGTAGACTTGTCAGTTCCTTGATCTGTTGTCTTTCAGTGGTCTGGTCTTCTATGTTGCTGTAGCTTCCTAGGCACTTGATCCTTCCTAGATCTCCTCATCACAAACAGCACTCTGTTCATACATTATCATCTTACTACTTAATATACCTCCACTGGCTAGACAACATAGTATCTTAAAAAATAAGTTTATAAGTTAAACTTTTAGACTGTTAAGTTTCTATTTTATCATTGAAATAAAATAATCTTAGTTATTGCAAAAGCTAGCATACTTAAATTAGTATTTAATAAAATATATATTAACATCTAACCTTTTTTTAAGTCTGTAGACTGTTTTTTACGTGATTTTCCAAGTAAATCGGAGAACAAATATAAAGCAGCATATATATACTTCACTGACTGTAAGTAGCTGTAAAAGTCATTGCTTCATTATTTAAAATTCTGTTAATATTATTTAAAATATTATAATACATTATATCAGTGTATTATACCCATATACCAGTACTAGTAACTTTCTATTTAGTCAGGTTAGAAAAAAATATAAGATCATATGTATCCTAATTCATGTGAAAGTGATAGAAAATTAAAAGAAATTGTCCCAAACTAGTTTCACAAGACAATCACTTTTGCTGGGGAGTTGGTGGAGAGGGCTGTCCCTCAAATTCTATACTGATGACAGGAAGAATTTTTTTTTTTAAGATTTTATTTATTTTACTTTTTAGAGAGAGGGGAAGGAAGAGAGGGAGAGAAACATCAATGTGTGAGAAGTACATTAATCAGTTGCCTCTTGCATGTTCATAATTGGGGATCTGGCCTGCAATCAGGGCATGTGCCCTGACTGGGAATCGAACTAGCAGCCTTCTGGTTTGTAGGCCGGCACTCAGTCCACTGAGCCACACTAGCCAGGGCAGGAAGAATTCTCCTTTAATCAGTTTCATTTGGAGTTTTGATTATATAATAAAAAATAAGACCCTTTGAGAGGGCACTGAAGAAACTGCCATCTGTTTGGCAAATATTAAGGGAGCAACTCAATCATGTTTCTCTTACTATGCCATATGTTTGAGTAGCGCCTAAACGAAAGCATCACAGAGAAGTCCAGAGACACATGTAATTCTGTTGTATATTATATAAAATTTACATAATTACATAATTACACTGCAGAATAAAAATGTCATTGATCTAAGTTAGCGCTTGGTCCCTTGAATCTAAAGAACTTCATGTTAAAAGACACTAGGAGCCAATGGCTAATATTCTAACCTAGATTTAATGGAACTATAAACAGGTAAGTTAAAAAGGGGAAGAAAAAATGAGCTCTAAGGTCCAGAATTTACCAACATCAGAGAAGTTTCTGTAATTACAGAAAAAAAAATTAACAGTTTGTGTGGTGTGATTACACTTAGTGACTGACCTAGAAAAGTAACGTAAATTCCTAAGAAGTTCTGAAAGTCCTACAAAATTTTGTTAAGTCATGAGTTAGGACCTGATATTCCTTCCTGACAATTTTAGTTTGTTCTGTTAGCAGCTATCTAAGGAAATATATCTTAGGTTATGATAGATATGAATGGGGAAAATGGAATTTCTGGGATAGCCTTCTTGACTAGAGTATATCTGCTCTGGAAAGTGAGGAACAGTATTTAGCTCTGTCTTCATAGTAAATTATTTTGTGAAAGTCAGTAATTTATATAGAAAAATAAATATTCTTAGATGTTAGAATGATTTACTCAAAAGAGTAAAAATTTAGATGGAGTTACATGCTTTGATTTTTTTTTTTATCCTCTCAGTTTGCCCTGATATTCTCTTTAACAAAATTAAGGCTTCTTGCTCCAAGTCAATAAGAAGATGTAAAGAAATAAATATTTCCTTCATTCCACTTGAATCTCAGGTATTTTCCATTTTATTTTTAATTTTAGTTCATATGGATTTTAAAAGTTGGTTTATGACCTTATTTGTTAATAAGGTATATGTTACTTACTATGTTTTTTTTAATATTTTACTTAAGTAGTTGGTAAGTTTTGAACAGTCCACAAATAAACATTTCCCATGATGAAGGGACGACCATGAGCACTTTAATAGAATACAACAGTAACAATGAAAGTGGAGCTTAAATTTCACATCTGCCACTAAGCCCTGTGTCTGCCAGGCTTTACAGCACCATTAGTTGTGAGATCACGATTTTGAGCACAGTCTGTGTTACATGATGGGGAGCAGCACAGACACAAGGGAATCAGCTGCGGCCCAGCCTCAGTCCCTGTTCAGGCTGCTGCCAGCCGGGATGGGTTATGCTCGGAGAAATGAGAGACTGTATGTGACAGGGAATGCAAGCAAGTCGATTCATAACTCACAAGTCAACCTGTAATGTGTATTACATACCTACTTTTACACTCAATCCATTATCTTAGGCTAAGAGGGATTACCATTATTTTAAAAAAATAAAAATTAGTTTAGTGGGGAACTCTCAACTCCAATTCAAGAGTTGCTTCTTTCGTATTCTTCAAATAACACAGTAACAGTAAAGCTCTAATCCAAGTCTTTACACATAAGTAAGTGCTTTTGTTAGTTGAATAAATATGTCTGTAAGATCACTTTGTATGTGATAAGACCAATAAGATCACTTTATATATGTCTTTTTAGGAAGTGTATCTATTTTAATGACATGAAAAGTATAAGCTAAAGAATTGAAGATATATACCAACTATGGAAAATTTCTAGGTTATTCTCTAGAAGATTTTTAGTGTATGCCAAATATATAGACCAATTTTGGCTTTGTTGTGTTTGTTTTTGCCAGGCATTAACATTTTTATTTTAGTTTGACTGCCTCAGATTCCTTCATCTGTTGCACAGGTAGTGAAAAGCAAACAGTGCTATCTGTATATGAAGCAAGGATTGAAGGAGAGAGGTAGACTAAGCAGGAAAGGAGAGTGAGAAAAGAGGGGCTGAAACCCAGATGACAGACAAAATGAGATTTGATTAAGGTAAAGACAGTTGTTTCAGAAGGCAACACTGTTAGTGCAAGTATTTTTTTTTAATTTCCCAAATAATAGCTGCATTTTTCTTGATGTGTTTTTAAAAATCAGGTCTCCCAATTGACAGCATAACTTCTTTTTGGCTTCGCTTAGGTATATACTCTTGATGTACCAGATGCATTCTATTACTGTTACAGTCCAGACCCCAGTAATGCAAATGGGAAAGATGCCGTAATGGAAGCGATGGCTGAGCAGATAGTCACAGTATGTGCTGCCCTGGATGAAAACCCCGGCGTGAGGTATAAAAGGTGAGACATGCAGAGTGTCTGTGTATGTTGTTTTCTGTTTGCTCTCCAGTACAGAGGTGAGTGATGTCTGTGCTGTGTGTTGGTTTGCAGAATTTTTCTTGTAAAATTATGCTGTATTTATAGAAGATTTAAAGTGTGATATTTAAATTTGAGAGTAACCAATAGCCTCTGCTGCTGCTGGATTTCAGGGCTTAATTTTGGTATGATGTACAGGCATAATTCTTCTTGAGTTTAAGGGATGCTTAGAGAAAATGTCCTTGTTGTCCTATAGAGGCTACAGTCTTACATGTAATGTTTTCTTAAGTTTCTACCAAATTTAAGTGACCATATTATCTGGATACCAGTGATAGTGTCTTAAGTATCTGTGGTACCTGACCCTAATGGCTATCTTAAATCAAGACCTTGGGGATTTTTTTAAGAAATAAAGTTTGACTTTAGTACTATGTACCTTTATTTATGTGCTTTATTTTTAAAAATAAAGTTTACTGCAAATATTATATATATATGGCTTGCTGAATCATTCCACAGTGAACATACCATCTAACATACCCCACTAAGAAATAGAACATTAACAGCGTCTCAGTTACAAGGCCCTCTTCCCTCGCCTCAGGTACGGAGGCGGTTACTGTCCCAATTTCTAACACATTATAGATTGCCTGATTTTGAACTTGGTATAAATAGAACCATACAATATGCTTTGTTTCTGGCTTCTTTGTTCAGCATTCTGTTTTGAGAGTCATCCATGCTGTGCGTAGCCAGAAAGGTTGTGTTTCTACTAGCTCTGACCCTTCTGCCCTCACTTTGCTTAACTATGTAATGGGAATGATAATAGTGTCCACTTCATAAGGTGGCTGTTAGAATAAAATGAGTTAATATTTGTAAAGTTCTAAGAACGTGCATGGCACTAATAAAATGATAGTAGTAAATGCCCTCTACTACTAGTAATAAGGATTAACACTCATTTCTCTTTTGAAAAGTTCTCTAATTTAAATACTGGCATTTGTTAAGTTGGTTGGCTGAATTGTTTAACTTCAAATTCTTGTAGTACTTTTATATTGTTATAAAATGTTATTGTTATTGTTATATTATTTTTAACCATTTAAAACATTTACTATTAATTACATAGAAAAAATATATATATAGTAAATCTCCTTAAATCAGGTGTTATCAAATGAGCTCTTTACTCATACCTCAAGGATTGGAAGCATACTTTTTCTTATAGGTGATATGATAATTATATTCTGAAATCAGGGGAGCAGAGTTCAGTGGCTTTTCTCTTGCTAGAGCTCACTCTCTGTTCAAGCTTCTGCTCTTAGTGATTGGCTCTGTTCAAGGAAATGAGTAAATGTAACCAATTTATAATTTAATAGCTCACCTATGGACTATTTTGATAATGTGAAGCTAGAGGATTATAAAAGTAAAATAATCCTCTGTGGTTTTAAAATTCTATCTGTTATTTGCAAAATATTTATTTGCCTTATGAACTTTTAAAGTGCAATTCCAACAGAAAATTACTATCTTTTGAAAGTATTTTAAAGCAAAATGTGTACTAAATTATTTTGTATAGTTGCTGCTTTATTTATTTTTAAGGTATAAAACCTAAAGATTCTTTAATACTTAGAAGTCCTCATAATGACACCCTCCATTTCTGAGGTTGGAGGGCTGACTGAAGAGCCTTTTTCAACAATTTTCTTGTAGAATCGGAAATTATACTAATGCCACTGGTGATGAATTAACAATTTAGAGTACAATTTTTATCATTTTAGAAGACAGTCATATATAAGATTTTATACAAAAGACTATATTGAAAAGTTGACTAAATGTTAGAGGGAATGCTGGGAAATCTCACACTTGTAGTGGAAGGAATAATTGGTCAACTAATTTGGAGAGTAATATAGTAATATCTAGAAAAGGTGAAAATGTACATTTTCTATGATCCAGCAATTATACTTTTCCTTTTTGATTTTGAGAGAGGTCGACTTGTTATTCCACGTATTGATGCGTTCATTGGTTGGTTCTTGTGTGTGCCCCGACTGGGGATCCAGCCTGCACATTGGGATGACATTCCAGTCAGCTGAGCTGCCCATCCAGGGCTGTACTTTTAGATGTAATATATCTAGAGAAAGATGTACAAAGATGTTTATTTCAGTGTTGTTTGCACTAGGATAAAATTGGGAATGACTTAAATATCCTTCTTTAGGGGAATGAATACATATCATCTAATTGTATGATAGAAGTGTACATAGAGAACTAAAATGAATAAATTTGATACATGTGCCAGTATATATAGATCTCAAGCATACAATGTTAAAACATAAAAACTATATACACATACATATATATCTATATTCATGTATACATCTACACATATATGTATACATATATACATATACATACACATATATGTATACATATATACATACGTGTGTGTGTGTATCAGGAAGAATACACATCAAATTCATGATAGTGGTTTCCTTGCAGGTAGGGGAGGTAGAGGTAAGTGAGAAGACCAAGAATTGGAGGGGAATAGGGAACTGCAATTTTATTTATAATATTTTCTTCATATTAAAAAAAAATCTAAAGCACATAACAATAAGGCTTACATTTATAAAATCGAGACAAATTGTGTATTTGTTATTATCTAAACTTTTCCATTTTGTAAATGCTTTTAAATTAATAATTTGCATAGTTTTAGAATTCAACTTTATAATATTGTAAAGTGTGTCTTGAAAGAAAGATAATTGTTTGAATATTTTTTTCATTTCTAGTAAACCTCTAGACAATGCCAATAAGCTTGCCCAGCTTGTTGAAAAAAAACTTGAAAACTACTACAAGACTGATGAAAAGAGCCTAATAAAGGTAATGTGTAAAAGGCAAGTAGTTATCTTGCCTAAAATCTGACTTTTTTTTTAATAAACCAAGGACTGTTATTTATTTTTTGGTAATAATTAACATAGATCCCCAAGATTGATTTGTGAGTCAATATAGAAAGTAGTGGAAACCTTAATAGACAGTATGGTTTAATGGGGAAGATCTGGGTTCTGCAGGTACTGTATCCAAACCCTGTCCTGCTGTTAAGTTCACAGAGATGTAAATTTGGGCAAATTAGGTAACTTCTCTATGCCTAAGTTTTCATATCTATAAAATGAGGATAATGAGAGATTACCTATTTTATAGAGTAGTAAGAGGACTAAATGAGTTAATATTTGTAAAGTTCTTAGAATAATGCTTGCTACTGAGTAAACATTTAATAACTATAGTTCACTTGTGTCATTACTACCTCTGTGACCTTGGACAAAGTGTTAACTCTGTGTTGTATTTTCATCTGTGAAATGGATGATACAGCATACCTTGCTTAGTTGGTATGAAGATTAGGTGAGTTAGCATGTGTTTGGCATATACAGTAGTTTAATAAATGGCAGCTGGTACTCTCTTATGAAGATAGTATGAAGTAGTCAAAGACTAAGGGCACAACGCAGGGAACACCAGCATTTAGGCCTGGGTTGGAAAGTGGAGAGCCTGACAGAGGCGGTGCCAGAGGGCTGGCAACACATTATAGCAGCCAAGGAATGAAAGGAAGAAACTAGATCGTTTAGAAGAGAAGATGGACAAGGAGACCACCAATTACAATGCTGTGTAATAAATGGAATGAGAGAAGAATACATAGAATGTAATGGGAACATAGAATGGGCCTTACTCTATTCTAACTGGGGTCTGGGGAGGCATCCTGGAGGAAGAGGCCCTTGAGCTTGACGAATGAGTATAACATGATAGAAGAGGGATTTTACTACTTGGATAACAGGAGATTTTGGGCAGAGGCATAGATAAAAAGGCAAAAGTCTCAATCTAACGCTTTGGCTAGAATGGAGGGCATAAGCTTAGATGTGTTAGTTTAGGCTGGTTTCTGCTTTGGAGGCCTCAGGAAAGCTGCTGCTGTTTGCACTTATGAAGACAGTGGCCCAGCACACAGAGCATAGGAAGAGGTCAGTGAATGTTTATTGAGTGAGGGAAGAGATGCACAATCAGTATGTAGTAAACATCCTTCAATTCTTCGTGATCTCATGAAAAAAGGCAAAATCAACAAAAATAAATAAGTAAAACTTATCCTTTCCATTCTTTCTGCCTGGAAAATTACATTTTTTCAAATGATTGGTACCTTTTTTCCCCTCATGCATGCACCTGTTAAAGTGTCACGTTCACTAGCAGAGCTTTCCTGACTCAGGTCAAGTGGTGCTTCCTCTCACCTCCTGTCATAGCCCCAAGCCCTGACTTAGCAGTTCTTTCTCCTTTTCATATTTCTGAAGGCTGATAACTTACATGTATGGAGGGTTTACAAGTGCCAGGCTGTGCTAAGTGTTTGATGGTGTTATTACATTTAATCTTTGCAGTCATCTTACAAGCAGAGGCTCTTGTTATATTTTGTTTTACAAATGAGAATACTGTTTCACAAATGAGAATTAACAAATTGAGCAATTTACCCAAAGCCATACTGCAAGAAAGTGGTCAAGGCTGGACTTAATCCCGGATGTCTCTGACTCCCAGAGGCCATGCTCTTAACCATATTTAAGTGAGTGGATGGTTAATTAAACATTTTTAGAAGATCTGTCCTATGTAGTTTATCTCTGCTGTATGTAAATAAATAGGAAATGTTTGTCTAATGAGTTGTAGGTACCTCTTACTGCTTTGAATAATAATCTAAAGAATTTATTACTTTTTCAAATGAAGTATGAAAGATATTAATGTTAACAATTATTTTTCCCAGCACTATTATTCACTATTTAATGATTAGTGCCATTTGTGAATTAATGAAAATAAGGTTTTCATTAAGATTTATATTCCTAGCAGGCATCAGTGTTCTGTTTTTAAATAGCGTGATGGTTAAGAGCACAGGCTGAGGAGTGAATCTGACCAGGGTTTGCATCTTCATTCTGCCACTTACTAGCTGTGTGATTTGGGCAAGTTGCTGTTAAACCTTAATGCCCTCCTTGTCAAGTGGAGGTAAGAATACCTGTCTCATGGGGTTGCCATAAGAATTTACTAATACGTATATTTCTTACTTAGCAATGTGTAGCACAAATAGCTCAAGTAAGAGCTACTTTTTATAATTTATATCAGTTTTAGTGTTTATGGGGCTGAATCCTAAGAATAGATTTAATGCAAGCCAAATGTTACTTTTTTAAAAGGAATTTTCACAGTATTATTGAGCATATCCTCAATCTAATTGTGAAAACTTTGGTTTTCTTCCCTCATTGTGCCACTCAGCTTTTTCTATTTTAATATAATGTGACAGAACTTAGGAAAAGTCTACTTTTGTTTTCTAAGATAATAAAAATGTGTTCACACAAACAAATAGAAGTTTCTTAAGGTAATTTTATCTTGTTATTCCAGGGTAAAACTCATTCCCAGCTCATAATAATTGATCGTGGCTTCGATCCTGTGTCCACTGTCCTACATGAACTGACCTTTCAGGCAATGGCATATGACCTACTGCCAATCGAGAATGATACATACAAGCAAGTATAACTCGAAGGGCATATAAAGGGCATGTACAAACAGGATAAGATAAGAGCAATTCATGATTCTTGCAGGCGCTGGAAATCTAAAGCCTCCATAACCTTTTTTATTCAGAGGCTTTATCCTTCTTTTTCTCCTATAATCATAATCTTATTAAAAATAGCTTCATCTTATAAGTTAATGGGTAATTTGACTGCTTTGAAGGTTTTTTGGTGTACTTGGCTTCCTTAACTATGTCTATAACAAAGCTATGTGTTAGCAGATAGAATTTGGACTTCTAAATGTTAAGGGTAAAATCTGGGCCTACTACTATATTTATTGAAGTGGAAACCATATTCAAACTGGTTAGGCTGTAACTATTCTGAATCACACACCCAAAAGTATCTATATGTAGGTCTTGTCAATATAATATATTTTAAAAGATTAGAAGATTAAATAGGTTGGCTATTGAGATAGGCACAGTTTTACCAGTTGGGTACCTATTATTTACTTAACTGTGATATAATAAGTATATTTACTTTAAAAGTAATGTCAAATAGAAAGCTAAATGAAAGAGCATTTTTATCAAGGAACTATTTTACTGTATCTGTGTATAATTTATGAGTATGTATGTGTGTATGTATGTGCATATATACATATTACATGTTACTTGTTATAATCCCTAAATCCAAATTGGTATTTTACAGCTAAGATTTACTGCTTGAGCTTAGTAGAAAAAAGTGAAAATTAGTTTTCTGAAATTTTACATTGAATTTAGTAATTTTAATAGATTAAAAAGATCCAAACACTTGTGATAATTATAATACTTAATATTTTTATTTAAAGCAAATATTCTTTAACTAACTTTGTATTTCCTCATGTTTTCATTTGCCTGGCTTCTGAGTTTTTCTCTGTGTTGTTTGTATTAATATTAGATGACATAGAGACATCAACATAGCTATTTTTCTAGTATAAAAGTAGCTTCAAGCAGTTTATTCAGAATTTTCAAAAGGGATTATTATTACCTCTCTATACTTTAGGTCTCTAGACTTGCATTGCTCAAGAAATTTATAAAAGAATTAAACTGATGGATACTAAAGGGTTTGGTTTCAGCATATATACATAAATTTCAGACATTTCTAACCTAGTATATAAAATATTTATCATCTTAGGTTTTCTAGCAAGCAAAACCATGTTTAATTTTTTAAGAGTAAGTTTTTTTGTTTTTTTTTAAGCCATCAATACTTCCTTTTGTATGAATCAGAGAAGTCCAGGAATAAGACTAGATGGAAGCACTGAACTCCCTGTGGTTTGTGCTCTGTCAGAATTTTAATGGAAATAGAATACAAAGCAGGAAATGCTAACTACCTAGAATTTGTTTTTCATCTTGGTGACCTCTTTGCATGTCCTCGTAAAATGGATTTGTCATCTTTAGTACTGTCAGGCTTATGACCTTAACTTTTGTTTGTAAATCAAAGGTGAAAGATATTCTGTAAGTACAAGGCAGCATTTTAAATGACAAAAGGGCTTTTATCCTTAGGTGTAGCCTTGATTATAATTAAGCACACTCATTCTGCTTTTGGGCATCTGTAATTAAGACTACGTAGCTATCCCTGACTTATGTGGCTCAGTTGCTTGGGTATCTCCCCACAAAAGTGACCACTGGTTCAATTCCCAGTCAAGGCACATGCCTGGGTTGCAGGTTTGGTCCCCAATCAGGGCACATATGAGAGGCAACCAGTGTTTCTCACATAGATGTTTGTCACCCTCACTTTCTCCCACCCTCCCCCTCTCTCTAAAAACAAATAAAATCTTTAGGGGGGAAAAAAGACCACGTTGGTAGATGATTTTATATGAGGCACTGGTTATTTTTTGGGCTATGGAAATGATCGTATTCATATAGCAGAAATTCACATTTATGCTCTACAGGCCAGAGCTGGGAAAACTCAGCGCTGTTCTTCCTTATTGTGGCTCAGAAAATTGACAGTCCACTGCTCCCCAAATGGAAGGAGGCTACGTGCATAAGAGGAAAAGGGAGAATCTGGGGAAGCGGTCAGGAAGCCCATTTTAAGTAATTTCAGGAACCCCTTGAATTGCTGCTCACTTTAGTAGAACTCGTGAAAGCGATCACAGTTTTTTATGACTACATTAGTTTTTCTGTCCTTTCCTTTCCCATTATTTTTTAAAATTGAGTTTATTTTAAAAAATGGAGTGACATTGATTAATAAAATTATATAGGTTTCAGGTCCTTCCTCACTCTTAAAAGGATATATTGTTATAGGGATATTACAAGCAAATGATACATGTTTGTGGATTTTGTACCAACTGAAATATCTTCAGTCTTTAATAGGCTAGGGGGCGGGGGCGGGGGGGGGTGACATTTCTGTTCTTCACTTAATGGATGTTTGATAGTCGTTAGTACATCAACATCATGTTTAAGCAATCACAACACAAATTGTTAGTTAGTATACTCTGTTCTTAAAGTTGATTGTAGAATGTTGAGTTTTTGTTTTATAAATACCATTTTGCTAACCTAAAGCTCTATAATAATAGCAGCTAAATATATATGTTACAGTGTAAATATATACTAATAACATTTGAAAGTCAACATGCCTTGGTAGGCATAGCAGTTTGATTTTTCTTTAAAGATTCTATTTATTTTTAGAGAGAGGGAGAAAAACATCAATCCGTTGGCCTCTTGCATGTCCCCAAATGGGGATCTGGCCTGCAACCTAGGCATGTGCCCTGACCTGGAATTGAATCGGTGACCCCTTGGTTTGTGGGACAACACTGAACCCACTGAGCCACACCCGTTGGGGAAGCACTTCGATTGTCAATGTAAGGATTGCAATATGCCTTAGTTTTGAGTGGTATTTATTCATTACCCCCTAAAATAGTGAATGTGTACTCTTTCAAGAACCATTGTTCTTGCGTTTTATCTTAAAATTATTGTTTGTGAAAATGTTTGTTCCACTTTAGTGGGGGGGTAAAAATAATCTAAAAGTTATATACTTCTGTCTATCTGTAGATACAAGACAGATGGGAAAGAAAAGGAGGCAGTCCTTGAAGAAGATGATGACCTCTGGGTCCGAATTCGACATCGGCACATTGCGGTTGTATTAGAGTATGTGAACGAACGGATTTTAATTTTTATTCCATATTTTTTGAACACTAAATATATGAAAGTACATTTTGCAGTTTTAAAGTGTGTCTGTAAAGCATTATACCTTTGAAATTTAAAGAATTCTCTCAATTCAACAGGGAAATTCCCAAGCTTATGAAGGAAATTTCGTCAACAAAGAAAGCAACAGAAGGAAAAGTAAGTCTCTCTTATTTAACTTTCAAAAAAAATAATGATGAAGGTGAATTTTAAAGTTTGTTTAAAATTATTTATCTAGTGAACGTTGTTTTTTTGGTGGGGGGGCGATTTCTAACATACACAATAGTAGAGAAAATGAACTCTTATGTACCTGTTACCTAGCCTCAACATTTTGCCTGTCTTGCTTCATTAAATTTTATTTTTAAAAGGCCATTTAGCTACTTTTGTCATTGCATTATTGCTAGGTTTTTTATATTCAGGTATAATTTACCTAAGTAAAGTGCATAGATCTTAAGTATATACTGAATAACTTTGGAGTCACAAACTAAATCAGGGTATCGAACATTTCCATCGTTCCAAAAGGTTCACAATGACACAGTCTATAGATAAAGAAAATTTAGCCCTATCCTTTTCAATCTTTATTTTAAACTATCTTTGTTAGTAGTTAATATCTCCTGTCTCTGTAAAGTAGAATAGAGCTGATGATAGAAGATAATATTGTTTCATTCCTAACCTGAGGGAAAACATGCTTGATATTTTATCATTGAGTATTATGCTAGTTCTGGGTTCTATAGATACATCCTTTTTCAGATTAAAGAAGTTCCCTTCTGTTCTTAATTGGCCAACAGATTTTTAAAATCAGGAATGAGTATTGATTTAATCAAATGCTTTCTCGGCATCTATTGAAATTGGATTTTTTTCCTCCTTTATTCTGTTAATGTGACAAGTTACACTTATTGATTCTCTAATATTAAACCAACCATCATTCCTGGAATAAGCTCCACTTAATCAGAAAACATTATTCTTTTCCTATATTACTAGATTCTATTTGCTAATATTTTGCTTAGGATGTTTGCCTCCAGGTTTATGAGAAATATTTCCCTGTGATTTTTTTTTTTTTTTTTTTTTTTTTTTTTGGTGATGTTCTGGTTAGGTTTTGTAGCAAGATTATATTAGACTTTAAGTGAGTTGTGATGCTTCCCTTCTCATTTTATTCTCTGAAGGTATTTGTATACGATTGTTATTATTTGTCCCATCATTACTTGAAAGAATTCACCATTGAAACAGTCTTGGCATCGAGTTTTCTCTATGGCAAAATCTTTAGTTACAAATTCTTTACCAGTACAGAGCTATTCAGATTTTTAATTTTTCTTGTATCAGTTTTGGGATAGTATATTTTTCAAGGGATTTTTCTTACATGTACATTTTCAAATATCCTATTATCCTTTCATGTCTGTAGAATAAGTAGTTATGTATTTAATGCTAATATTGTTCATTTATTTTATCCCCTGTATATGTTATTAATATTTCTAAGAACCAAATATGGTTTTGTTGATTTCTTTCTTGTATGTTAGTTTTATATTCAGTTGATTTCTACTCATTTTTATTTCCTTTCCTTAACTTTCTTTGGCTTAATTTGTTTTTCCAGCTTCTTGAGTTGGATATTTAGAGCATTGATTTTCAGCCTTTTTTATCTCCTTCTCAACATTGCTATAGCTATATCCCATGAGTTTTGGAATAACTTATTTTTATTTCAATTCAGCTCAAATATTATCTAACTTTCATTGTAGTTTCTCTGATTCACATGTTACATAAGAATATGTTTTATGATATATTTATTGATTTTAGAGAGAGAGGATGGAGAGGGGAGAGAGAAACATTGACATGAAAGAAACATCGATAGGTTGCCCCCACATAAAACCCAACTGGGCTTGATCCCACAGCCCAAGTATATGCCCCTACCAGGAATCAAATCCCCACACTTGTGTATGGGACGATGCTCCAGTCAACTGAGCCACACTGGAAAAGGCTGTAGGAATATGTCTTTGAATTTCAAAGAGTTTAGTAATTTTCTGTACTGATTTATAATTTAATTATACAGTAGTCAGAGAATGTGCACTGTGTGATTTTATGCCTTGGCAGCGTGTTCAGATTTGATTTGTGACCCAGCATATGATCTATTGTGGACTTGAAAAGAATACGCACTCGGTGTGTCAGTTAAATCAAGTTGGTTAATTATGGTATTCAAATTTTCTATTTCTTTACTGATTTTTTTTTTTTGTCTGCTCCTGTCGATTACTGAGAGTGGCATATTAAAATCTCTGATTATGCCCTGGCCAGATGACTCAGTTGGTTGGAACATCATCCTGTGCATCAAAAAGATTTGAGGGTTCTAGTCCCAGTCAAGGCACATACTTAGGTTGTGAGTTTGATCCCCAATCAGGGTGTGTACAGAAGGCAATGAACTGATGTTTCTCTCACACTGATACTCCTTTTGCTCTCTCTCTCAAAAAAATCAGTAAGCATATCCTCACGTGAGAATTAAAAATAATAATTTTAAAATAAATAAAATCTCTGATTATGATGTGAATTAGTCTGATTTTCTTTATAATCCTGTCAACTTTTGAAGGTATATGAGGTCTATCCACAAAAGTATCCAGCCATGTACTATGAAAAATAGAGACATTTATTGAAGACAATATGGTAAGAAACATTGTACATAGGACAATGACACCTCAGTCTCCTTCAAAGTAGGCACTTTGGGACCTGACACAGTTCTCCCAATTGCCATCAGCTGCCCTGTTGTATTTTCCTGAATCTCATTGATGGTCTGAAATCTCTGCCCTTTCAAAGATGATTTTACTTTTGGGAAAAGCCAGAAGTCGGAGGGCACCAAAATTGGGCTGTAGAGGGGCTGAGTCACCTGGGTGATTCAGTGTTTCACAAAAAAAAAAACCTGCACAAGACATGATGCATGAGCGGGCACGTTGTCATGATGAAGCTGCCAATCACCAGTTGCCTGTCGCTGCAGCCTTCTGAATCATCCAAATAGTTTCCACAGAGGAATGTTCAGGCTTAATGCAAAATTGGATGCAGATTCATTGCTCTACTTGCTCAGTCATTTTGAATGCAATGGCCACACAGTGCACATGGTCACTCAACAGCGTATACCACCCCCTCACTTGTACAGTGAAGTCATTGTTCATTCCAGTCCACTGTCCTTGGCTGCCAGGTTACATTGATGTCACGCAAACCATTCTCATTATATTAACAATGGTTGGACTTTTTCTGGACAGACCTTATATCAACTGATGAGGCAGGTTAATTAGAGTCCTAAGTTTAAGATTGCTGTCTTTCTGTTGAATCTATTCTTTTATCATCATAAAATGTCGTTCTTAAAATCACCTGCAATTATGTCTTGCCTTAAAGTCCACTTTATCTGTTTTCGGTATCGCCATACCTGCTTTATTTTGGTCAATGTTTACGTAGTATCTTTTCCCATCCTTTACTTTCAACTCTGTATTTTTTAAGTGTGCTTATTAAAAAGAGCTTGTAGTTCATTTTTGTTTATTTAATATGGCAATCTTTGTTTTTTAGAATGTTTAGTCCATATATATTTTATATAATTATTAACATAGTTTTTATGTGTGCCCTCTTATTTGTTTTATCTGTTTTTCTTTTCATTTTACCAAGTCTTATTTTTAGTTGTTTATTTTGTTTTATCACTAAGCTTCTTGTTTTAGCTTTTAGTATCTTTCTTATAATCATATGCTCGGTATTACAAAATGTATTCTTATATCCTTATATTATCCAGTCTAAAAGTGTACTTTTGCAATGTCCTAAATAATTCAAGAACCTTATGATAGTATTACTCCATTAACTCCTTCCTCTTGCGGTATTGTTTTTATATATTTTCCTTAAACATGTGTTATACATTCAAGGTGTTATTCTTTTTTTAAATTCTCATTAAACTTTTATATTATCCACATATTTATGACATCTGTTATTTATTCAGCTCTTTAGTTTTTCCATCTGGGCTGGATGAATTCTCTCAACTTTTGTTTTTATCTGAGGATATCTTTATTTTGCAAGTTTTTCAGAGATACTTTTCCTGGATTTATAATTCAAGGTTGGCAGAGTTTCTTTTTTTCCTTCAGCAAGGTAAAGATTTGAGTATATCACCTTCTAGCTATAATTTCTGTTAAAGAAGTCAGCTGTCATGTTATTGTTGTTCTCCTGAAGATAAAGTGTTCTTTTAAAAAAGTTTTCCTTTGTCTTTGATTTTTTTTTAGCAATTTCGCCATAATGTGTGCCTTACTGTAATCTGGGTTTTTTGGGTTTGTTTTTTTGTTTTTGTTTTTTGGTATTTATCCTCCTTGGGTTTTTTGAGCATTTTGAATCACAAAATTCTTATCCATTATTTCTTAACAGCTTGATTTTGTCATTTTCTTTCTCTTTCCTGTGTTTTAGATTATTTAACTATATTCTGTATCCCTTGCATTCTTCTGTTCCTTTTTTCCTCTCATTTTTTCCTCTCTACTTTAGTTGAATTTTTTATTAACCTGCTTTTGAGTCTCCTGTCTCTCTCTGTTGTGCCCAGTCTGCTGTTAAATCCATTCAATGTATTCTTTTTAAAATTGAATTATAAAGTTCTCTCTTTATAGTAGACAATTCTCTTGAGTTTTGACAAATAATGCTGTCGTATAATCACAGTCAAGATACACAACAGTCCCATCCCACCCTGTCTCCGTTCCCTTGCGTCCCTGTGTGGACACCCTCCCTCCCTTACTCGGATCCCTTGGCCACCACTGATGTATTTTTTGTCCCCATAGTTTTGCCTTTTAAAGAATGTCATCTAAATGAAATAAGACAGTATGGCTTTTTTCATTTAGCATAGTGCACTTGATATTCACCCATGTTGCATGTAACAATAGTTTCATCACTTTTTATTGCCAAGTAGTGTTCTACTGTGTGGATGTACCATAGTTTGTTTACTCACAAGTTGCAGAACACTTAGTTTTGTTTTTTCAGTTTGTTTGCAATTATGAATAAAGCCACTATGAACATTCAAGTTTTGTATGAACAGATGCTTCCATTCACTGGGATAAATAATTGAGTGAGATTTCTGAGTCATCTGGTAAATATATGTCTAACTTTCTATAAGAAAGTTTCAAACTGTCTTCCAAAATGGCTCTACCATTTATAGTCCCACTATCAATGTATGACAGCCATTCACTATGTTTCTAATTTCAAATATTGCATTTAGTTTTAGGACAGTCATTGAATTTTTAAAAATAAGTTCTATCTTTTCATCCATTTATTTGTTTTCCTCTTTTTTTTTTAAGCATAAATATGTTATTTTGAAGTCCTTCCCTCCTAACTCCAACATTGGGATCATCTTGGATCTACTTTTGTTGACTATTTTACCACTTGAGTATTGATCCCTTTTTCCAGTGTTACATGTATAGTAATATTTTATTGTAAGTTAGACATTATGGATGATACATTGTAGAGACTCAAGATGGTATTCTTTCTACAGAGTGTTGGGTTCTGTTCTGGCAGGCAGTTAATTTGCTGATAATTAACCTTGATTCTGTTGAGACTTCATGTTGGCTTTCTTATGGTGAGTGAATTTCAGCCTCACATGCAGTCTGAAGACAGTTCTATGACTGAATGTCTGGAATGTTTACTTGGGACTCTACTTTGTGTGGCATCAGAGAATGCCAGTATTCTCTTAGCACTAAGATCCCCCTGAAAACTCTGTCCGGCATTTAGCCACCCAGCCATTATTCTCTGCTGGGCCTTTAAGGGTTATGCTCTGGACATGAGCAGTTTAGTATTTGTTTGACCAGGGATCCAAAGGTAATCCCTCTGTGCATCTTTGAGTTATGTTGTGACTGGCCCTTTTCTCTCTAACATCCTTTCCCCCAAATTCTACCTTACCAGCTCCAAACTCAGATCTTTTTTCATCTGTCCGCAGAGACTTGCTACTTGAACTCCACTTCCTTTCATTTTGTTCTGGAAATGTCCCAGGGAAAAACCAAGTTTAGTGTAGAATCACCTTCTGTGCTTCCCTTTGCTGTTATCTTAGCTGTGAGCTGTTTTTTAATTTATTACTTGAAAAATGTTTTCTTACTTATTCTGTCCAGTTTATTTTTGTTTATGGAGGGAGAGTAATTTTGATATCAGTACTTTATTGTGATTGAAACTGGAAATTTCTTAAATTTGTTTTCTTAAAAAATTTGTCAGATATTTAGTAAATTAACAATTATTTTAAACTATAGGACTTTAAAGTTGTTATATAGAATAACTAAATTATAAGTTTGCTTTTAAAGTGTTTGATTTTTTTCCCTAGACATCACTTAGCGCTCTTGCCCAACTGATGAAAAAGATGCCTCATTTCCGTAAACAGATCACTAAGGTAAGCAGTATTGTATGTGAGGTACCTTATTAGTCCACCTGGCTCCGTAGTCAGGATTAGCAGTGCATGTCATGGCATACTTGGTGTTAGCTGTCCTGTAAAACCTTACTCTAGTTCTGAGAAATATCCCAAATAACTAAGCTTTCCAGTAGTATTCTCTCTCTATATAATCTAGATCTAGCCATATCCAGCTTAAACATTTTTATATCTTTGTCTTGAACATCCATACAGAGAATGTTGAGCATTTATCAACGTAATTAGAAAAATCAGGCTGTGGCCGGGTAGCTCAGTTGGTTCGAGTGTTGTTCATATGCCAAGATTGCGGGTTCAATTCTCAGTCAGGGCATGTGCAAGCAACAACGAATGAGCGCATAAATACGCGGGACAGCAAGCTGGTGTTTCTTTCTTTCCCTGCTCCTTTCCTCTCTCCCTTCCTTTATGTTTAGATTTCTCTAAAATCAATAAACATAAAAAAAGAAAAGAAAAAGAAAATTCTACATTAGATCAACTGGTGATTTTTTCACTTGGTTCTTTAATAGTTATATATTAGTAGATTTAAGAGTAGTTGAATTGTGTGAGCAGATAAACTATTAATTTGCTGTTCTAATTATTCGTATGAGATACCAGAATAACCTTTACATATTTTTACCATCTTGCACCCTAATTAAGAACTAATAATATAAATGCAAACATTCTCTGCTGGACTTTAAGGACTTCACTATTTTTTTTTTTCCACCTTATGTTTCATTACCCGGAAACCCAACACACATTGAATCCTTTCATTTTATTTTCTGCTGTCTGTGGATTGTGCCTGTTGATCATGCTAATTCTCACTTTTTTTTTTTTTTCTGGGCTGTTTCCCTTGCTCTGCAAACCTCTTTTCTACCCAAGCCCATACTTTCCTTCAGGCCAGTCTCAAAAGTTTAATAGTATCAGTTGCATAAAAGAAATTAAAATGCTTTAAATCAGCAATTTTTAGCCTCTTTCACATGTAAGCTACTTACTAAAATTCTGCAGCACACCAAAAAATGTATTACATTATTTGCTGATTTGATAAAAAAAAATAGGTGTGATGTTGATTCATGCACAGTGGACGGATATTGTTGTGTTTGGCTGTTGTCATTTTTTTATTTGACAGTCTAAGGGAAGAGAGGTCAGTGCCCTTGACTAAATAGTCAGGTATTATATTTTTTCTTTTTATAATTACCATGACTTATTTATTGAGATCTTCTTAACATCAAAAGCTATGAAATCTATACAAAGTCTAGAAATCAGAAGCTATAAAAGATAAACATATTTGATTACATAAAAACTAAAAATTTTAAACGACCAAAATATAATGACTGCAGTAAATGAAAAAGTCAAATGATAAATGATAGGCTTGGATATACCATTAATACTGCTACTAGTCAAAACACTCTTACAGATTGATCAAAAAGTGTAAACAACACAATCAAAACACAATATCTAAAGGCATTTCACAGAAAAACAAATTGATATGGCTAGAAAACATGTGAGAATTTGCTAAAACACAGGAGTAGTCCAGGAAATGCAAATTAAAGAAATGCTATATCATTTTTTTAAGTTCTTTTTTAAAAAATTGAACTTATTGGGGTGACATTGGTTAGTAAAATTATATAGGTTCAGGTGTACAATTCTATAACAATCATCTGTGTATTATACTGTGTATCTGCCACCCCAGGTATTGCTTGTTTTAGAAATTCTGCAGCACACCAGCTGCTTTAAATGATTGATTTCTTTTGTTTTTCAGCAAGTTGTCCATCTTAACTTAGCAGAAGATTGTATGAAAAAATTCAGGCCTAATATAGAAAAGCTCTGCAAAACTGAACAGGTACGTACAGTCACAAATACCTATGTTCATAATAGATTTCCTAAGTGAACTTTCTAAAGTAAAACCTCACCCTGCTCTATACAGTGTGTCCTGAGTCACACAATCTCTCTTACAAGGGGAATCACCAAGGCCATATTTAATACATCATTCCCCACCAATATTAACAAGTAGCTGTACGGTATCATAATAAGCAAGTCCCTCCTAATCTGTGATTGTGCATTTTCGGTTGAATGGGATGATTTGAGTGTTGAGGGCATCATTTCAGTAGTATTGTCGGCAGGCCTTTCTCAGGGTGCAGCGTTGCCCGTAGCACCCTGCAGAGCACTGCCCAGGCACTTACAGCTTGTTTATTAGGCTCCGCTGTGATGTGAAACTTTCAGGTCAGCACTGTCTAATAGAGATAGAATGCAAGTCGTATGTAATTTTAAATATTGTAGCAGTCACATTAAGAAGGTAAAAAAGAAACAAGTGTAGTTAACTTTAATACCTTTGATTTAACCCAATCAGTATATCTAAAATATTATCATTTTAACATGTAATTAATATAAAAATTTATTAGTGAAATATTTTGTGTTGTGTTTCTCATACCAAGTCTTCAGAATCTGGCGCAGCATATCTCAGTTCAGACTAGCCATGCTTCAAGTGCTCGATAGTCACATGTGGCCATGACTACCTTGTTCACACAGATTTATAGTGATGGTTTTCTTTTTCTCTGAATTATTTTTTGACTTTTAACATTTTCTACAGTCAGTAGTTTAGAAGTGATGCCCACATGTTCCTGTGAAATGCCATCAATATTCCATTAAAATTTGGCAAGATTTTATAATGGGTATTTTAAGCTGACAATGAATTTGGGTTATAGACACTGACTGTGTCATTTTCAATAAGGACCTGGCACTTGGAACTGATGCAGAAGGACAGAAGGTGAAAGATTACATGCGAGTGCTTCTTCCAGTTCTACTCAGCAAAAACCACGATAATTATGATAAAATACGAGCAATCCTGCTCTATATCTTCAGTAATAATGGTAATGGAGACTTTGTTCATTTTCATGAATATATTAGAATACCCAGCTCAAAACTCACACTACAATAAGTGGTTTACTAAAGCTCATAAGAGAATCTTAGAAAATTCAAAGGTAGTAGCTGAAGTTGGTTAAATAAAAGGAAAAATGAAATTGGGAAAAGACTGAAGGGTAGATTAAGTGTTTACTTTTAATTTAAAAGGCATTATGAGTGGGTACTACCTAAAACCTAGAAATGATTGTGGTAACAACTATATGACTCATATTTGTACTCATCTCAGGAACTACAGAAGAAAATTTGGACAGGTTGATCCAGAATGTGAAGATAGAAAATGAGAGTGACATGATTCGTAACTGGAGTTACCTTGGTGTTCCCATTGTCCCCCAGGTAAGAAGTCTCATATTCCGCATGTACTTGTGTAGGTGGCTGTTTGCATTAAATGTTTTCTTATGTGGGAATCCATGGGGACCGTTGTCTTAATTCCACTTATAGACTTGGTAAGTGAAAAATTAAAATTTTGTTTTCCATGTAGGAGTAATTTGGACAAATTCATCTTTCTAGTGAATTTATATTTTATGGCTTCTGTTGTAATTTCCTATTGATGTTTTTCTCTTTATGATTCATTTATAGCAAATTTTCAAAGACTTCTATTTAGAATCTCTTTCCCATCGAGTTTTATAGCACTTTTGAGTAAACTATTACAAATTTTATCATTTAAGCAAAAATACGGTGGTTATATGTCCACACCTATTCAGATTATTTGAGTAGGCATTTCCAATCTTTGTTTTAAGTAAATACAGCATAGTATTTGCTGTAAATGAAATATATTTGTTAGAAAACTTAATAAAAATGTCAGTAAATAAATTACTGGTTTTTAAATTATTTTCCTCTATATTAGTCTTCACAAGGCAAACCATTACGAAAGGATCGGTCTGCAGAAGAAACTTTTCAGCTCTCTCGATGGACACCTTATATCAAAGATGTTTTGGAGGTAAAATTCATTAAATTTTACTTATACCCTGAGTGCCCACCTGTAGCGTCTTCTGAACTGTAAGTGTATTTGTCAGTCTGAGCGTTATCTGTAGATAGATCAGGAATCTTCTGCAGCCCTGGGAGGCTTCACAAAAGGAAGTTGTGTCTGGGGTCAAGGGAGGTCAGGAAACTCTTGAAGATTCTTTTCTTGAAGACAAACACCATTGACTGCCTCCAACTAAATAAATAAAAAGAAGCACACACAGTTTTACAGGGGGAAAACTGCTGTTGTTTTAAATAACTATATGTAGCAGAAATACAAATAATTTGTTTGAATGAAAGCTCAGAACAAAATAACATTTGTATATGACCACTATTAGAAAGTGTTAGACTCCAATATTTGTGATTAAAATGTAAATCAGTTGGTTGCCATTATATCCGACAGATGGTTTGTGCTTTTAGAATTGTTCACTTTTAGAAAATATTCAAATATAGGAAATTAGAAAACTAATAGAAATTGTATTATGAACTTGGTCAAATCATGACATTGATCCTTCAGTCATAATTAATATAGTTCCATTTATTTCAAATTTCCTTTGACTTAAACTGCAATTCCTACTTTCCTTTGGTATTTATTTGGATACAATTTATTACTATGATTTTTCTGTTTTGCTTGGCTAATTTTATATCACATAATTATAGATGAAAAGTTTGAAGAATTTAGACTTTATTTTTGGTAGTATAAGTTTTTTTCTCTCCTAACAAAGATCTAGGACTAACTAGTTTTGGGGGGTTTTTTTGTCTTCTGTTTTTTGCTTGTATTTTTAAAGGAAGAATTGACTTACTCAAAACTTTTAACAAAGATTTGCGTGTCAAACTCAAAAAATACACTTTTAGCTGTTGTAGTCTAAGACCTTCAGAATTTCTCCTGAAGCTTGGTTTCTTCATTTCCTGCAATCTTACTGAAATATTCTTAAGACAACTGAGTTTCTTGTGGCCATTCATTAATACCATGTGTGCAACCATACTGTAAAGGAGTGGTCCCCATCCTTTTTTGATCATGCACGTTTAGCTATAAAAAATATGAACATAAGCCTACAGCATGACTATTTATTTATAAAATATATATTACTGTACTAATAAAACATAACCTATGTATACAGTATATCCATACACATAAGTATATCATAAATGTAACCCTAAAGAAAATAAAAAGTTTTAAATGAAAACTTCCCTCATCCCTTGGGATTGTGTCTTGTGTACCCCTGGACCACTGTGCAGCTCCTGTTGCAGAGCCACTGCTGTGAAGGGCAAGGCCTGGGCTCCTCGGCAGCCTACGAGCTACGTTGGGACTAGGGTGGTAGTTAGAAATGCCTAGTGCTCAAGACACAATGGTCCCAATGAGATGTCTGGAACCTCACACTGATGTGGGGACCTTCCCAATGAAGAGATACGGGCGTGGCCTAAGTACTGGTTTAATAAGTGAGTGCGTGGCTGTGTTAATTTTTGAAGCAAGTAAGATTTGTGAGGTTCAAAGAAAGGGCCAACCTTATTTTATTAAATATTCATATATCCTTATGTTCCTTCATTGTAAATACAAATTCTGAGTTTTATGCAAAACAAGTAAATAAAAATATCTTGGAATTTACGTTTTCTTGATGGTATAACTCTTTTCTGCCCTAGGATGCCATCGATAATAGATTAGATTCAAGGGAATGGCCGTATTGTTCCCAGTGTCCAGCAGTGTGGAACGGCTCAGGGGCTGTAAGGTAAAGCCTGCAAATCAAAGTCAGTGAGTGACATTTTTGATATGATATTGCAGACTAATAATTGAAATGATACACAGGTATTCTTTATATTGGTGACTCTCCTTGAAGCATATCAAAAATTTAAAGAGGCACTTTCTTTTTTTAACTATAGCCTGTTTTAATTGAGTCCAGGTAAGCAATATGAAAATGTCCAGTGAGAAATCTCCAACACGAAACATCACAAACCACTTTTGTTCGATCAGTCACAGCCCCTTCTCCATACACTGCACAAATCTTCTTTTGCATTTCCCTTGTGTTTTTGCCTTTCTTGAAATCATACAGCTTAATATGCCAAAAATGTGTGTTTTCTTCCATCTTCAATATTAAAATGGCTACACAAAAATTTACCAATTTTGATTTTTTTTTTTTAAAGCATGCTGATACGACAGCCATCACAATACAATCTTAACAAAATTGTTTCTAATGAAATTAAAGACAACTGCCCTGGCTGGTGTGGCTCAGTGGATGGAGCGCTAGCCTGCCAATCAAAGGGTCACTGGTTCCACTCCCAGTCAGGGCACAGGCCTGGGTTGCGGGCCAGGTCCCCAGTAGGGGGTGCGTGAGAAGCAACCACACATTGATGTTTCTCGCCCTCCCTTTTTCCCTCCCTTCCCCTCTCTAAAATAAATGAATAAAATATTTTAAAAAAAGGGGGGTGTACTTAAAAAAAATTAAAGACAACTAAGTGCTACTAGAGCCATTGTATGGAAAAAAAACCAAACAAACTTTTTGACCAACTCAGTATTTTGTGTGTATATGCTGAGGAGACTTAATTTAAGGTCTGCCCTCTTAGTGAATTTCAAGTATACAGTACAATTTTGTTAACTTTAGTTACCATGCTGTACATTAGATCTCTAGAACATTCTTCTTGCATAACTGAAACTTTGTGCTTCTTGACCAGCATCACCTCACTTCCCCGTCTCCTCAGCTGCTGGAGAGGAGGAGAGGGACATCAATGTGGGAGAACAACATCAGTTGTTGCCTCTCGTACGCACCCTGACCAGAGACAGAACCTGCAGCCTTTCCGTTTATAGGGTGACGCTCCAACCAATTGAGCCACACTGGCCAGGGCAACACCCTGCTTTCTTTATCTGTGTGTCCGCCTGCGGACATTTAGGTTGTTTTTGTGTCTTGGCTTTTGCGAATAATGCTACAGTGAACATGGGAGTGCAGACGTATCTTCCGCCCTCGTTCTCTTCCGAGTTCCAGTAAGGGGCATCCCGGTACAGCATGCGCTCCAAAGGAGCGCCGGCAGTGTCTCCAACTGCTCCCCGCCCCGCCTGTATCTTTAAAAGCCTGTTTTTTCAGTGCTACTTCTTGCATTTCTTTAACTTCAAGAAGTCCTACATTTTTCAGGTATATTGTTTCTCCATATGCAGTAAATAAGAGATGGCGTTAGCTCTGTTTTATAGGTAAAGATGCTGAGCTAGATTATGAGTTATTTGTCCAAGCTATCAGATCAAAGTAAACATGAAGTGAGACTGTCCTGCCTAATTCTTGGTGCCCAGTCCTTTGATAATTATTTCCTTAAAATCAGTGTAACAGTGCCAATGTTGAATTTGCTTGCGTTACGCTATTTGAAAACTCTATAAACAGTAAGGCTTTGGAAGGTTTCGCAATATGTTTGTTTTTTATTTTTTTAGTGCTCGCCAGAAACCCAGAGCTAATTATTTAGAGGACCGAAAAAACGGGTCAAAGCTGATTGTTTTTGTTATTGGAGGAATTACGTACTCTGAAATGCGTTGTGCTTATGAAGTTTCTCAGGCACATAAATCCTGTGAAGTTATTATTGGTAAGACTCTTTTCTATTTCTTTAAGCAAACTCTCAATGAAAAAAAAAAAGTAAAACTTTATCTTGTATTTTACATTTAGAACTAAATTGTTGAAAGCAAAACAACTTGTTTTAATCATAGTGTTTTTTTCTGGTATACTAGAGTTTTTCCTGGTTGACCGTTTGATAATTTTTTAAAAAATACCCTGTGTTTGAGGGAATGACCTTCAAAATATTACATTCTTTAAATATTATTAAATATATCCTTTAAAGTGTTATGTTCCATATTTTTCTTTCTGTCATTATTAAATATTTTTTAGACATTTCTACAGAAATATTTTGAATTATTTTGTGGACCTGACATTGTCAAGGCCTATGTGTGAATTTAGTTTTAAGAATTTCAGTCAATGCCACCGATGCGTAAATTCCCCTGACCAAGCCTCAGCACTCAGCACTGTGTAATGGTTCTCTGTGATGGAACAGAACAGTACTGTCCTGTCAGGAGGGTGGAGGAGCCTTCAGTTCTGCTTTTCAGTTTATCAGTATGTAGTGCGATACAGACACAGCACCAGAAGGGGGCAGTGTTTCTGAAGATTTAGTGAGCATGCTCAATGAAGAGGAAGCTTGAAATACTGCAGTGTGGGAGGTGGGGTGTCTGGGGCAGGGGGAAGTGGTGGCGGAAAATGGAGACAAAGGTATTTGAACAATAAAAAAAAATACTGCAGTGTAAACAGATTTCAGTGTCTTGCAGGAATTTTGTTAAATTGCTCCAAGCTACAAAGCTTTGCATATTTGAAGGACAGGACAATACAGTTAGTGAAGGAAAAGTAATTTAACTGCTGGCATCTGAAAATTTATCTTTTTCCTTACCAGGGTCTACGCATATTTTAACACCCAAAAAGCTGCTGGATGACATAAAGATGCTGAATAAATCCAAGGATAAAGTCTCCATTATTAAGGATGAATAGTATTTGGAGGGTGGGGCAGTTCTTATCAATACTTTCATCTAAACTAGATCAAGATAGTGCTACTATTACCCAGTTTAAACAATGTAAATATTTTATAGAATAATGACTTTTCAAATATATTTCCTAAAGGACTGCTTATAATTACGTATAATTGGATTTGCCACTTCTAATAATTTAAGTATTGTTGATACTTTGTTGATGATGAGAATAACTATTAAAATGCTTTTAAAAAGAAATGTTTTCACCTTTGGAACAAAAAATAAGAGTTGTGGGTAATTGTTCACAGCCATTTGTGTACATACTAATTACTTATTAGATACCTGTTTTGTGCTGAAATACAGTTTTTGGGGAAAGAATGATTTTAAATGAAAAAGTTCCAAAATTAAAAACTGTAAGTGTGTATGTATGAGAGAATGGTTTTCTATAAGTGTACTTTTTTCACAACTGAACTTCATCATTTCTTTTATGCATAAAATAATTCAGTCAAAATTAGAATGATTTCACAGTATATACTGTATTGCTATACATTTCTAAAGAGCATAATTTTATATAACTTTAAATTCATATATGTTTAAATTAGAAAGCCAAAAATAACCATGAACATTCTAAGAGGAAATAAATATATAATTATAAGAATTATCTTTGGTTTTTGGGGGGTATGCATAGGAGAAGTTAGGAAGTTTAAAACTTTGAAGCTGGGGAGCTGGAAAGAAGAAAAAGAATGCACCATAATCTTCCCACCAAGATAACCCATTGACTTTAAAAAATAATAATGTAATATATGTGTAAGGTTGGGTAATGCCATCATACACCACTTAACAACAGGGATACACTGTGAGAAATGTGTCATCAGGAAAGCTTGTCCTTGTGTGGATGTCATCAAGCGCACTTACACCTAGATGGTACAGCCTACTGCACACCTGGGCTGTGTGGTAGAGCCTGCTGCTCGCAGGCTCAAGCCTGTCCAGCACGTTACTGTACAAAACAACACGAGACTCAGTCAAACACGAGAGAAAATGATGCAATCGAGAAACACAGTAAACACGAGATGTATGGGGCTGCTGCCGGCATAACACAACATACTGTGTTTTACAGGACACTTTTTTTATAAGCAGAAAGAGTACACTCTAAAATAACAGTAGCCCTGGCCAGGTAGCTCATTTGGTTAGAGCATCATCCCAATACGCCACGTTTGTGGGTTTGACTCCAGTCAGGGCACCTACAGAAAGCAACCAGGTGAATGCATAAATAAAGTAGAGCAACAAATTGATGTTGCTTGCTCTCTTTTAAAAAGTCAACCAAAAAATATTTAACAGTAAGAAATGTATAAATACATAAAACTACAACATAGTTTATTATCATCAAGTATTATATACTGTACAGTTTTATGTGCTGTACTTTTATACAAGTGGCAGTGCGGTAGGTTTACACCAGTGTCACTACAAACACATGAGTCATGTGCTGGGCCGTGACATGAGGGCCGTGATGTCGTAGGCGATGGTAGGTTATCAACTCCAGTATAATCTCATGGGAGCACTGTCATTTATGCAGCTTGTTGTAGGCAAAACATCATTATGCAACCCATGACTATAAGGATATGTCTGCACATGTTACACAAATGGAATATGCATTAACACATGTGAAGTGTGTGGTACACAAAGGGAACATCTTTATTTTAAATCTGCCCTTTTGTCTGGCCTCATAGTGTTCTACCATACGATGGGCCATAATTTTTTTTTTAATCCTTACCTGAGGACATTTTCCCATTGCTTTTAGAGAAAGAGAAACAGATGTAAGAGAGAAGTATCAATCAGTTGCTGTCTGGTACAAGCCCCACTGGGGATCGAACCTGCAACCTGGGTATGTGCCCTGAGCAGGAATCGAACTTGCAACCTTTTGGTCTATGGGACGATGCTCTAACAAACAGCCACACCAGCCAGGGCTGGAACATAATTTTATCTATCACTTGTCTTCAGAGTTTTACTAATAATGCTGCATTATTTGGGTACATACTTTTACAAACCTTCATGAATATATCTAGAATATAAATTTCTGGCAGTGACACAGCTGGCCATAGAATTTACAATACTGATAGATGCACCACTTTTAATTTTTATGTAGACAAATCCATTTTTCCTTTGTGGCTTCTGAATTTTATATTGTACATAGAAATACCTTTTGCACCCAAGGTTACCAAGTCACCCATTGTCTCTTCTAGAACATTTTGATACATTTATTTTATTTTTTGCAGGTAACTTACCCAGCTGGAATTGATTTTAGTGTGAGAATATATGCTAGATATTGTCTCTTAGCATGTGGCACTATGTCACATGCCTCTCCATCCCGTATGGATGGAGGGGATGAAAGGCTAACAATCAAGTTTTGCAGAGTTAAAGGTAAGCAGGGTTCTGAACAGATCCGATTCCGCCCATGATTTGCACTTGGTCAGGATCTGAGAGGTGAAGGCAGAGGCCATGCACCCTGGTTGTGCCAACGGACAGGACCTGTCTAGCAGCCACACTGCACGCTCTAGTGTCCATCACCTGCCGCATGGTTATGAGGCAGTGTTGGTGGTGGCAACAGCACTGGCTCCTGTTCCCTGGATCACAGATGATGAAATGACCTTGAGTAAAAGTGTGGTGGCCTCAGTTTCTGTCCCTATGATTTTTAAGGACCTAATTTTCTGTATGAAATCCCTTTCTGCTTCAAGTATCTGGAAAAATTTCTGTTCCCACAGTGGACCCTGACTGATAGAGTATAGAACAGGGACCAAACTTCCTTTTTTTCTGACCAGCCAGATGTTGTATAAATTTTATTGGGAAGAGGTTATACCCTCTTTCCCCAACTAATCTGAAATACTACCTTTATCGTAGACCAAATTTTTATTTGTATTTTGGTCTATTCCTGGATTCTGTTTTATTGATCGATAGTTTATATTTCTTTCCCTATTTTAATTCATCTTATGTTTTAATACATGACGGGTATAATCTCTACTCCAAATTACTGTTATTTTTCAGAAATTTTCTGTTACATTTTTCTGAATGAACGTTAGTGTCATTTTGTTAATGACAAAAGTTACCTTGGTATTTCATTAGATTTGCAGTAAATTTATAGGATAACTTAGGGAAAATATTGAAACTTGATATTCAGGAATATGGAATGTCTTTTCACTTACCTAAATCTTTATGACAGGATGATTTTCTTTCATATAGGTACTACATATTGCCATAATATTTGTGGTTCCCTGTGAATTGGATCTTCTATTATTCTTTTCAAACAAATGTTTTTATGTATAGAAAAGTTTCTGTTTTGATATATCAATTTCATAACTTGCTACTTAACTAAGTAATGGTAGTAAAATAATATGCAAATGTTTTCTTTGTGCTCTGTATGTGCTAGGCAGCATTTTTAAGTGCTTATATTATCTCATTTAATCTTTTCACTTAATTCTGTGGGGAAAGGTACTGTTATCATCTCTGCTTTAAAGCTGAGGAAACTAAGGCACAAAGAAGTTATGCGATATAACCTGGATTTGTATGTGGGGTGGAAGTCTAGCCATTAGTAAACAGCTCTCTCTGCATATCGAGCATGAGAACAGTAAGTACATTGCCAGTGCGAGAGGGTTTTATCTTATATCCCTTGGTAACTACGCATCCAGGGTTAGGATATATGTGGAACAGAGATTTAGACTAATCTAATGCCCTGTGACAAGTGGAACTACCTGTGTGACAACAGCAAAATCTGAGTCAGTCACTCGCCACCTTGGTGATCACTGCCTTTTGGCCCTGATGGGAGATCCTTTGAGGCCTATATCTATGTTGCACGTATAATTTAGGCTTAGAATTGGAGATCCTTTGTTTTCTAAATCTCTCTGAAGACATAAGAAATCATGTCGCAGAAATTCCATAGTATATGCTGATCTCTCAGCCCCAGAAGTAGCATTTACAGATTCTGATATCAAGACCCTGAAAAAACGTTTTTGTTGTTGCAGCTAACTGGAACCATGTACGCTCTATCTTTGAAGCACAGTTTTGCTTCCTGTTGGAGTGTGTCAGGCATAGTGAATTCACATTGCTCAGCCATATTCACAAAAGACAGAGAAGAAAAACAGCACAACACAAAAATGTCTGGATTTGAGCCGAGAGAGCCCAGATCTTGGCAGTTAGTGTTATACGACGTGAGGCCCGTGTAACTCAGCCGTACTGGCGGTGTCTGGTACTTTTGTGAATCCCATCAGGGTGCAAGCACATTTCTCTTTAAAATCCAAGGAGCAAGAAATGTCTTCCTCCACAATAAAATTTCTACCACCAAACATTTTGGGTATTAAATATAGGTAAATATATATATTCATGTTTAGTATGAATTAGGTCCCTTTTAAATAATTCATTCACAGTGAGATTAGAATGGAGATGAATGATAAAAGCATTTTCTTCTGTGTACTGACAGTTAACTGAAGTGGGTGCTGCTAGCACCTCTTCCTAAAGAGGTGAGAGCGTCCCACAGACGGCCCCCTCAGCCTGCTGTGCGCACAGCGGCCACTGCGCTGAGGGAGTAGCCAGGTGTCTTCACAACGACACTGTCCTCCACCTCCCTGGGCCCCGTGACTCAGCGCCGAGAGATACAATCGCTTTTCCTTAACATGCTTGTTTTTCTGGTTTATTACTGCAGCAGAATTAGAAGAGAGGTCTGTCAACATTGACACAAAGAAGTTGCACGAGAGAGGAGGAGACAGCCAAGGCTACCGAATCAGTAAATATAAAATTATCTTTGTAAATCAGAGCCTCAAGGATGTGGCCCTACGTGTTCCTTGGATTAGTCGTGTTGCAGTGATCTCTCACAGTGATCCTCAATCATCGAGGAAATGTAAAGTTACATTTAGGATGCAGTTCAGTAGCAGTGATGGGTTGTATTTTTAAATCAAAAATGATTACAGTAGTAAGTTTTTCTAATGGTTAATTTGAGGGATTGGGAGCATGAATTGATAGTCCTTTCTAACCTGGGTTCCATAGATTTGTTTCAAGTGTCTGTGAACTTCTGAAAATTGGGTGTGAAGTTGTGTGTGTTCATAAATCGTTTTTTAATGGGAGAGTGGAGCCTAAAGGAGGAAAACTCCACAGGTTTCACCAGATTCCCAAAGAGGAGTGAACCCCAAAAAGGTTAAGAACTAATGAATCATTTAAGAACACCTCCAGCCAGAGAATTGTGTGATTTTAAACCTGAAGACAAGATAGTGAAGCTTGGCACACGGAACAGGTCATCAGGTTGTGATTAAATTTAGGTATGTGATGAATCTAGAACCTCTTAGCACATACACAGTTTAAGCTCCTTTTTTCTCTTCAAATACCACTACTGGTCTTCACTGTCTTCCCAATAGTGCCACAACTTAAAGTGCGTTGAGCCACAAAGTTGGAGCCAAGTCTTCAGTCTGGCCTCTGTCTCATCTCTTCCAAGGCACCCGAAACCAATTTCCAAACCCCAAAGTTAAAAATAATCCATTCTCCAGCCAGCTAGACAAATAACAGCTGCCATGGTTGCCACAAAAATCCTCCAAGTGGGAAGGAGTCAACTCTTCCTCCCACTGAGCAAGGCTCCGGGGGGAAGCCATTTCTTGAATGTTTGGAGTGAATGAAGGCCTCAGGAAAGAGGGAGAGAACCAGTAACTTGCTGCGCTGTCATTACGGAGGTATAGATCAATCTTAACGACACAAATCCTCACCTTATTCTGACATTTTACATGAAATTTACAAAGTCACTGAATCCATGGGACACAGTTGTAATCAATTGTCTTCACTTTTGTCCTACATGTCATGAACTTAAAGCTAGGACTACCATTTTTGCATATTCCTGACTTCAAGAGATCTTTAATCAAATAAGTTATAAACATTTTGTAAGAATTTCATATAGTACAAAAAGTAAACGTAAAGATCCTCCACTTACCCACAAAACTCCCAGTTCTGTTTCCTAGGGTCCACTGCATATATTTGTGTATTTCCCAGAAAGTATATATGCCCTTTGAGAAGTGTACACAAAAGATCACAGGAAGGTATTAGGCTTCTTGCTTTTCACTGTCTTGCAGATTAATCCACCTCATTCTTTTTAGTGGCTGCACAGTATATTGATTGTGTAACTGTGTCTGTTCATGAAGGGTCGCAGAGGGTGTTTAGATTAGCTCCAGTTGGGACCGGCCCCTCGGGGCTGTGTGGCCATCCTCCCTCACATGCAGTGGCCTGCTGTGTGAGTCACCTGTGAAGTTCACTGCCGGGGTGGAATTGCTGCTTGGGGGGGGGAGTGCAGGTAGAACTTGCAGAATTTGACAGAATTTTGCCTTAACTTGCACTTCTGACTTCAGTGCATGAGAATCACCGTCTTCCCATCCTCACTGCCTCTGGGTGTTCCAGACTCATTTCTGCCATGCTAATAGGTGAAGTATATTTTATTGTTCTGATTTCTTTTATTATGAGTTAGAAATAACATTTATTTTAAAATAAATACTTGTTGATTTAAGAATCAGGTCCCTTTTTTCTCATTCAAGTACTTTGTGTCCCCCCATTTCTTAGTATTTTGTTGTTTTCTCTAGAAATTCATCCTCCTAAATTGTGTAATAAGTTAAATATGTTTGGGGGAAGATCAGGTGTTCTTTGGATTTTTAAGAAAATCCTTGGTTGCTTTGCGTCAAACTAGTATTTCAGTCGATTCCTCCATCTCTGTACTTTGGCAAGATCTTCTGCAATAGTTCTAATCATTCGGTCAGTAGTTTCTTTCAAAACGATCGCTGTCCTGAGGGCATTATCCAAAGAGGAGTGTAAACCCTACAGAGGAAAAATCCACACGTTGTAATTACATAAATGTACCACTGTGACTGTTAACTGGGCTCTCATTAAGCACCGCAAGGTGGAATTTTTGGAGTGCTCTGTTCTCCACCGGTCTGTTGCTGTTTTTGAGGATTGGTTTCCTAGGAAACCAGTTTGCGATGAAAGATATTTCTTAGGGCAAGGGACAGATAAAAGACTGACACATGACTGATGAGCATGAATCAGAGGGTGAGGTCAGCAACCTTCTGGGCTGTTTCCCCTGCTGCAGGGAAAGAGGGCTGTGAGAAAGAAAGAGCTCTTGGGCTGCTGAAGGCCAGGAACACTGAGAGGGCAGGGATACAGCGCATGCGTGGAGAAGCATTGGACAGTGGCCTGGGATTAGACTGCTGATGTGAAAATCAGATGTGGCTGGCAGCTCTAACCCTAGTGTCACTGGGACAGACGTGAAAGCAGCTGGGGGCAGTCTCCAGTGCCGCCCCGCCTGGGCCAGGGGAATTCTGGAGCTGAGGCAACGCCCACAACGCTTGCCCAAAGTGTCCCCAGGACACTCACTCGTTCCCCAGGAACCGGTTCAGGAAGAACACAGCATGTGTCTGCTCAGGCCACAGGGCTTTATGTCAGGGCTGAGCACCAGCTGTTTCCAGCAGAGCATTTTTGATGCCTCCATACTGTAGTAATTTAAAAACCATCAGTTTTGTGGTCAAGACCAAACTTAGAAGCTGCAGGGATTCTAGAATATTTTTTTCAAATCCTCACCTCACACTTTGTTTCTTGGATACTGCTAAAGTTGCCTGAAGATTTTCTTCCAGAAATCCTGCAGGAGTGGAAATGGGATGAGGATGAAGCCAGGTCTGAACTGTAGGTCATGGGAGCCGTAAGATTGTTTCTGGAAGGCAAAAAAGCAGAGTGGGGTTCGTGTGAAGCACGCCCCGCCCTGTGGCTCGGTGCGTCCTGCGAGCGCGTGGTGCTGGAGGGGAGTCCCGCGTGCTCTGCCTGCTGTAGCTCTCGCGGTCCCTTCGAAGCCGACCACAGCTGAGCCTCAGAAAAAGGGGATTCCCATGGCCCCAAGGGGCGTCTCTTCCCGGCATCTGTCTCCTTTTCTGTTGGCACAGAAACAGGCAAAAACTCCACAAAGAGACCTTTATTCTGTTTTCATTGTTTTGGGGGCAACCTTCTACCCTGCATATTTATGAAATACATACCAGTCTGCCAAATACAGACCCTCTGAGTTGAGTTCATTGTACCACCAGAGAGTGAGCTTCCACAGGAAGGGCGTAGCAGCTCCCCTGGACTATGACAGTAACTGCAAGTCTGTTCCTCAGCGATGGCCCTGAGCCTGCACTGAGTGACGGAGTGGCGTCCCATTGCTGCGGTGGTGCAGGTCGCCCACTGAACACACCGGGGCTTTCATTCACAGAGGCTGCGTGCAGGGCACTGCGTGGAGTTGTGGTTTGCACAACCCCGAGCAGAGGCCCTAAGGGCTGCTGCAACCCTGGCTGGACAGGTGGGCCGGGGAGCCATCCTCACATCCCCCCCTGCCTTGAGAGTCCTGGTGCTACGCGTCACTTCTTTGGTACATACGACCCTTGTGAGTCTGACTTCAAGTGCTTGTGACCCAGTGCCTCCCGCCCTCCCTCTTCCCACACCATGTTAGCATCATCTGGTTCTACCCTCTGGTTGAGAGATGATTGCGTCCGGGACCCCAGCTAATGAAACACTCTGGGCAGGGCAGTGGAAGAGTGGGCGTCACAGTCCCCCGTCCCCACATGATGACCGTCGCCCCGTCAGCAGTGATAGCCATCTCTTGCTGATTGCTCCTGAGCCAGGTACCTTTCTAAGTGCTTTCAGTATATTGACTCAGTCCTTGGTGAATTTGGCACTGTTCTTATTCCCATTTCGGGTATAAAGGAGAAACACGAGGGGGAAAGGGAGGCACAGAGAGGTCAAGCAACCTGCCCAAGGACGTTGAGCCAAGATGCAAACCCAAGAAGTGTCAGAGGGCACATTCTTAACGGCTACACCACTATGGCAAAGGACGGTGGGTTCAGACAGTGCAACATCAGAGCCTGAACTGACTGCTCGCCTGCGCGCCGGCTCTGCCCCTCACACAGCTCCTGGGCACGGGACTCGCCGCTGTGCGTTTCTGCCACCCTTGACCGAACTACCATCCTTTCGCCTGGACTGTTGCTCTAACCTCTTACTTGGCCTCTGTGCTCGATCTTTGACTCCTCATTTCCCCTTACCTAGTAGTTAGAGTGATCTCTTAAAACACTAAAAAACTTAATCAACTCCCTGGTTAAAAACCTTCATTGACTTCCCATTATAGCCAAGAGCCTGAAGTCCTTCCTGTAGCGGACAAGCCCCTGCACATGCGGGCCCTGCCCATCCCACCGGCCTTCCCTCGCCAGCTGCGCCTCATCCCTCTGCCCTTCCCTTTTCTCAGGCTCTAGCCACACCGGTCCTGGACTTGCCGAGGGTCTTTCCACATCAGGAAGCGCTCTCAGACTGGAACGTTCTCTCATCCCTACTTCCCCTTCCTAGTTCATGCACGCGTGTTCTTTGGAGCTGAGTTTCCCCAAACCCCCAAATGAGGTGATAGCGTGAGGAATGCCCTTGGCACTCCCGAACACTGCCTCCTCTACCAAAACAGTGAGCTCCATGAGGGCAGGGACAGTTGTCAACTTTGTCACTGTCCTCAGTGGCTACCACAGCATCCTGCTATTGGTACTCAGGTATTTGTTGGGTGAATAAATGAGTGATTGAAATATTAACCAGACCTGGTTTGAGTTCTGCCTTTACTATTTAGGATCTAAATGATCTTCAGCGGGTAATTTAATGTGCTAAGCTCATAGCCAACCCATGGATAGGCAGTTTTGTTATGATTACTAATAATAAAAATAATACTTACTTTCCTGGTATGGGCTCGGGTTCATCTTGAGAGGATTTTGAATTCGCTCTCTCAGAATAGATCCAGTTTGATTTTGAACAGGCTGAAAAAATGTTAGCTATGATTAAATTCAGAGCATCAGAAATGATCCCTAAATGGTGGCTATGTGGGTATCATTCCCTGAACTTTTCTGTGTGAATAAAGTATTTCATAAACATTTCATAAATAAGAAAATAGGGGACCATAGAAAACAAAGGACTTTCAAGTATTCTGAATTCAAAGACTTCAGGAAAAGAAATTCAGTTTTTAAAAGGAGTTTTATTAGCAGGCGAGACCAGGAGCCCAGGTTCCCTGGGTGCTAGCCGTGTGACCTAGGTGTGCCATCTAACTTTTCTAGGCTCAACTGCTTCAACTGAAAGTGGAGGGATAGTATCTTCCAAGAGGTGGAACCCGTTGGATTCCTGAAGTCCTCTCAATTCTAGGAGCAAGGATTCTAGCAGAAACTAACAAGTAAGTCACTAAGACAATTCTAGAAAACAGACTAAACAGAGAAGATACAGAGATTAAAGTCACCCTCTTCCTCCTCCCCTCTTCATCTGCCCCCTTCTCCTCCCAGGGCTGCTCCGTTCACTGGCCTCGCTCACTGGTCTCCAGCAGCGAGGCCTCTCCCCGCCTCGGGAGGATCCCATTTGACAAGGGAACGGGGGAGCGGGGGAGGTTGTCTGTCCCTCAGGCGTGGACGGCAGGGCAGTACCAGGAAGTCCAAGTTGAGCCACCTGGGCCACCCAGACTTGTGTCGTTATGCACAGAGGCACTAAGGGGCTCAGTCCTAACCCTTCGGTGGTCTCCGAGGCTAATTCTGGGTTTTATTTGAAATATAGAAACTCTGAGTTAGAAAGGGCCGTGGGGCCATCTGGTCCCGTCTTCATTTGTACAACGCCCCAGCAAAGCCCATTGTCTCCCAGTCTTCAGAGGGGCCTCCTGACCGCCCATGAGAGCCTGCTCCATTTTCTGTTCTGTCCAGTTTCTGGAAGGTTCTTTTTTAACACTGGGCAAATGATGCCTCCCTGTGACTTCTACCCTCCTGGCCACTGTACGTTTACTAATGGAGGCCAAGACCACATTTCACACGAATCAGTCGCTTGCCTCACCCATCTGCCGGGGTAACAGGTTCCATGAGCTGTAGACCCAAAGACCAAAGATATAGGAAAGGAACCTGCCCTGTTGCTTCTGCAGAGTCACTGACTGCCACCTGGACAGTCCACCCACCTGGAGGGTTTGGCAGCCGAGGTCAGTCAGGCCAAGGACATTCCTGAGTCCTAAACACTGGCAATAGTGAAAGGTAAGAAATGTCCTCCCTGCCCTGTCCGCAGAGAGGGAGAGGAGGAGCTCCGAAGGGGGGAACGCGCCCGCGAGGAAAGGGCGTCAGAGAGCCAGGTGTGGCTGTCCTTCCCGCCCTGTCCTCGCACGCTCTGGCTGCCCTTTGGGCGTTCTGCCGTGAGTGCTCCTTGTTTGGGTTTGGGTTCCTTCTCTCAATGGGATGGAGGAGCCATGTCCTATTCATCTCGATAAACAAGTGTTTGTGAGATTTTCATTTTTTCCTAAGCAAAATTTTGCATTGAGATTAGCAATGATGTTTAAGGAATGTGATAATAGCCTATTTCTTTCCATGCTGAAGCTTTTGCCACTCCTGAACAATAACAGGAACAGTGGCAATTATCCTGTTGGTCATTGTTCAGCAAATATTTGTTACGCGATCACACTGGTATAGCCCTTAATACCTGTCAGAGTCCTTTGTTGTTAGGACTTCATATCTCCCAGCCCCAGGCCAGCCTGTTGCCCTCCAGACGTCGGGCTGGAGGCCTGGGTAGCAGACTGCACAGGGCAGCGGCCCCCAGGTGGAAGGAGTGGCCGGTGTGATGTGGCACTCCCATGCCTGGGAGACTCACTTGTTTACAGAGATGGGATCATACAGGACATGTACTTACAAGGTGAAGAATTTTTATTTTCATTTAAAAAGCGGAGCTGGACAAAAGCACTTCCTCCCCCATAATTCTGTCCTGGCATGTTGTATCTATAATGAAATTCTAAAAAGGAAAGATTAAAAATATGACTCATGGCTTGGGAACAGTAGCTGTCCCCACTGCTGCCTTCTTCCAAGCTCCACCACCTGCCCACCCCCAGTCCTCACCTCTAAGTGGTTCTTTCCAGCAGCCTCTCGGGGAGTTTGGAATCTTAGTGCCGCAGGTCTCGCATTTGTTACTCTGCAACCCAGTGCCAGAAGCTGAGCAGCAGCTCAGTTCTGTATTAGAACCTGAAAAAACCCAGGTTACATAAAGAAGTGTCAGTTTTTTTGAGTTTCTTGTGGTGTGGCGAGCAGAGCTCTCACTGGGCAAGGTGTGCGTTAAACACCGGTGTTTACCTTTCCCGGCTGCGTTACCAAGGGGAGTTGCGAGCCCAGGAGTGACATTTGTGGTCCCTTTCTGGCAACTGGGAGCTGTTTTGTAAGTAACCGTTCTGACAAGAAAGTCTCCATTTGCCCAGCACGTGTGGGTGCTCAGTAAAGGCTGCCAGACAGGAGGACCTGGAAGGACCTGGCCCTCTGAATTACCAGACAATCTTGCATTTGGAGTCATTTTTCCAGATGAGCCCCGATAGAGCCACATTCTCTTCTCAGCCCCTGCTGTGTCCACGAACTTGTGGTGTGTCACCCAGGCGGCTGGAAAGATACCGTTTCCCAGCGCCCATTCATAAGCCCACAGAGGAACCCGAGTTGTGGCTTTGCCCTCCTCAGAGGCGGGAGAGGACCAGCCCGTGGGTTTCGGGCAGGTGCAGAACTTGGTTGGCAGGCGGTGGGCAGCACAGCTGTCCAGGTAAGGCCAGAGTGCGGGAGCCTGGGCCAGGCAGGTGCGCACATCAGGCGTGGGTGTCCAAGCCGCATCTCAACCCCAGGACAGGTGAGGCCGGGGGACAAAGCCTCTGCCAATGCTACCAGCCTCGCTGCCTTCATGACTACACTCACTTGTAATGTTATCTTTCCAAGTGTAAGTCACATGTGGAAGGGGCTTTAAAAAGGTTTTTTCCTTCCCTAACTCCCATCAGTCCATCATCATTGAGGGCCTTCTTGATCCTAAAGCCAAGGAGGTTACGAATGGACAACAGAGACAAACCCTGGGAAGGCTGTGTGGTATGGCGGAAAGAGAAGAGATTCGGACAGGCCTGCATTTGGAAGCCTGGCTCTGCCACGTGGCTGGGATGGCTGGACATAGGCCCATACATTCTGTGACATGTTCAGGAGGTGGCTGGATTTAGCCACTCGCTTCTGACAGAATAAGGCGGGAGTGATGGTGCATAACTTTCCAAACCCGGTCATAAAGGACACTGAAGTTCCTAGTCTTGTTCTCTCCCTTGGATCACTTGCTCTAGGGGAGGCTGGTCACCATGTCTTAATAACACTCAGGCAGCCAGTGGCCATGTGGGCGGCCATCTTGGAAATAGATTCTCAGCCCCAATCAACCCTTTCGATGACATCAGTGCAGGGCAATACCTTGACTGCAGCCTCATGAGAGACGCTGAGCCCGAACCGCCCAGGTAAGCTGCTCCCGATTCCTGACCCACAGACACTGGATAGCCAGTGTTGATTGTGTTGAGCCATTAAGTTTTGGGATCTTTTGTTACCTGTCAGTAGGTTACTAGTACACCACTTCTCTGATCTAGGCAGGTTACTTCATTTCTCTGAGCCTCCGTGTCCTTAGCTATAAAGACAATAATTCCTACTTATAGGGCTATTGTAACCGTTAAATTATATTCACTGCTCAAACTTTTGATTTCAGAACCCTCTTACACTCATGACATTGAGGACCCTGGAGAACTTCTGTTCTCTATATAATGCAACCTGTGCCATTTGTTTACCTGTGGTGAAAATCTCCCCCTGCATTGCAGAAGGGCTGTCATACAGCATTCCGTCAGCTGAAGATGGATTGGTAGAGAAATATCTATGTATAAGTTTCAAGTCATTTTTGCTTGTACAGAATTATTCAGATCTATCCAAGATTGAATGGGCATTTCTGAGGCTTTAAAAAAATTTTTAAACTAATATTTTAAAAATATTTTCATTATTAAATCATTTAAAAAGAAAATCAAATTTATTTCATAGTAACAAACTTTTTTTTTCTTTTCTTTTTTTTTTACAAAAACTGAACTTTTAAAAAAACATTAGGAGAGTGGCATGTTTTCTGTATTAGACAAGTGTCCTGAATATCTGGCTTAACAGAAGGCAGCTGGATTCGACGGCTGTGCCTGCGTTCAACCTGTGGCGAAACTGGCCTCACGCAGATGTACAGCTAGAGAAGAGCGGGCCTCACGGGCCGCCTGTAAGGGTCTCAGGGACTCCCAGAGGCCTGCTGGCCACACTTCGCAAAGCTCTGCTCTGTTAGAGCATCTGGTATAGTAGGTGTTCAGTCCATGAAAACATGTCACTACAGAGAAGAAATGGAACTGAACATGACCTAGAACAGTGCGTTGCGGAAAGGCTCTTGGAGAACAGGCTGTGTGAGCGCGAGGCCTGTGAACGCAGTCCTGGTGTGCTCTCTGGCTCCGGGTTCCTCCTGTGTGAACAGGGTGGAGGAGGCACGGAGGGGCTTTTCGTGCTCAGGGGCTGCCTGAGCCGGCAGGCCTGAGCCCCGCCTCTTCCCCACCCAGGGCAGTTCTGCCAAGGGGTGGTTTTGTGCTTAAATTACCTCCGAGAAAGGCTCCTATGACTCAAAACCATTGAATTCTGTGTGCTGTGCCCTCTGGGTCTCCTCCCAGCCCCAACTTTCTTTACTTCTCTGAAAAGTGCTCGGGCAACTCGGCAGCAGCTCTCCTGTGGCGGCTGCGCTCCCAGGTGCACGTGGTGGGTTGTGCTGGGAGGGCGATGACAAAGACTTGAGGCCACCTAATGACTGAGTCTGTGGAGCCCTGCAATTCCGTCCAGAAACGGGCTGGCACGCTCACCCTACCCGGCCACAACATATTTAAATCTATTTTGTTTTTAATCCTTTACATTTAAGAAAGGGAGGGAGGTGGGGGGGGGAAGGAAGGGGAGGGAAGGAAAGAGAAAGAAAAGGAAAGAAGGAACATGCAACACCCCTGTCTAGGCAATGCTGTCTGGAGCGGCAGATGGCAAGCTGGCACCTACCGTAAGCGGGCCCTGCAGAGCCACACCTTGAAGACTGGGCACCCATAGCCCCAGACCCCTCAACTTACTGAGCATTGAATCCGAGTGCGGTGTCTGCTCTTGGAGGGCAATGGGAAACCTCCCACAGCTGGTCCTTCTGAGGCCTTTTTTCTCCATGCTTTGCTTCCTAAAAAAGGTGTATCAGATCCTGTAAACTTACAGTTCACTTCTAATGGAGACAATGAGAGTGTCGGTAAAGCCAAAGCGTTAACCTCCTACGTCGGCGTCTGGAACAATGCAGCCGTGGCATGTCGCCCTCAGCGCTGGGCCGCCCCCTGCCTGCCTGCCTGCCTGCCTGCGAGCCTCCCCTTAGGAAGTGGCACCCAGCACAATTTGGCTCGATAAGAACATAGTTACCAAACATTAAATCTGTTTTGTTCCCCAGAGGATAATGTCTAATCGTTATACCTACATACACAATATAGAAATTTGAAGTTTGTAATTAGAAAAATTTAGAGTTTTTTCCCATATTCATGTCTCAGAATCAGTTCTTATCAGGGGAAGAAGCTGTGCTGTATGTCACATGGCTTTCTTTGACTTTATAAGTACAAACAATATATGTCAAAAGTCCATAAAGTAGATTTTGTCTGGTGTCTATGGAGCTAAAAGCCAGAGAGGGCACCTGGGCTTAATTTTATCTGAACAAGGCCACCAGGGGGCATCAGAAAGATGCCCTGCAGTTGTCATTTACCATACGCTTCCTCTGACCCGTCTGGCACCAGCCTCCCCTCTTCACAGGCACTCTAACTCCTCCAAAGGGATTCTAATAACAATTCTTAAGCTCTTGCTCAGCCCCTGTGGTACAGTAATAGCTCCCCAGGGAAGCTGCTCGTTCTTAGGGTGGAGAGTGCTATGCTCAAGATGCCCTGACCGAGCCGGGGAAGGGGTGTGAGCCCCCAAGTGCTGCTTGGCAAAACATGCAGGTCTCCCTGTGCCTGAGTTGCGGGACCGGGGGGCCCAGAAGCCAGGCCCTGCCCCTCCTCTTGGAAAAAACGAGCTGTCCTGAGTCACACTTTCTCACACCTCATTTTCTCCACCCTCCTCCCTGGGGCGTTGGAACATCTGCTCTCCAAAGTGGAAAACTTGGATCCCATTCAAGTGAGTTCAGCCCAACAGGACTTGATTTTTCTGCCTCTTTTAAACGTCTTTGTGCACTGAAATCTTCTTGCCAAGCCTAACAGCTAAGGGCAATTCTACTTGAGAAGACAGTTTTAGCAGCTTAAATCCAAAGTTCTGCGTCAGAAATAACACAAAGGGATAAGCATTTTGCCTGGAGCATATATGTGGTTTATCTGCATATATGTGCTACTTTGCAAACATTATGTCCATCATCAAGTCTTACAAAAAACACAACCCATCTGAGAGTGCACCAGTCTTCTGGAAGAGTAAAGAGTATACATAACCCTCCATTCAATGAGTTCCTCAGAGATTATGTCATTGCCCACAAGTCCAGTTTATAAATCATGTGTACATTGCTTCCCTCCCCAGAAGTATGTTCACTATTAGGTCTGATTTTATGCTCCGTGTGCTTTTCTCTCCATCTTGTCCATCAGGAAAGAGTGAGTTTAGTCTAGAGCATTGGTCCCTGTCGGGCCTAGACTAGGAATTAGGAAGAGGAACATTTAGTACCTTGAGTGCTTGATGAAAATGTTTTTAAAATGTAAAGTATTTTTATTATGCTTCTTAAAACCTAAAAAAATCCAAAATCTAGATTTTTAGTTCAGTAAATAAAAGTGGTAGGCCTGGGATGCCTCAGGGAGTGCCCCTTGTGTTTACCGTCGGAGCTGAGGGCTAGCCTGTTGGTTTCCAGTCCTGGGCCAGGCCGGACGATGCCAGGGAACTGTTAGCACAGACGCCGTGCTGTTTCGCCGCAGGAGGGGGAAACTCGGTGGGACACGAGTGCCCGTTCCCGTGGTGGAATGCTTCCTAACAGGAAACTTCAGTCTTTGAGACCTTGACATCTGCTTCTATTAGAGTCCATTACGTACATGGAATAGTGGTTGCCAAACAGCTCCTCCCGCCTTGACTCTTGACCTTCCAAAGGTAAATCAGCCGAGCTTTGGCCCCAGTCCACGGGGCCTCCCTCCTGACCCGGGAGGTGGTGCCTCGCCATAACTGACAGAAGCTTCAAGTCGGTGATTCTCAATCCACGTGGGCTAGCAGTTGCTCCAGCGAGTGTTTCTAAAACATGAAGGATTTCTCCTTCGGATTTTATACCTGCCACTTTGTACACAATTTACCACTTACCACCTTGAAGATTTCTTGCTGAGGATTGACTGGAGAGAAGTAAGCCCTGACATGTGGGATCAGGTTTATTTCTGGTGGGACTGGGCGTGGGGGCCCACAGCAGAGGGATGAGGGTGGGAGCTGGTGCCACGAGGGAGTGTGGAAACATTCCACGTTCCTCTGGGCAGTGTTCACAGGGGCCTGCGGGACAGCCCAGCCCCACGCGCCACGGCCTTGGTTCCTAGCCAAGGGGGTTACCAGGATCCTCTGGAGAAGCTGAAAACAAGAATTCCTCCAGGGCCCCGCCCCTGGCAAGGCAGATAGAGTAGGCAGGGCCGTGGCGTGCACGTGATTTTAAAATCTCCCTGGTGACTTTGATGCTGACCCCAGTGGAGAACCACGGCTACAGGGATTCGCAAATTGGAAGGAGGCTGGGCTCCGTGCCCAGCCCTGAGGTCTGCGGTTCTGTAACTGGGCCAGTGGCCTCTGGCACCCGCTCGTGAGTGCACGCCCACTCTCACTGGAGCCACTGTCCCGGGCCCAGCCTCCACCCACCCTGCTCTGGGAGTCCCCACCCTGGGAGTCCAGCTGCTCTCACCATTCAAGGGCCCGGTGGCAGAAGACACAGCTCCGGCTGGTTATCTCTGCACGTTCCGCACGCTCCTGCCTTCCGGACGCACTGTGGGGGTCCTGCTGCACCACAAAACATACACAGATGTGGCTGCGACCGCGGAAGTGACTCATCCCCTGGCCACTCAGCACAGCCCGGGCCTGGCCGAGCTCACCACCTCGGGGCTGCCTGGTTCTGATTCTTCGCGTGGGGGTCTGAGCAGTACTGGCCGGGGGCCTGGAGGGAGCACCTTTAGCACAGCCACGCCTTGACTTTGTCCCATCTCCAAACAGATTTTAAAGTCTACTTCACAAAGGAGAGCATGCTCTTCCCTTTTCTATATCCTTTAGTTTCAAATTAACGCAAGCGCCACCAGACAATGAACAGATTTTAGAGGATAGTTTTTAAAACTCCGAAAGCTTTTTGTAAACAGAAGATAAATGCACCTTTCTCGCCATTCTAAACAACGCTGGCCCAAGCAGCGCTGTGCAGATAGCTTTCCCCATATGTGAATTGCTTCCTTAGGAAACGTCTGGGTCAAAGGTTGAGAACATGTTTGCGTGATGACAGGAACTGCCAAACTGCTTTCTTCAAAAGTACGGATTACACAGCCACCAACAATGTGGGTCAGACCACACCTTCCTCTGCATCAGGAATTATCAGTTGAAAATGTTTTTGTTAATTTAATAAGGGGGTGGCACCCTGCATTAATAAGCATTTCCTCTGTTATTAAAGGAGATAAACGCTTTCCCATATGCTGATTTATTAGTTGTGTTTCCTACTTGTGACTTTTCAGTTCATATCTTTTGTTCCATTAATTTTTCGGAGGGTTTTGGTGTTATTAATAACCACACGTACTTGCTGATTGCTCATTGTGCCAGGTGCTTCTCCTGTGGCCTCCTTTCTTCCTGCCACCCTGGCCGGTCGTCCCCATTTTAATGATGAACAGCCTGAGGCTCAGAGAACTGAAGCAACCTGACGAGGTCACACAGAGAGTGACAAGGAACACACAGAGCTGGGGTTGGCCCCTTCCCCATTTGCCGTGTTTTTAACTGTGATTCTGCTCCTTAGAGCACTTTGTGTACTAAAAATCTCAATACTGAACTTTACTTGCTCTTAATAGTTTCCCAGTTGCCTGCCTTAAAAAAACACTGACTGTGGGTTCAGTTTTGCAAACATAAAACGTTGATGTTGTCAAAGAGGAAGTGGAAATGGCCAAGAAACATAAGCAAATGAGTTAAATTTCACAAACAGTCATAGAAATACCATGATTAAAACCATGAGATGCCAGTTTTCACTCTGTCACTTTGGCAAAGGTTAGAAAGAAAAGGAACCAAAAGTATGGGGTGGGGTCAGCGGAGGCGCGTGATCCCCCACACTCCGCTGTGGGCGCGGGGACTGGTGTGAGGCCCCTAAGGGCTGCGGGTCAGGATCTTCAGCGTGTACCTTTGGGACCACTAACTGCACTCCTAGGTTTTTATTCTAAGGAAATAATCAACCATGAAAATTTTGCATTTAAAATGATGTTACCTGGGAAAAAAACTAAATGTCTGTTAACAAGAGATTGGTTAAACGAGTCAGAGTACCCATAAAATGAAATACAATGCAGCCCTTAAAAATGAAGCAGTAGGGCTATTCTAAGTGATGTGTTGAGATCCTCACAATATAATGTTAAATGAAAAAAAAAAAAGAAAACAAAACAATACATAGAGTAGGATCCCATTTTTGCAAAAATGTGTATGCGTGTGCAGAGAAAAAAAGACTGGACAGGTATATGTTAAAATACTAGCAGCAGCAACAACAAAACAAAGACAAAAAATTTTAAAATATTAGAAAAAATATTAGTAACACTCAGTGAAATATTCTTTATGCTTTTCTCTATTTTCTGATATATATATATATTTTTTTCTTGGCCATAGCATACATTGCTTTTGTCACTTATCACTTCTGGGTCGACAGGGGTACCCTTGCACTTCACGTTCAAGGCCAATTTATACCCCAGACTGCAAAGAGGGAGCACCTGAGCTGGGAGACCCGGGATCCAATGTGTCCTGCTGTTTGACCTGAGCCAGTCTCCTGACCCTCCTGAACTTCCAACCGCTCTTCTGCAAGAGTCTTTGCAAACTGTGATGCTCTGAACCAACAGAATTATTACTGTGAGCTGCTTACAAGCTTGTCATCATCATTTGAGACCCAGGGGTTTTAATCCCAGTGTTTCCAATTCATTCATAATGAGATCATCTCACGTGTGCCCCCCCCCCCCCCCCCCCCCCAGACAGCAGCATTGGCATCACCTGGGAGCTTGTTAGAACTGCAGAATTGCAGGGGCACCCAGAACCGGGGACTCAGAGCCTGTGTTTCCGCTTTCACCAGGGGCGCCGGCGCCCGAGGCCCATGGCTGCTGGGGAAGCCTGCCCCGGCCCAGCAACCTGGGCCAGCCCCTCCCCAGGAGGTGCTGAGAGTGGGAAGCGTTAGCAGCGGGCGCGCTCAGGGGCAGCAGCCCCGGACTCCCCTCGGTACAGAGCCAACCGGTCTGAAGTCTGTCCGATTCAGAGCTGCCTTCAGCGATGCCGGTGCCTGGTGGAGTCCACAGCGTGACCTGGGCGGAGCAGGACCAGACGGATGCTGGACAGGACGCTGCAATCCCAAGACTGCCTCGGAACCTTTGATCTGGTTGGTGTGGTTTTTAAAAAGGCGAAGGGGGCAGTTTGACTTTTAGAATCAGTTCCTGAGCTACCTGGAGCCCCGCTTTGGGGGATTATTCTGTTTTTCTTTAATCTGAAGAGTCGGAGGGAATTTAAATTCAGCAGACCTGGGAGGTGGAAAGGAGCAGCTGGAGGTAGAGGGTGGAGGGGACATCCTGTGGCCGCTCACCCTCCCCACGGCCGTACCCAGAGGGTCGCAGAGGCCAGCTGGGTCCTCCGGGCGCAGCAGGGGAGCCAGGCTCGCGGTGAACCCGCGGTGCAGGGCCCTGTGTCTGTGGAGCCTCTGGGCCCCCCCACCTGGAGCGCCGCTGCATGGAGAGGGGTCTGTCGTCCCACCAGGGGCCTGTGGGGCTGGTGACTCAGATCCTTCTTCGAGGGGCCTCCTGTGTCATGAGGGGGTGCCCCTCTCCCCAGCGCCCTCATGGGCCCTGGGCTGGGAAGGACTGCCGGCTGCTCCTAGGAACCAGGGGGCCTCCTGGAGGGACGTGTTAGGGTGACCCCCAAGGCACCTCCATACCCTGCCTGGAGTCCCTTTTCCTGTCTCCTCCTCTAGCTGCCTCGTCCTTGTTCCCCAAAACTCACTTCCAGTCTCGCCTCCTCTGAAAAACCTGCCCTGGGCCCCTCTCCCTAGGGACTCTGCGCTCCCACAAGAGCTACTCAGTAGTCAAGACAGCTGACACCCAGACAAGGGCTCACTGTGCGCTGTTTGAAGCCCTTTGTCTAGACTAGCACACTTGGACCTTCTCGCAGTTTCCTGCAATCTCCCCCGCGAGGCCCAGCTGCTGGTTGGGGGAGGCACTGGGCGGTGATTTCATTACGAATGGGGAGCACTGGGTCTAAAGTGATGATGGCAAAATTATCCGCCGGAAACAATAATTCTGTTGGTTCAGAGCCTTACAGTTTGCAAGGACGGCGGACGAGCAGTGGGAAGCTTAGACAGGGAGCAGGAAACTGAGGCACAGAGAGGTTAAGTGACAGACCAGTGTTTGGACCCAGGCAGTCTGGCTTCAGAGTCATAAGGAATGTATCATTACTCCCTGCATAGCCCTTTTAACATTCTGTAATGACATGTCAATTTTATTTGTTCCTTATATGTGACCCTCACAGAAATGTCAGCATCATGAGGGCAGGTGATTGTTTATTGTCGCTCATACGTAGCCTAGTATCTAGCAATTAACATTTGCTGAAAGAATCAGTAACGCTAGCAGTAGACTCTGTTTTCACAAAGTTGTAGCATTCTCATCATTTCATAACCATCACTGGAATCTTGGGACCGAGAGCAGGCCCAGACCTGAGGGAGCGGCCGGGCGGAGGCGGGGCTGGTCCCCGAGGCCCCTCACACCCCCGAGAGGCGAGTTCCGGCCCAGACTGCAGGGGAGCCAAGCCCCGAACCTGGGCGACTGCCTGTGAAGCGTGGGCAGTGGCGCAGAGGTCACTGTGATGAGCGTTCGCTCTGCACTGGGCATGCAGTCGGATGTTTGGGATACGAAGACAGGCACAAAGGCACAAGGACAAATGAGACCCGGTGCTGTGGGGACACAGACCAAGCAAAGAACCCTGCCCGGTGTGGGGTGGCAGCTGGAAGTGAAGGTCATATAAATGGCCTAACTCTGAAGCTGGGCCTTAAAATGAGGGACATTCTACCAGGAAAGTACATGTTTTGAGGAGGCAAACACAATTCTTTGGAAAGGCTAACATTTATACAGGGTAGGACAAAAGCAGGTGTGTCGTTGTTAGATTGGAAAATAATAATAGAAGAATACAGTTTCACGTTCTCCCAACTGGAAACCTGCTTTCACTCCACCCTGTGACATCTGCAACCTCTTGTCCTTAACTTGGACAAACACCTAGTCCGCTTGTGAATGTCAGCTGCAGGCTGTGTCCTCAAGTGCTGCCTGAAACAAATAATTAATTTAAGGCAATTCTCCAGATGATTCCGTTTCTCAGAATTTTAATTTAGTCTGAAATGGTCTGATAGTTGAGGCTACAAAAACAAGAAGTGTAGAAAGACAGTGGGGATTGATTTGAATTCCTAATTTTGTATCTGTAGACAATCCAAAATAATTTCACTTGAGGGAGAAAATGCAGATGTGGATTCATGGAAATAGTTCTTTCACTGAGTGTGTTATTCTTTATTTAGAAGAGTGAGTACTAAACCATTAAGAGGGAAAATTAAGAGGAAATAATTATTTAGGTCCACAAAAATGTTGCTATTCATCCAGAAGAAATAGCTCTTCAGCAGTTCATCAGTTTAAATGGCCTTATTACAGCCTCAACTAATAAGATAGTTCAAAAACCAACACTTGAAATAGCTTCTAATTTTTACAAGCTGGTTCCCTTTTAAATGATATATGATTCATGGGACTTCGGAAAGTCAAGTTTTCATGAAATATTAAAATAGAATTTTGTGATTCCATGAATTAGGATTTTCTTAGAAATGCACAGAAACCGTTTTTCCTGGCATGAAATTAGGCTGTAGGTTCTATGTTACCTCATCTGAGGGTGGAGAGGGTGTGGGCGGCGAGCCGGCCGGGACGGGGAGAACTCCCGGGCCGGGAGCCGGCGGGAGTGCGTCGGCTTTCGTCCGTCGTCTCTCTGGCCTCTTCAGGTAGCACCTCCACCCTGAAGATTTCACCTTCCCCTTTTCTAAGTGAACGTAAACAGGCATCGTATGGGGTATGCAGTCAACGTTCTAATTTGTAACAGCAATTCTGGACTATAGCACTGACCTATGTTATTAAAGTGGCCGGTCTTCAGAAAGCGCACGAATGGCCACGCACCCTGACACGCATCCTGTTTATAGTTTTGGTCTGAAAGCCCAGGTTCTGATCCTTATTTTGTTATTCCTGAGCTGTGCATCCTTGGATAAATCACTTAATCTTTCTGTGCTTCCGATATCTCAACTTAAAAAGTGTGTAACATTTGCGTTAAAAAAAAAAAACACTCCTGCATGGGAATATTTATTGCAAAAGTTTTAACTCTTCCAGAACTAATCTGTAAATTCAACACGATCCTGAACAAAATGCTAATGGAATTTTACTAAGGAAATTTGGTAAATTTGCTGGGCTGATTATAAAGTCTTAAGAAGAAGGGAGTGCAAGAGTAGCTAAAGAAAGTTTTGAAAAGAAGAAAACTTTTCAAGATGTAGACTAAACTGCAGTAGTTGAATGCTGCGTGGTTGCTGTAGAACCAGACACCTAGCTCAGTGGGATGGGACAGGCCAGTCCCAGATACCCCCTGAGATTTTGTACATGATGAAAGTGCTTTTTCCACCAGTGGGGAAAGGCTGGCCTATTCAGTAACTGGTGGAACAAAGATCTAAGCATGAAAAACCATATTGCTAATCAAATAAAATATAGGGAAATAAGTTCTTCCCTAGCAGGCAAGCGGGCAGTCAGCAGGGGACAAGGAGAGAGACTGAGAATGTGAGAGAAGAGAGGTGACAACACAAGGCCATTGGTCACAGGAGGAGAGGGGGTGGAGGGGCTGGAACGTGAGTGAAGGAGGAAGGGGCGTGGACCCAAACATGCAGATTGGAGATGGGGAAAAGACATCTTTGAGGGGACCTGTGATCTTTTTGGTAAAGTACAAGACGATAATATCAGGGAGAAGGGCCTGATGGCGGTAGAAGAACCCCACGTCCCGGCCCCTTGGCTTCCGGTGTTGGTGTGTGGAAGAATCAAGCGACTTCCAGACTACTTTCTGACAAAGAAGACGTGTGAAATCCAAACAGCTATTTTTGCATCTTGCCTTTTAAAGTCAATAAGAAGGTTTCGGTAAGAGCACAGCAGTTGACTTCAACAAGTGATTAGTCAGTGAATTTGCAGAATTCTTTCCGCTCCAGAAAGCTCTCTGCAATGGCCTTTGGACTCAACACTTAGAAGGTTCTCAACATACCAACACCTCAAGGGTAGCACGGGGTTCTGCTCATTGACACGCTGCACCCATGTGAGGAGGGCCAGCCTTGAACTGAACAGCTCTGCCTGCTCCAAGGTGGCTTCATCGAGTTTGCAGAGAGGCCGGGTTCTTCCCTCACCCCAGTGTCGAAGGCGCCTCCTGGATATGGGATGTAACCGCAGTTGAAACTCTTTCGGTTTAAGCTCAGGCCACAGCCCTCGAGGCCATTGGAGGCCTCTCAGGCCCTGGGTCCCCCGTGCCCGGACACCCTGGTGCTCCTCCCGGCTGGGCCGGGATCCGCACTCTGCCTCTGCCCGGGGCAGGAGTGATCCACCCCAGTGCCCTGGTGGCTCCTGGGAGGTGTGGCCTTCTCGGCACCCTGGACACCTCCCCTGCCTTTGGGGCTCTTGACTGACCCTCTCAAGGCAGGGCTGTCCCTGGGGCCAAGGTGTGGCCTTCCGCAGGCCTGTCTTCCTAGAGGGGCAGTCAGAGGCGGACAGGAAGTCTGTAACGCTCAGACAATACAGGTGCTCTCCCCTCCAAGAAAAAGAAAAAGAAAGAGAAAAAGTATAGACCTCTCTGGGTTTATACTGAGGCCAGGCACAGCGTGGGTGGGACTGGGGTATCAATGAGGCATTGATTGCATCACTTCGGTCTTAATGCGCACGGAGGCCTGTCTTTAAAACTCCTGCCAACAAGTGGGATTCCTTGGAAAATATCCTTGCTCTATTTGTTTTTAAACAAATAGAGAAAACTGGTTGAGATCTTTTTTTCCCCCTGGAAAAAAATAAGGCTTTGAGGAGAAAAGCAATATTAAAACTCCATCTAATTACTCGGTATTGAAGTAACAGTAGACAGAGGTTTCATTCATTTTGAAAAAGTAAAATTATATTTTGGGATAAATACCTCAGGATGCAAGTGCTAAAATATAAACCATTAAAAATATTTTGGCATCAAAAACGTGTTAAAATGCTATGAATAGAAAGAGCTGAACTTACAAATATTAAGCCCAGTAAATGGATCCTTTTCATTCATAGCAGGAAATGACATGCAGGCAGAACCCGAGCCCTGATTCCTGGGATACATCTGAAAGCTGTTTGGGTTGGAAGGAGAGAGGACCATGGTGCCATAAAAATGGCCAGCTGGGAACCTCAATGAGAATGTGCACCCTCCAAGTTTTTAATGTGGATTCACGCAGGAATCGTGTGACTCTAAGTTTTAATGTTTTCTCTTTATCAGGATTTGTGGGTTCCTCACCCCAGCATTCACCAACTGACAACAGTCCTCCTGCCCACGGCCTCTTTGGGCTTGTCTGTGGATGAGACAGGAAAGGGGAGAAGAGGGACAGAAGAGGAGAACCAGGCAGGAGAGGTAGAGGCAGGAGGGCGCGCAGGCGAGGCCGGAGGAGCTGGGGGAGGGGGGAGGCCCTCCGAGTTAGACTGTGAGCCTCTCTGGGGTTCTCCTGTGCTCCCCTGGGTCTCAGAACCGAGTACAGTGACATCCACTGAAATGCAAGATGGTGGCACAGTGGTCTCCTCCAGGGGACAACTGTTCATTTTGGACACTCTGCTTGGGTCCGCATCTGGCACAGGACCTAATACATGGCAGGAACTCCTTCCTATTTGTTGCTTGGGGTGACACCTGTTGGTTGGTGGCATGGTTTTTACTGACCCCAGGCCTTTCTAGATGTTTAGTGGCTCTCGAGGCACTAACCGACTCCAGAATCCCATGCGAGGGAGACCTCTGACCCCTTGCACCTCTCACAGTCTCAGCCTCACCTTTCTGGATCAAAGTCCCTGCCCGCTCGGGGTTCATGCCTGTGGGCTTGCTGCTTCAAAGTCAGGTGCTTTTCCTCGCTGGCCACAAACTCCTGCTCCAGCAATCCAGGGTGTCCCTGCAGCTTCTCCAGGACCTGTAGCAGAGAAGGCACTGGAATCATTCCCATGGAACCCCGTGTGTGGAGTTGTTTTTCCCCAAACCACGGAGGGTGTTCCCTACGGTAGAGTCAAAACAAAGCTGCCATCCTTCTCCTGGCACTTGTGTTGTTTCAGTCTGACACCTAAAATATAGACAAGAGCCATCTTGACATTCACACCACCCACAGAGCTCAAAGCCGAGTTCAGTTTCTTCCAGTTTCTCCCCCAGAGCCCACTCAGAGGCCTCTGGACTTCCTTAACGGGATATGAATAATCCTATGTGTTTGCACAATGATTTTTAGCTTACGCAGCACATTCCTATTCATTACCCTATTTAATTGATGCATGGGTGTTGCAGATGTTGCAAAGTGGACATTATTATCCAGGTTTTATAGAGGAGGAAATGGGAGCTCTAGGAGGCCTGTCTGATGCCACACATCTTAGAAAGGAACTGCATTTAGGGGACCTGGGTTTGAGTCTGTGGCACTTAGAGGGCGAGATGGGGAAGGCACAGCTGGAAGCTGAGCCACGAGCTGCGAGTGGGTCTTCCACAGGCACCACAGCACCCACGCAGCCTTGCGGGAGCGTGCTTAAACCCTGCGGGCGAGGGGCTCCTTGTGAAGGACGCAGGCTTTAGCCCTGCAGCCGCAGTTGCTGAACAGCCCCTGAGCACCGCTGTGCTATGTCTGGCCTTGGGCTGAAAGTGTGGTAGATTCAAGAATTGTCTCAGGCGCAGTCCCTGGTCTCCAGGACTATCCCAGCTGGAAAAAGAGACCAAGGACCGGAGTCCGTTGCCCTGGCTTCCTGGAAGGAGTGAGGCTGAGTCAGGCCGGCAGGACGCTCAGGAGGGCCCGGACCAGGCAGTGTCCACGGAAGTGGAGAGGGCAGGATGGTTTGGAGAGAGATTCCCAGGGGCTGGAACACACCATAGCGGGGTTAGAGGAGCAGACACGCCAGGTTTCAAGTTCGGACTCTGTCAGCTTTGTGTGATTTTAGGAACTTGAACTCTGAACTTCAGTTTTCTCATGTTGTGAGAACTAAATGAGATAATGCTTAGTGCCAGGAGCAGAGTACCTACTCAGTAGAGGGCAGCTATCATCATCATCATCATCAAATTTTGTTATAAAAAAATGAATAAACCAGTTTGGAGACATTGGTTGTTGGATATAAAAAAAAATGGCAAGTGTGGTCAATGTTTTCCGTTTCTCCCCCCAGATCCACCCTCCGGCTTTCTCCGTGCCCCACCCCGGAAGCTGACCTTCCAGGGACGGCATCCAGGGACAGGGGGGAGGAACTGAAGAAGGCTGAGGTAGGGGCCTTTTTTTCCGACTCCCTGCCGCGTGTATCATCGTGGCTGGCTGTGTCTCTGCCAAAAGCCGCAGAGCTTCTCAGCTACTCCCACGGCTATAGCCACTCCCCTTGGGCTACAGGATCTGTTCTCCTCTGTCCCTTCTGCTCCACTGTTGTTTCCGTGAGATGCTTTCCACTGCTCACTGGCTTCCCTTAACCTCACCCACTCCCCTGTGGAACGAAGCTTTCTTAATCTCCCCGATTACTCCATTGGAGCAGGCCCCCGGGTCCTGCCAGGCCGCGGCCTGATCCTGCGAACCTCCAGGCGATGCTCAGGGGTCCGGCCTGGAGGCGGGCAGAGTGTGAGAGCCCCGACTACATGGGGAATTCGGACAGGCTAACAGTTTTCAACGAGGATAGCGATATCAACAAACTCCACTGTGCTGGACAGGGGAGAATTTTCAGTGAGCACGGGACATCCAAGGGAAGTCACGAACATGTGGAGATGGGGATGCGATGTTCGGACTAGTGACTGAGGAACTGGTAGCGCAAAACTGATGTTAAAGCCGTGAGAAAGAATTGGGTGTTCGAAGGAGAGAGAAAGGAGAAGAAAGCCCATTTTAAATTAGGATCTTGGATTTTGAATCATGTTATATCTCAGCAGAAGACAGGGTGCAGCTTCCCGGCCATAAAGGGTCCTCATTTAATTCTCATAACAACTCTGAGATGGGAAGACATGCTACATGTCTAAGATGGTACCACTAGTATGTAGAACTAATGATGTCTGCTCCAAAATCGAAATGCTTTCTACTGTGCTGTGCTGCTCATGCGGAGAGATTAGTTTTAGCTCTATCTGGCCATCTTCCAACACCGAACCAAAGGGGCCTGAACTCTCAGACCAAGGCTGACGCTGTCAGGGGTCACCTTGCCTCTCCTCTCCATCCCAACGGGAACCCGCATGTGCCCTCTGACATCAGGAAGAAACGTCCTGGATCCAGGCTTTAGAAGGCCAGTGCGTTGAACCAGTCCTCTCTGCTCAGCCTTTAAAATTCCGTGTTCTCCCGGTTCCTGAAACCGTGCGTGTCTGGAGACCCCCTTTATCACTCACTCCTTACCGCCTGCAGCCCAGCCCCCATAGGCCCACCACTTCATGGGAACGCGGCTGGCCACAGTCCCTCGTGGCTTCTGGGTTGCCAAACTCAGTGCACATCTTGCTTTCCTTCCTGCCTTGAACATTCGATGGTGCAACCCACTCCCCACTTCTTAAAATCCTCTTTTCTTGGCTTCTGCAGCACTGCGCCTTCCAGGTCTGCCTTGGCTTTTTGAGTGACTCCTCAAAGGTCTCCGTGGTAGACCCCTTTCTTTCACCTGCACCTGGGTGCTGTTTCCCATGATTCTATCCTCGGACTTCACTGCTTACTCCTTGCGTTTGCCTGAGCAGTCTCACATGGCCCATAGCTTCAACCCACGCCTATATCCAGATTTACATTTCTGGCCTGAGCTAGTCTCTGAGGTCCAGATCCACTGCTCTGATTGCCTCCTGGACCTCTCCAGCTGGATGTCCTCCAGGGAGCCCCAGGTGTCCCAGATGGAACTCGCCTCCTGCCTGCCTCCCACACCCACTCTGAAATGGATCCTCCACTTCTATTCCTGACCTTAGTTGCCCAGGCTGGCAACCTGAAACTCATCCAAGCCTCCTCCCTTCCTCTGCTCACCCTTTCAGTCTGCCACCACTTCCTTAAACCCTTGCATCTGTCCCCTTCTCATGCCCTCGCCAGCCCTGGTTCAGGCCCTCGTAGCTTGTTCCCTGGATGCGGCTTTCTAGCCTGCCTCTGTCCCAGCAGCCTTGCCTGCACAGCGCTCGCTGTTTTCTTGGCCAGAGACCCCCCCACTGTTGCCCATCACTCAACCTCAGGATGACATCGGGGCTGCTCAGCGGTGAGTCAGAGGGCCTTCCAGGTGTAGCCCTGGCCTGCCTGTCTAGTCTTGTCCCTCCTTCTTCACCACGTGCACCCCAAGCTCCATCTGGTCGATGGAGGTGCCTTGTAGCGCCTCACACTCGCAGCACTTCCGTGTCCCGGGGCCTGGGTCACTGGACCTACCAATCTGTTGCTCCTAGGGGACTATAAGCTGCTTGAAAAAGAGATTGTTTCATCTTCTCCAAATCCCTAGTGCCTGGTATGGACTCTGGGACACAGGAAGTGCCTGAGAAGTGTTTATTGAATGAATAAATGAGTTATTAAATTAGGATGATTGAGTGGCTAATGTGCCATGTCTCTAACATGTGGATCCTCCTGGGTTTTGGGTGCTGTCTGGTTTCTAAAGTACTGTCTGCCCTGAGCTTTGCTTGTGTCGTTTACGTCGGGACGTCTGACCACCTGCCGTGCTGTTGCCCAGCAGCCTCAACTGCATGGTCCGCTTCCCACATTTCTGGCCCTGGCCGCCCCAGCTTTCTGCCCCATTGCCAGGCCCCACCCCCGCTATCCACCGCCCAGGCCCTGAGCACAGCTGTGGTATTACAACCGGAATGAGCGATCTGATTAAACGCAACAAGCGAGCGTGTGAAACCCAAAGATTTTGATCTGAAAAAGCACAGCTTCAGATCAATTTTAGGTTCTCAAAGTTTTATATATTGAGTTGCCAATTCATATTATGGCAATTCTTAGAACCTACAACCCATAGAACCTATCAACTCTTGGATGGGCTTTATTGACCTTTTATAATGGCTGGTGTGCTATTCTCTCAGACCTACCCTAGTCTCAGATTTATTATGGGGCGACAGTGAAGAAAAATAGCCATAAGTAATGGGTCCCTTGAGAAAGAGGGAGGGCTCAACACAGAGAAATAGAATTCTAAGCTCCTTTAGCCCCTGTCACACGAAGCCCCTGACCTCAAATAACCGACGCGACCTGAGCCTCAGCGTGGGGGTAGGGTGAGTGGGGGGAGTGGGGAGATGGGGTTAAGGGCAAAGAGGAAATGGCATAAATTAAACATTAACACAATTTTATACTAAACAGTTACCATACAACCAGCTTGGAATAAGTTACTATGGATCTTAATTCAATTCAATTGACCATTAATTACTAAGAGCGTAATGTATGTACGACACAACTCCAGGCCTCTGGGGGTCACTCAACTATGCAGACGATGCAGAGATGAAGACAAGATTGCTGCCTTTCAGCTCCAACAAAACACGTCCACCAGAGCAGAGACGATGCAGTGCTATAAAGTCACGGGTATGTACCCATGTCAAATTCTCCAGGAAAGGTGTTTAAAACTGAGTAATTTATTACCTGCCTCTCGTCTTGCACATGACAGGGAGAGTCCTGTGCTATGCTTTTGGAAAATTCTTGCACCTGCAGTGAAAAAAGGCAGTATTTCATTAATGACGTCTTATGTTTGAATTTGGTTGCTTCTCTTGTTCCTAATAAGCTCTAAATGCTTTTACTTTACTCTTTAGTCGATCGGTCTGCTCTCTTAACTGCTGACACATCTTTTTCCCTTGGGATATCTTTTGGAATATATAAGAAGAACTTGACGAAGGGTCTTTCTGGGAGGTTGAAGTCAACTTAGAGAGACTTGTCTCGGATTCTATTCCTATATAAAAAGGAATAAGTTTTGGCTACCATTCATTGAAAGTTCATGACAAATTCATTAAGTACGGAAAGCAAGCTGGTGGCAAGCACCACCATTTGCTATTAAAAAAAAAACAAACAAACAGCAAAGTTTTCACAATGTGTATCTGCATGAAAGAGGTTTAAAAATGTTAGTACCTGCGAGATGTTCTTGGTGGATATGCCTTGTGGGCTCCATCTGCATAATTAGAGGATAAGAAAGCATTACTGTCGGTTCTGATCAATGATGCCATTATTCGGAATGGCCTGCTGTGTTCTGGTCACGCTCAGGCAGCCCGGTGTTGTGTCAGGAGCTGGGCCTGATGCTAAGGTTGAATTACCCTCTGACGCTTACCTCCTGGGTGGCCCAGGGCAATTACAGCATCGCTCTGACCCTCAAATTCCTCAGCAGTGAAGCAGAGATAGTAACAGAACCTGCCTTACAGGGTTGTTATGAGGATTAAATGTGAAGTTCTCCACACACTATCAGGCACGTGGGAAGTGCTGAGTACGTGGGAGCTGTTACTACTGTCATGTTTGATGCTATCATGTGGAATACACCAGCGTTTCTCCTAGAACTAGACCATAAACTCTGTGAAGGCAGGGGCCGTGGTGGTCTTGGCACCCGGTCTGTTGCTCTCACCGACACCAAACTTGGGGAAGCCACACGCGAGAGAATAATGTAAAGTAGTATGCGTTCCGTTCCAACGTGTGTGTCGAGACAGTGACTTTTACACAGGACGTGCCCCTTTCCGCTCACCGAGGGCTGGCCAGACCAGAATTTAAATTCTGGAGTGATCGACCTTGAGCGGTGCCCCGTTGAACACGACCCTTGCAGCTCAGAAACACGCCCCTGCTGGGGAGCTCCGCGGCCGCGGTCACACTAGACTGGGGATTACGACTATCTCAGGTATGATGGCTGTGGGGCCTTGAAAGCCCAGTTCTCCAGCCTGAACTGGAAGGACTAGAGGAAAACCAGACACCTGACCTCAGACGCCCACTGCCAGAGGGAGAGGGGCCTGGCACCGATTCTGTGCCTGCCGACCGCGGGCACCGGGAACCGGCACCCCGAGGGTTCTCCTGCGAGCAGAGTGAGGGACCCTCCGGCTTCCCAGGGTCACGGGGGTGCAGACTGGTTTCTCCGTGACTTAGGGGGGCTGCTGGCTCCAGGGGTGCGTGTGTGTGTGCAGGGGTCTGTTCACACTCCCCAGTGGAGTGTTCAGCTGAAAGACGGGAGTTGAAGCACGCAAAGGCAGAGATGGGAACAGGAGCACAGTGTTCAGGGCGGGGCGCGGTTCATACAAGGCTTAAAGGAAAGAGCCTGCAGTCCCGGCCGTGTGCCAGAGGAACTAAATTATTTCCTTTGATCATTAATGTTAATTTCCCTAACTATGGAATCTCAGGTAATCCACAAGATCCTGAGCCTCAGCCTGCTGGGAAGCTGGGGCTGGGCGGGAAGATGGTAAAGGGGACATAGTATAAATGACACATTGAGCATTAGTCACTAGGGGTAGAATATGTGGAAGACCCGAGGCCAGGCTCTGGGGGAAGTTAGACAATGGAGAGGGAAAGACAAGGTTGCTGCCCTCCAGAGCCCTTGCGTCCAGAGGGAGAAGCGGAGATTTCCAGGCAGTTAGGGTTCAAAGCGAGCGCAGATAAACGCCCGACGGAATGCTGACAAGGAAGGAGGGGGAGATCGCGGCTGGGGGTCCTGAGGGGTCCGGAGGCCCCTGGGGTTCAGCGCGGAGATGGGATGTGCTGCGTAAGGCGGGAGGTCGGAATGCTCGGGGCCCAGGGAGGGGTTGGGGACCAGCCAGGAGACTGGGGGTGACTGTGGGGGTGGGGAGCTCAGTTTTGAAAGGCAGGACAAAGTAAAAAAAAGGAAAAGATGGGGGAACTCAAATCCCACGCTGAAGAATTTGGATCGTACTGTATGATGTGTTATTATTAGTCTGGGCCCCGCTTCTTCTCGTGAGGCGGCCCCCTGGGCTTCTGAGAGGTCATGGTGCTCACTCAGAACTAGAACCAGAACCTCAGAGCTAGAACTCCGTTTCAGTCACCTTCCGGAGACCCACACGGATACAGATGAGCAGGGGCCGCAAGTCTGGTCTTCTGGAAGCGACTTTCACTTACCTCTGTCTGTCGGAAAGGGTCAGAAGCTTTCTTTTCCTGTTCTTCTTTCTCAACATAATTCGCCCTGGACAGGCTTTCTAAAATACCTTGCACAAGAGCTAACCTGTCTCTCAGTTCAGGAGAAAAGCTGGCTTGTTTATCTATTGGAAGTGGTTTATCGATTATGTTATTTTCATGGATGTTCCCTGCGGGAGCAACATTCGAGAAATCAGAGAACCGGTAATGGACTTGGTCATAGTTGAACCCGTGGTCTGATCTTGTCTTTTCAGTCTGCTGATTCTGGGGTGTCTGCCGTTGGCAACCTTTTAGTTTATGGCTTGGTCTCTTGGTTTCAGGTAGAAAATTGGAGCTTTCGCGATGGCTGCCGTCCCCGGCGGTGACTGTCTCTTCCAGCACAGAGGTGCTTTCCTCTGCGGTGGATGGAGAGCAGCCGGGCTCGGCGCCACGCCCGCCACCCCTTTTGGGGTCGAGTTGGCCAGGAAGCTCTGAGGTTGGCTCTTTTGGCCAAGAATTCTTAACATAACGCAAAATGACATTTTTAATAATAGCTTCATCAGAAGTGTCCGCATTAGAGATCTCTGGGAGAGTTTCACAATTAATGCCTTCACCTTTTAAAAATTCCTCTTTGGAAAGATGACGCTGTAAAATATCAGAAATGTTTGACTTCGGAAGGTCTCCTCCAGCTGGAACATGAGGATTCGTGGTACATGGTTGCCCTTTATCGTATTTTCTCTTGACAGCGTTTTCATTCCTTTTACCCAGAGTCAGGGCCGTATCTGCATTTCTGCAAGTCCCTTTAGGTGTGGCCTCTCCCTGAGAGTCCTCTACTGCTGAACTAATTTGATCTGAGACATCAAGAAGGTCATTTTCCAAGGAGAGATGGTGGTCATCCCACAGCTCCGTCTGGGACGCGCCCCCATCGTGAGGCAAGCCCGCCTGTGGCTTCCAAGTCGTACCTTCCGAGAAATCGGCTTCATCCATGCGTGTGCGGCCTGCCCTTCGTCCTTTGTGCCTGCCCTTGGTGTTCTTAACTGTGATGGGAGGTCTGGTTTTCATTGGCTGTCTTCATTGTGTGGCCTGGTCTGTGCAGAAAGAGAAGAATCCCATTATGACATGTGTCAGAATAATGCACGGAAGCAGGCTTGTCTCGGCATCTGGGCATTTAGCGAAGCTCCGTTACAATCCTGCGGGCGGAGAGCTGGGCCAGGAGCCGCCCACTACGAACCCTGCGTTAGCATAACCAGTGGTCCACAGGCAAGGGAAAGGCGGGGTTGACATCTTTACTCATTAAATCAAGGGAGACATTGGTCTCTGGTTAATGACCAAATATTCATCAGCCTCTCTTAGGAAATGCTATTCATTTGGAGTTTGTTCTCCCAAAAAGGAGCTGGAGATGCAAGTAAAGGATTGCCTTGTAAAGCCCGGTGGTGCCGCTCTTCCACACATCGCTGAGAGGCCCCGAGCCAGCTGACTGGACTAAACGCTGGCCAGCTAACACAGCACTCCGGCCTTCTCTGTCCTGGCGCTTTCTCGTCTGTGCCGGCAGGCGTGCCGGTCCCCCTCCTGATCGTCTGGATGCTGGGGAGAGGCAGAGAAGGGCTGACAAAAGTAGGACCAAGGAACGGAAGGGCCTTGGCACGCCTGCGGCCGGCCTGCCCCCGGGCAGGGAGGCTGCCTCGCTCCGAGCAGCCCTGACAGGTGGCCGTTGGGTGGCAGCAGCGAATCTTGGGGATGCACCTGACCATGGTCAGGACAAAACCAGCTGCCCTGGCGTCTGTCTGTCTGTCTGTTTAACAAAATTGAGAGCATCCATTTATATGTCTCTCCTTGATTTGTGAACTTTTGGGTGATAACTCCCTCTCAGCGTAAATCTGCCTCCAGTTTTAGGAGGAGAAACCGAGGCTCTGACTGCACCGGGGGCCGCAGACAGCGGCCAGCCTCCCTTGCTGTGTGGTGACGGGGTCGGGGGGCGGGGTGGCTCTTGGAGGCCCCCTCCCCAGCTAAATTCTTATGAGTCTGTGAATTGGTGACAGTTAGATAACCTAAAGAGCTAAAGTAATATGTTTGACCAAAAAATTGAATTAAACTCCCCAAGGAGTAAGGAATGCGGACAATGTGGTAAAGCTATCTGCTCAATGTCGTGCAATATTAATTCATACATAGGTGCCAGTGCCAGAGAAGGCAAATCAAAAGCTACTGTACTTTGCAGTGTATAATGCGCTCCCATGTTTTTGGCCCAAACTTTCAGGAAAAGAAAATCTTTCATTTTAATTTTTTTATTCAATTACTTATTTATATTTAGATACTTTTTTTATATTATAAAGGGTATTATTTTGCATATGGATATCATTGTCTAGAGTTACACTTTTAACACATAAGCATAAATAAAAGAATTAACATTTATATAGATATGGAATTAGTACTCTCCATGTACAATGCACATCCTTGTTTTTCCCTCAAAAATTTGGGCAAAAAGTGCACATTATACACGGCTAAATACAGTATTTTGTTTAAAGTGAGAGCAAGAGAGACAAAGAATGAGGAGGAGGAGGAACCACTGCAGGATCACTTTAAATTATCTCCAGGGTCTAGTATTTACTGCCAAGTGAGAAACCCCTTCCTGCACCGCGCGACAGGCTGCTCCCACTGTGGCCGAGGAGCAGGGCCTGTGCCTCCCACGGAAGCGCAGCGGGAGAGCGGGGCCGGGAGGCCTGCGTTTGAATTCTGCTCCTCCGCTCAGGAGCTTCGTTTCTTCTTCTGGCGAGTAATGCGCAGCTCACAGGACTGCGGGAAGAACACGAGGTGATAACCACGTAAAGCCCTGGGACGGTGCTGCGCGGCACAGAGGGAGATTTGACGAAGGGCAGCTTAACCACGAGAAACAACGCAACCTCCGTGCTGGCGCGCCGAAGAGCGCCCAGGTGCAGGGGCTAGGCCCTCTCTACCTGTGGGGGTACTTAAGGGACAAAGGAAGGCATGCCATACAAGACACTGGATCTCTGTAAGAGCCTAGAAACTGTTTGTAAAATCTACCTGTATATGAATATATTGTTTAATGGTGAAAACTATCACTAAACAATTTTAGGTAAAACATCGGCTATGATATCCAAAAGACCAACAGGTACATAAAAAGATGTTCAACATCACTAATCACCAGGAAATGCACATCAAAACCACAAGGAGACACCGCGTCACACCTGTGAGGATGGCTGTCGTCAAGGAGAGAAGAGCTAACAAGCAGGATGTGCAGAAAAGGGACCTCTTGTGCACTGGGTGGGAATGTAAATTGGTTCAGCCACTAGGGAAAACAGTATGGAGGCTCCTCAAAAAATTAAAACTATAGCTACCATTGAATCCAGCAATTCTACTTCTGGGGATATACCCAAAGGAAATGAAAATAGGAGAGCAAAGAGCAATGTCTGCACTTCCACGTTTATTCACATTATTCACAATATTCACAAGAGATGGAAAAAACCTAAGTGCCTATCGATGGATGGATGCATACGAAAGATGTGGTATAGATACAATGAAATATTGTTCCGTCATGAGAAAGGAGGACCTCCTGCCATTTGTGACAACATGGCGGGACCTTGAGGGTGTTATGTTCCGTGAAATAAGTCAGAGAAAGACAAGCACTGTCTGGTATCACTGCTGTGTGGAATCTAAAAGAGCCAGCGGGCAGGGGTGGGGGAGTGGGCCAGGGCAGATGTTATTTAAGGGCACAAACAGACAAGTAGCGCATCAGCCCCAGAGGCTGAATGCACAGTTAGTGAATGCAGACAGCAATGTTATAATCAAACTTGCTAAGAGACCTGAATTTAATTATTCCACTCACTAAAAAGAAGCAATAATTATGTAACTGGATACAGGTGCTAATTATCACTAAAATGGCCATCATGGCAATATATAAATGTATCAAATTACATTCTGCACCTTAAAATTACACAGCATTATATGTCAAATATATTTCAATTTTTAAAAAAAAATTGTGTGAGTTTAGAGGGGGAAAAAAGAGTCTTTAAATGCCTCTGGAGAAAAGAGAAAATGAATTCTAGTTTTCAGGACTTGCGGCAACGAGACCTACAGCCCCAAACGCATCTGCGCACCTTCTTTGTATCCTGAGGTGCTAAAGGCAGAGCTCCAAGCCCTTCCAACCAGGGAAGAAAAGACTCTTCACCAGCCAGACCCTCCTTCCTAAAGTAGCATTCCACTTAACAGATAACATTTAATTTTTGTGAGGATTTTTAAGAAAAAAAAGACCGTCAAGATAAACCGGAAGCCAAAGGAACCCTCTCATGTACAGGAAAACAGCTTCTGTTGTCATTATTGTTATTGCTCTTTTCTTTTTGTTTGTGTGCAAAACATCAAAAGGTTTTTTCTGGTAAAGGACAATTTACGTTTTTAGCGCAATGGACCTCTTACAGGTAGCTGGAAGGAACTGGACCGTCTTCCCGCAAAGATGCCAGGCTCCCCCTTGATTCATTCAAAGAGACTCCGGTCAAAACCCAACAAAACGCAACCTGTCTGACTGAGTTCAGGTGAACATAGCTGGGGCCATGGCTGCTTAGGCGGCCATACTGGCCATTATGTGCTCAGCGATAGCTCACAGATGGCCCTGCGCGTGAGCACTGAGCGCACGAGGCCAGCCCATTCCAGGGGCCCCAGCAGCCTGGTCCCCGACAGGAATGGGCAGCAGGCTGCTCACTGTGCCGACATGGCTGCCCCCTGGGCAGTTCGCTTTACTACAAAGTCGGAATTTGGTGCTGAGGTGCTGACATAGGCTCGCTCGTTTGCCAGTTTATGCGAAGAGGACACCTGTGGCTGGGGTGAGTGGGTATCTGATGGAATCCATTAAGAATGTAGGTGGAAAATGCAAAAAGCCTTAGTGCTTAGAGGCCAAAGGTGATCAGGGAATCGTGGCCTCTGGCTGGTAAGTGATGTCTGTTCTATTCACTAGGCCCACTGAGGGGCAACACAGATGTTATGCATCGGAGGACTGCTTCCATCTTCAAAGGGAAACCATGGCGCCATGTGCCCCAATACCGTCTGTTGTGTGTTCTGCCAGCCTCCGGCCAGGCTGTAGGTGACCCACAGTCGGGGAGAAACAGGCGTTGTGTCTAGTCACCCTCCTTCACCTCTCTCCACTAGAGTGCCAGCCACTCAGCACCCTCAGATCCTGACCCCACTCGTCCAACACCAGCCCTACGGACTCTACTGGAAATCAGAGCTGACTTTTGGAGGCCGTGCTCCAATAATCCAAGTTCTTCCTATTCCTTTATACCTGGGTCACTAAGAACGTAAACAGACTACAGGGAGGAGCTTCGAGTATGGACCCCATGATGTTTTGTCCGCATAAAGAAACATGCTGCTCGAAGCTTCTACCGGCACACCCTGCAGTCAACACAAACCGCTAAACAATGGCGGGAGCAACATACTCACCTCCCTCTTGGAGTCTCTGGACAGGGAGTGAACGGGTCCACAGGCCTTGCAACACAGATGAGCAATCCTTTCATTCAGAATCGTCTTTCTTTTTTTCAGTGATTGAAAGCTGGCTGCAGCTGGACAGTAGAACAGAAACCAAGCTTCAGAATCATGGTGGGCCTGCTTCTTCCGGGTTCCTTCCACTACAAGGAGTCAGCTTTGAAGACTCTGTAGGGAACTTCTGTAGGATCCAAGCTTCAGTTTGGGGGAGGGTTACCTTTTAAGAGCATTCAAAAATAGTTTGACTCTGTTTTAATTTTCAAATTCTCTCCCTCTATTTCTAGCTCAAGATTTCTGTTTACCCATGAAAGCAAACAGGCGACACCTCAGAACAGTGGGCGCGAGCCCACCCCCAGAAAGCAGGTGTTCGTGGGGTTTGTATTCAGTGGGTGGTGTGTCTCGATTAAAATATTTTCAGCGGTAATGTGATACAGGCTTCCTGTGCAGTGACTGTACTTGATGATGCTCTGGTAATGCTATCAGCTAACTTTATCTCAGAA